ATTTATACAAATCTAAAAGTTTACATTTCCGATACTTAGAGGGACGGAAAAAGGAAGATATGTTAAGAATTTAATGAATTTAATAGAAATTAAAATATTAAGTGTCGAATAATAAATAATAAATAATAAATAATAAATAATAAATAATAAATAATAAATAATAAATAATAAATAATAAATAATAAATAATAAATAATAAATAATAAATAATAAATAATAAATAATAAATAATAAATAATAAATAATAAATAATAAATAATAAATAATAAATAATAAATAATAAATAATAAATAATAAATAATAAATAATAAATAATAAATAATAAATAATAAATAATAAATAATAAATAATAAATAATAAATAATAAATAATAAATAATAAATAATAAATAATAAATAATAAATAATAAATAATAAATAATAAATAATAAATAATAAATAATAAATAATAAATAATAAATAATAAATAATAAATAATAAATAATAAATAATAAATAATAAATAATAAATGATAAATGATAAATGATAAATGATAAATGATAAATGATAAATGATAAATGATAAATGATAAATGATAAATGATAAATGATAAATGATAAATGATAAATGATAAATGATAAATGATAAATGATAAATGATAAATGATAAATGATAAATGATAAATGATAAATGATAAATGATAAATGATAAATGATAAATGATAAATGATAAATGATAAATGATAAATGATAAATGATAAATGATAAATGATAAATGATAAATGATAAATGATAAATGATAAATGATAAATGATAAATGATAAATGATAAATGATAAATGATAAATGATAAATGATAAATGATAAATGATAAATGATAATAAATAATAAATAATAAATGATAAATAATAAATGATAAATGATAAATGATAAATGATAAATGATAAATGATAAATGATAAATGATAAATGATAAATGATAAATGATAAATGATAAATGATAAATGATAAATGATAAATGATAAATGATAAATGATAAATGATAAATGATAAATGATAAATGATAAATGATAAATGATAAATTGATAAATGATAAATGATAAATGATAAATGATAAATGATAAATGATAAATGATAAATGATAAATGATAAATGATAAATGATAAATGATAAATGATAAATGATAAATGATAAATGATAAATGATAAATGATAAATGATAAATGATAAATGATAAATGATAAATGATAAATGATAAATGATAAATGATAAATGATAAATGATAAATGATAAATGAGTGTCGGTCCGGTAACTGCAATGGACCCCTACCCACTTTAACCCATCGGCTCTCCATGGATGGGAGGCAGGGTAACGTTAACTTTATTTGTACCCCGGTGAAGCCTAATCCTGTAGGAATGTCACAGTGGATTACAAGCGCAACCACGTCGCCGACCGCCTCCCAGGCCTTTTTTGCGTTATATATCGGCTCTCTAGGCTACTGGGTCACACTACTTACTAACCTAACTTTACCTAACCCCAGATACCAATAAATAATTATAACATTTTGTTTTAACGTTAAAAAAAACAACGGGAGCACTCCGGGAGTGCCGGCAGAAGTGAAAACTTCAATATTAACGTTGTGTTTAATTATAAGTATAAAAGTACTATCATTTATGAGGTAGAATACAATGTTTATTTATTGCGCTATCGTTCACAAATATGACAATTTATATGTTGTTATTTATAATATTATATCGTTATTTATATATTACATTAAATTTTATCTCTCAGAAAAATCAACTTCCATCCATAATTTCGACGACTTTTACACCATCGTTATTATCAGAATCATCATCGCAAATTTTTACAACTGATACAATTGGTTTATGATAACTGAAGTAAGAAACAAACAGTTTTGATTCGAACCTATTTAAGTGTCTAATAAAGACCGTACTCATTTGCTTTCACTACTTCATCATCACTTTTTTCATTAATAGATTCACTTTGTTCGATTTCCATAATTTAAACAATTCACATTTACGAATACACAACAGTGTATTTACTACACAACAGTCAAGCAATCAGCTGTCACCATCCTTGGATACGCGTGGGACGCTGTACATAAACACACACGGTCATTCGCGCAAGCGCCCTGTGCCGCCTAAACAGAGCAGCACACTCAGGCACGGTAGAAAGAGTGGGAGATACTAGTTCCTCTCCCTTCCCCTCGATCTTACGCTTTTTCGATCAGCATCACGTGACCCTGACGCAAGTTTGAAAGTTTTTACTCATACAAAAAGTGCTCAGCGCCGCTAAAGAAGTTTTCACTTCAAAAAATTGAAGCTGAAGCTTGCCTGCATCAAATAAAAGTTTCAGTCAGCCGCGTTATATATTAAACAATCGACGCAATCTTGTGATTATATTTATTTATAAGACCTAAAACAACAGCTTTAAAGATACAAGAAAATATGACGTCACAAATTTTACACACACACAACAATTATACAAGAACATAAAACTTATTATAAATCTATTTTAGTAAATAGTAAGAATTATTATTTTTTTACTTAGATTTACGACACAATGTCAGTAAGATTAAAAATTGGTTGTAAATTTGTCAGCTTAATGAAGAATACAAGGAACAATAATCTAGCTTACAGATATCATAAGTCATGAATCTTGAAACAAATAATTGTTTCTACAAACATTTCAATTTGTATAGCAAATTCGTTGTAACTTACAATAAAATATCGAATATTATTGTTCGTGACTATAAAAAATTGTTATTACTCTCCCTAGTTCTTTGTAACACATTGTAATAAAATGAATCTCTATAAACTACCTTGCGACAATACTAATATTGGTTACCTCAGTATTACACAAAAGTAAATTTATTATACTTTTATTTCTACCTTCAAATTACAATATACATACATATTTCTAATAAACTGTAGGTACTTATTAAGAATAATATCAATTTTGGTAGTCATGAACAGTTGATATTTTTTTTTTTTCGAGAAGACAAAAAAACGAGTGGAGCATGACGTACAGACCCGAGCGGTAACGCAAGTTCGGCTCTGTACATCGAGGGTAAACAACGTATACGGCGAGAGAACGTTGAGGTATTTGCTACCGCGGCTAATAAATGGTCTACCCAATCAGATTTAGATTGCCTAACGCCAACCAACATAAAAAGTAAATTAAAAAACTACTTTTATATGCACTTGTAGCGCTTCTAAACAAGACTGCTATGGTTACATTTATGCAAACCACAGCGGTTTTCTAATGTAACTTATTATGATTGTATTATATTATTTTGTAAAATAAAGGAATAAAAAAAATTACAAAAAAATTACAAAACACAATAATATGAAAATACTAACTTTTAAGTTTTTTTTATATAATAAGTTTTCGCTCAAAATTATAATTGGTTAACTTTATAGTCCAATCACAGGCACACGATACGATAGGTACCTCTTTTTAATGGATCAATTATATTCAGCCGAAAGGCGCCCTCATACACTGTGCTAGTATTAGCAAAGGTACAAATATTGTCTTAAAATCATATTCGTATTAATTAGATTTTATACAGTCACGCTAATTAACCTCAACCTATTTGCTAATGATATTATTCATATATCGATTTCTACTAAGACGTGGCAAATAAAGTGGGTTTATTTTATAAAATATCTCAATTAATGGAACTTGAAAGTGACGGATATCCGGCATCAAGTCCGAGACCTTTAATGCAAGAATAATCAACTAAAAAGGAAGTAAAGAATGAATAAATTTTACTGGTTGTCTTATAAAAAGCACATTATCTTTATAGATCGGAAGGAATTTTTAGTCTTTAGAGTAAGGCCCTTTCTCCACTGCTCCGGTCCGGCGTCGGATACCGGAATGAGTCATGAGAAAAATATCGGAAGGCCGGATTGCGCTTCTCCACTATATCCGATCCGACAATAATCGATACTAGTATATTTATCATGCAACACTTATATTAACTAAACCCATATACTTTATTTTATTAATAAAACGTTCTAAATTCTGAATATTTTGTTGCCCTGGCAAGTTTATTACTTTTTTTATATTGTCTATCTTAAAATATGATAATCTACTTAATAAATAGTTCACTAATACTATGGTATAAAAATATAAATAAATAGCAACATAATTTGGTTTGGTCCAGGTTATCCAGATTCTTTCAAATTAAAGAAACTATAAATAAACCTGTGAATAATAATTTATAAACTCTTGGATACTTGGATATACTTGGACCGATAAAACACCGCGTTCCGATCTAGCAAGTTATCGGCTCGTTAAAAACCGGATGCCGGAGTATTGGAGAAGCACGTAAGAACTGTTGTGAGTTTCTAAATCGGATCGGTAATTAACGTTTGCCGGACCGGAGCAGTGGAGAAACGGCCTAAGTCCTCCAGGGAAACTGGAATAAAATATTTTATTGAGCAGTGTTGGCCTAGTGGCCTCATACCTGAGGTCGCAGGTTCGCAGGCTGTGCACCAATAAACTTTCTTTCTACTGTATGTGCGCATTTAACATTTGCTCGAACGGTGAAGGAAAACATCGTGAGGAAACCGACATGTCTTAGACCCAAAAAGTCGACGGCGTGTGTTAACACTGGAGTCTGATCACCTACTTGCCTATTAGATTTAAAAATGATAATGAAACAGATTCAGAAATCTGAGGACAAGATCTAAAGAAGTTGCAGCGCCACTGATTTATTTATTTTTATATAAAATATTTTAAAATAAAATATATTTGTGTAATTTGCGCTCTTGTTTCAACAATATTCAAATTCCTATACCAACATCTAAAATATTAATTAAGGTTGTAGACTTATTTTTAATTTAAATAACAACTAATACTGCATCAAAGAATTGCCGCACATATAGCCTTCGATGTTTAAATAGTGTATATTTTTTATTATCTTTTACTAAAATATACTCGATACTCATTTGCTACTTATTAATTTTACTATAACGTGATATTTTAGATTATAGCATGCATGTCCCCAAATCTCCTATTATTGAACTTGGGTATGGCTATTAGCTTCGCAACAATTGCACTTCCTGATCTGTTGCATGCCAAGGAAGGTCTATCACTTGATGACACTCAGGCCTCATGGTTCGGTAAGTAGTTTTTAAAAATCGGGATTATGTCGTTGCAGTACGTCTGCAGCTCTGGCAAAATAAGTAACCTTGATACCAACTGAATAAACCAATACCTACTCGTAAATGATCTGCAAGCTACATATTGTTTGAACATTTTTATCCGGAAGAATTTAAATTAATATAATTTTGTCTTTTATTGACATAACTTTCATTGAGAATTTAATAATAAAACAATTTTTTACCGGATTGAAGTTATGTATTTTTCTGATGCATTTCTGCCAACACCCTCCATCTTTTAGTCGATACCAACTCCGGGGAAATAAATACAGATAATACAACTTTTTCTACAGCTGTGATACTTTTTGACATTCAACACCTTTTGTCTTCAGTCACCGTGACCACGCTGTAGAGCACGCGAAACGTCGGTTAAATTTAAAATTATGAAAAATAATTGTAAATACATAACTTCAATCCCGGTAAAAATAGTTTTATTATTAAAATAATTATGATATTACTGGAAAATCAAAGTTTAATTACTCTATATGGCCAATTTAAAGTGCTGGAAAATACATATTTTCTATTTTTACTATAGATTTTATTATATAAAATAAAAATACTTATGCAGTCTAAAAATCCACTCGCTGATCTTGTAGTCAGCTTTACTTTTCGCCTTACAATGGATAGGTACTACAAACATCTGAATCATGAAAATCATCGAAAGTTCAGAACTTTACTTAATTTACTTACGAAATTCTAGGAAAAGGTCAAAGGTCGCTTTGTCTATTGGCACTATGACATGTCTACCAACATTTAATATTTTGGTGAACTCTGTGAATATAATAACTTCAGAGTAAACACTTAATTGAAATTTGGCCATGGCTGTTTTATTTAAAGATAATTTTTACATTACCAATTATATATTACATACCAATTTTATATTTTTTTCAGGCAGTATTTCGTTCCTGGCAGAGCCTCTTGGAGCTTTGATTTCCGGGCCTTTAGTGGACTATGTGGGGCGAAAAAAAGGAACTTTTCTAGTCAATATACCACATTTAATAGCATGGACGCTCATGTATTTTGCATGGGACCTACCATCACTATTCGTAGCCAATGGATTGCTAGGATTTGGTTCCGGCGTTATGGAAGCGCCAATAAATTCATATGTCGGTGAAATAAGGTCGGTTTGAATATTTTTATTAATAATTATAATATAATGGTCATTTAATAATATGTTAATTTAGTACAAATTTTTTTTATATAAGGTATATTATTAAGACACGAATTTAGATATTTGGATGCTGACATTTCGGATAAAATTAATTGAAGCAAAAAAATATTTTCCAAAATCAAACAGGAACCAAGTTCTGCTACTACTACTTTCCTTTGCCTTCTTCTCCTACCTACTGAGAATATTGAATAGTGGTATTATTTTATATACTATCAAGCTGACCCGGCAAACTTCGTTTTGCCATGTATAAAATAAATATTATTATTATCAAGGAAATATTTTTTTAATTCAATAAAAATAACCATCTACAATATTAAAAAATTGGGGTTGATCGTTTGTCTATAAAATTAAAATTTAGGGAGATGAAAAAGATGTTGTGCCATTATCAGACTTACTGAATATGCATAAAAAAATTAATAAAAATCGGTCGAGCCGTTTCGGAGGAGTATGGGAACGAACATTATGACACGAGAATTGTATATATTAGATGGCCACTAGGCCAACACTGGGGAGCAGTGTTGGCTTTAGCTTGCGACTGTCATTCCTGAGGTCGTAACTTCGATCCACAGCTGTGCATGGACTCTCTTTCTATGTCCGAATTTAACATTCGCTCGAACGATGAAGGAAAACATCGTGAGAAAACCGGCTTGCATTAGACTCAAAAAGTCGAAGGCGTGTGTCAGCCACAGTAGTCTGGCCACCTACTTGCCTATTAGATTGAAAAATGATCATGAAACAGATTCAGAAATCAGATTATTTTTATTTTTTAATCGATGTGTGGTATTTCTCCATATCTGACAAACAATTAATTTACAACTAATAAACTACAAATTATTATTTCTACTACCACCCCTTCTGGGTCCCTTATGCATTGGCAATTGCAATAGTAATTAATTAGAAAATTCTCTTTGGAAATAAAAAGAAAAATCTTGTATTCTCGAACTTTGAACCCAAATTGCTGAAGATCGGAGCTGCTACATACTGCTATAATTATGTCATATATTTTTATTCCAGTGAGCCAGCTGTTCGAGGTGCTCTGTGCACTTTGACTCTGCTCTTCATTTCTCTCGGTATATTCGTGATGTATTTACTTGGCACCCTGGTAACTTGGCGTTACGCGGCTCTCATCAGTCTGTCATTACCTTTCGCGTCTATGCTCCTAGTTCTATTGGTATGTTTCATAATTGACTATTTGACCTTGAAGTAGTTTTCCTAATAAAATAAATTGTGCGTGTACTAGGTGTACACACGTAAGAAGTGAAACTTCTATGATCTTATTTTTCGAAAAATGATCTACTATATGCAACTTTACAGAAATTCGTTAAATTAGATAAAGTTTAACAAGAGGCTTTTATTATCATAGACATGAATACAAATATTCTATTTTACCTTATTACTACGAAGATTATTATAAAATTTCATTAATTGTAATAGAATTATTACTATCATTGAAAAACGTGACGATTTGCTAAAAAATTTCTCCCATACGTCGATAAAGAAGTTTCATTCCAACGCCGATAAAGAAGTTTGACTTCAAAAAGCAACATGGCGCGTAACCGAAAAATGTGACGCGTAACGAAATAATGTTACACTAAATTTTTTTCCAACCTCGATAAAGAAGTTTCACTTCAAAAAACGTGTGTGTACTTATTATATACACCCTTTAGAAGTTATACTTCTTTGGCTTAACAAGAAAAAAAAATCTTTTCGAAAATTTTATTCTACGTTTGTAGCTATAGCTAACTTCAGGGTGTCGGTTTTTAGTGACGGTGTGCGAGTGCATCAGAAAAATTTACTCCCATCGTTTTTCCCTAAGAAGTATAACTTCAATAATATTCTGTAACTAAAAAACTTAATCTACTTTTAAATGGGTAGGAGACTACATAATGGAATTTTTATTACAATAGTTATTTATTATCATTTTTTTTTCAGGTTCCAGAAACGCCTGTTTGGCTTCTAGTCAATGGAAAAGAGAAGGAAGCCCTCAAATCTCTCTGCTACCTCCGTGGTTGGACTAAACCAGAAAATGTGAGAGAAGAATTTGATCAGCTCGCTGACTATTCACAGAATCTGAGAAATTGTGTCATATGTACGAATAACGACCAGGACATAAAGACCTGTGACCACGCCTCTATGAATTGGTTTAAAAGGTACGACTAAAATTATTTATCATGTAGCTTTTACAAAAACAATGTGAATTATAAAAGAAAAATCTTAAAACTCGACTACAATACACGACCATAATACCGAGTTTTATCATTGCCATAAGCGTAAAAAAAGCATAAAATTGTACGTAAAGCTGTCAATAATATCGTAAGCTTCATTTCGCAATACTCCAGTCGTGTCGAATATCCGTCCCATCTGCAATTAAAAAAAAACACAACCACATACTTCTGCAATGACCTTTGGCAATGACCAATCTCAATAGCCGCCTTACTCGGTCTTGGAAAACCTTTTAACTAATTAAATCAAGTGTAATCCAATATTATTAGTTACTAACAAATTGTTAACACATAACTCAGGACAAATTGACATTATAATTATTCGTGATCGTGCAACTATGTGGAAATCATCTATGATACATAAACAATGGTATTACACAATATTATCATAACCATATCATTCATTTTGTAACAGAATAATAAGACATACGAGGTGTGTTAAAAAAATAACGAGAATTTTCATTTTATGAAAAAAATATTTATTTATTAATCAATATATATTGTGTCCTCTTCAAAATAATCCCCCTCGGATATAATACACTTGTGCCAACGCTTTTTCCAATCCTCGAAACACTTTTGAAACTCGATCTCTGTAATAGCTCTTAGCTCTGTCAGCGATTCGTGTTTAATGTCATCTATGCTTGTAAAACGACGGCCTTTTAATGTTCTCTTTATTTTTGAATAGTAAAAAGTCACATGGAGCCATATCTGGTGAATCTGTAGGCTGAGGCATCGTTACAGTTTTGTTCGTTTTTGTTCGTTACAAGGCTGTATTTCTTGTCACGCAAGCTTAGTTTGAGAAGCGCCGCGATTGTTTTATTCATTTCAATATAAACTATATCTATTTTTTTAAATACTGATCGCAGGGCGTCTTTAGTAGTTATAATTATCCTATGTCATTCAGTAATCTGAAATTTGCTCTCCGATACGGAGATGACTTCATTTCAAATATGTCTTAGATAAGATTTATAACCGAAATATAAGCTAAGAGGGCAATAAAAGTTTTTGATTACTTTACAAGATCTTAAATACTCTTACTGATTATTTATATGATGTGACAACATTTCTATTAATATCTTCCGTCATGTTTAACCATACATAAAAGAAAATAATAAAATAACTGGTCTATTAGTCGTTTATCTATTTTTAACGTACTGATACGTGGCATCTACTTATTTATAATTTGTATTAATTAAAACAAACCACAAGGCTACAGAGTACGACTCTCAAGTCTGAGGTCATAGGTTCGATCCCTGGCTTTCCCTCCAAACCAAAGGAATTTCTGCCCATGTGCGCATCTAACACTCACTAGTACCGTGAAGGAAAACATCGTGAGGATACCGGCATGTCACAAATCCAGAAATACCTACCCACTTGTGTATGAAATAAAAATTATCAAAGAAACGAATGCAATCTGAGAGCCATGACCTATATAGGGTTGTAGCGCCTGTGGATTATCATTTATTATATAGATTAAAAACTATATCGATTCAGATTTATCAAATGGTTATTTCCTTTCGTATCCGACTTATATCGGCACGAGATGCGTATTTGGCATTACTTAGATATAGAAATGCGCTGTGTTTTCGTACGCCAAAAATGTATGTATGTATTCGATTTAATTTGCGCCTATAAAACATCATAGCACGAAGAACAACGCAGATAAAGAAATGTTTCTAAAAACAATTCAGCCAAAATATTGTTTCATTCCAGGACTCTTCTGAAATTCAGATACGTATTTTTTTGTAAAGAGACACTACGACCTTTACAATTCACTATGCTTTACTTTCTATTCTACGTGATGAGTGGACTGACACCTATCAAACCCAACATGGTTAATATATGTGGAGCGTTTGGAATGCCTCAGAATGGCAAACAAATTGTGGTGAGTTTCAAAAACTAACAAGGTCGTAAACAAGAGACCTTCGTGTTGTGTAAAATTAAAGTCCTCGCCACCAAAAAGTCCGGTAGACCCAGCGCTGTCAGCGTTGCCAATGTTCAATTATGTACCCACAATGTACTTTCTATTATTAAAAGATTTACAAGTAATTAAAATTTGCGTTTTTGAGTAGATTAAGGGGTTAATAATTCTCTTATGTATTTGTATTATGTAGTTTAATAAATCAATAATTTAGAATTTACAATAGTTCGTAGAGGTAGAGTCGAATAAATGTTATTAAACTGCCTGACATACAGTCACTATCGCTTCGTATAATGTTTCGCTATCGCTTTCTGTCGCAATCACAAATGTGTCCTCTTCCCTATCGCTTTCTGTCGCAATCACAAATCTATCTATTTGTATATCAATTAACCTATAATTTTTGAAAATTTTCAAGTGTTGTTTTTGCAAAAACCGCTCGTTATTATTAATTCTAGTAATTTTCTGTTCGCACCTTGAACAACATTATTTTCTGCAACTTTTCTTTTCATTGTCTCCATATTTTTTCGACCGGTTTAGATCGCAATGATAGGGTGATAATTTTACGAGCTCGTGATTATATTTGCAAAGTAACTCGTAACTAAGTAACCGCCTAAATAAATTTAGGCCCTTAAAACATTTTTTATTCCCCCAAAATTTGGGGGGAAAACCCTCAAATTGGCATCACTGCCTGCTTGTCAATTTTAATTTATTTTTTCGCCGCGGGACTTCTTTGGTGGCGCGGGTTCTAATAAAATCATTTCTCCTAATGAAGTCATAAAAACTATTAAAATCAATCAATTTTAAAACCTTTTACGTTAGCTCATTTAGATTCCAATATTTATTTTATTTCATGAAAAAATCAGAACTATAAAGTAAATATAAACAAATTTATTTATTAAGTTTCCAATTTTAAATTTATTGATTTAAACTAAATATTTTTCTTTGTTTTTTTTTATTTTTAGCACTGATTGAGTTACAAGTTATATTTACATATTAGTTAAATTTATTAGCTCTATATATTTTTAATTTTATTTGAATTCTTCATCGATCCGATTTGTATGAAGTACCGTAACGATGTGTAGGAAACAAATGCACTTCTATGTTAAGCCAAATATCCATTTTCGGTATAAAATGTTTCTTTATAGGTGAGAATCGCACTAACACTTCTGTCCATCTTTCAGATGATGGTTGGTATTATTACCTGCCTTAGTAGTGCATTCGCAATAATAGCAATAAAGATATTAGGAAAACGAAAACTGGCCATATCTGCGCTCTTCATGTCATCCGTCTGTTGCGTGGGTCTTAGTATTTATGCAAAGATTCACCTTGGAAAAGAAGTCTTCTCATATGACGTCACTACCTTCCCTAAAGAGACAAGTTATACACCCCTGGTTCTATTCTATTTGTTGACCTGGTTCACGGCCTGTGGGATACCCTGGGTGCTGCTTGGAGAAATCTTTCCATTTAGGTAAGTTATATTAACAGCGGTAAGTTAGTGGTTAGTGGGTTACTGGGTCATCCGTGATGAATCTAACTCAGAAGCAATAATACTGTAATAAGTAATTAATGGTAAATTCCCCCTTTTATAACAAGAATTGTGTAGAAAAATTGTCTATGAAACATGCCATATGCTCTATTCTGTGGTAGAACCCCTAAAATGAGACATAGAACGACATTGCCCACCCGGCGCTCCCATATATCTTAATATATATAAATTACGTGTCACGTTGTTTGTCCGCTATGGACTCCTAAACTACCGAACCGATATCAATCAAATTTGCACACCGTGTGCAGTTTGATATAACTTAAAAGATAGCATAGCTTACATCTCAATTTATATCCGAAATATTATTTTATTGCAAAATATTTGTTTATTATTTGATAGTCACAAATCTAACAGATGGCGCTGTGTTGAAAGTACCAACGTTTCACATAAGCTACAATTTAATGGCATAACCACCAAAAAAGCATGGTGGTCCCCATGACTGGTGTTCTCCTACCGTTTCCCTTGAATAGTTTCTACTATGTAATATAACAAAAACCTTAGCCACAGCAACGCTTGGCCGGTCTGCTAGTTTATTATATATTTTTATGGAAATAAACCCAGGACCTCCGGTTTACCCACACTAAGTACAAAGGCGTTACATATGTAAACCAACTGGAATTTTATATATTTTGGGCTAATTGGGAGAATTTAGAATCTATTAATTCACCAGTGTATAAAATGTTCTTTGCAGGAGTCGAGCTTCTGCCCAAGGTATAGCCGCAGCCAGTTACTACCTATTTACTTTCCTTGGATCAAAAACTCTGATCGATCTCGAAACATATGCGAGACTGTGGGGTGCCTTTGCAACGTATGCAGCCTTCGGCTTTCTCGGCACAATTTACTTGTACTTTTTCCTTCCAGAGACCGAGGGAAAATCTTTAGCGGAAATAGAATCGTTTTACAATGGAAAGCTAAGAATTTTCCCTGACGATCCCTTTTTTAACTACTTTAAGCGACAAAAGAAAAAATGATTGTGATATACGTAACCTCAGAGAATTATTTTTATAATGTAATAAATTAATTTTTTATATAATCTCTTTTCTTATCTTACAATTCTGGGGTTGTAAATAATAGTTTTTATGACCACAAGGATTAAAAAGCCGTAATCATGCACGTACGTACATAATTGAGCTCCGTAATTAAATAGTGAAAAGTGACAAAATACTGAACATTCAACTACAATTCACCAATAAACTTATACGAAAAGTGCAAAGATAATAACTACAGTTATAAAAACAGTGCGATTAAAAACTATATCGTAAAACAATCCCGAAACAACTTCTGATATCCCACTAAAAAGTGAAAGTTCATAGTCCGCCATTACACGTAATTCGCATCTAACAACTGACATCTCATCTAGTACCAACCTACGCAGCAGTACCGGGCAGTGTTGCAAGATTAAAAAAAATAATTAATTAGCTAAAAGGTGTTACAATTTATTAATTCCACTTTTCCCTAGAATGGATAAAAATATCGTAATGCTTTGGGAAAAATTAGAGGAAAAATTAAACCAACAAACTCTAACTATAACATCAGCAGTAACCACAAACGTTATGGAAGCGATAAATAATAAGATGGATTCAATTATTCAAGAAAACAAAAAATTCAAAACTCAGATTACAAAACTTGAACAAAAACTAGATCAAATGGAAATAGATAAAAGAAAAAAGAATTTGGTATTTTTTGGAGTTGAAGAAAAGGGAAAAAGGGAATCTGAACTGGTAGACTATATCAAACAAATTATAACAGATACAGGTTTACATCTAGACAGCCAAGAAATAAGCAATGTTTACAGAATTGGAGCACAAACTAACAAGAATCGGCCAGTAGTCGTTTCCTTGACGACAATTTGGAAAAAACATTTGATACTTAAAAATAAATCCAGCCTTCCATCTGGGATCTATGTAAAAGAAGACTACCCGAAGCACATAATAGAAACCCGAAAGCAACTGCAACCAAAAGTAGAGGAAGAAAGAAACAAGGGTAACTTTGCATATATCAAATATGATAAGCTAATCGTTAAGAAACCAAATGATCCAGGCCGTGAAAAAGGAAGCGGGAACAGAGTGACTCGCCGATATCACCTACACAAAAGAGGTCAAACCCTAACAAAGCAACGATGCCAACTGCAACGAATACAAAGGATGTAATAAAACCTAATTTATTAAATTATATAGCAAGGGGAAGGTCTAGCTCACTTTCAGAGGTATCAAAAACAACTAACTACCCCCGACAACCGGAACAAAAACAATGCTAACTGTAGATCAACACCAACAAAGGACAACGAAAGAAAACATGCACTTACCACCCCAAGCCGGCTGGTCACCGTGGGGCTCAGCGACTACTACCCTCCTAATTCACAATTCTTAACAAATACAATCAATTCCAACAGATCTCACTCACCACATCACATCTCTCCCGCAAAAGAAATTTCCCATATATTTATTTGTACTTTTAACGCGAGATCACTATCATCAGACGAAAAACTCCTAGAATTTAAAGAAAGTATTGCTTCAATAAGGTATGACATTATTGGCTTATCAGAAATAAGAAGAGAAGGATATAACATTGAAGAGGATAGTGAACATATATTTTGTTACTTCGGTGAAAGAAAGGGACACTTAGGCGTAGGGTTTCTCTTAAAGAAAAGACTCAAGCTATACATTGAGAGTTTTATTGGTGTATCAGAACGAATCTGCATTTTAAATTTAAAAATAATAAATTTAGATATGTCTATTATCCAAGTCCATGCACCCACTTCTGAAGCAAGCGACAATGAGATAGAGAAATTCTATGAACAAGTACGTAATGCTATGAAGCACTGCAACAAGCAGTTTATATTAGCAGGTGACTTTAATGCTAGAATAGGAAAAAAGGTTGCCTGGTGAAGAAAGAGTAATGGGTGCAAATTGCTTTGGTAAACGGGATCAAAGAGGAGATCTGCTCCTGCAATTTTGCCGTGAAAACGACTTAAAGATAATAAATACCCAATTTACAAAGAAGCTAAAAAACCTATGGACCTGGCTTTCCCCCAAAAAGCGAAGAAGTCAAATTGACTATATATTAACAAATGACATGCGACATATACAAAACATTGAAGTGGTGCACAATCTATCATTTGCCAGCGATCACAGTCTTGTAAGATGCACATATATAGTAAAAGACCTAAAAAAGAGTCGGGTAAAATATAAAAATAGTGCATACTCTTATCTTAAGTCCCCAGAAGAGGAAGAGTCATATTTAAAAACTTTAGAAACCAAAATAAAAGACATAAAAGATATTGATGAAGGCAACGTAAACAAATATTATGACCAAATTAAGACGTCACTTACGGGAAGCATAAGAGCCGTTACATTAAAAACTAAAAATAGATATAATCGTAAAGGTTATATTATCTCAAATCACATAAAGGATCTGATATCCAGAAGAAACGAGTTGACACGTAAAACACATTTAAGCAGCATAGAAAAGAAGGAACGAACATATCTGTATAAAAATATACATAAAATGATTAAACAAGACAATAAAAAACATAGATTACAAGTACTAGAGAAATTTCTAACAGAATCAAGGAGTATAAAAAAGGTTTCAGAGCACTAAACAGAACCAAACAATGGATACCTCGAATAAAAACCAGTTCATCATAGACAACATACTCTAGATCCATAATAATTGAGATAGCTACTAAATTCTACAAGGAGTTATATGGCCCTAATAATAATATAATTAATAATACAGAAAATTTCGAAATCCATCACAACAACTTATCGACTGAAAGATTTTCAACTTATGAAGTTATCAAAGCTATGGAACAATTAAAGGTAGACAAAAGCTGTGGACCAGATGGCATAACAAATGAAGCTATAAAAGTTGGAAGATTTTTTGTTAGCAACCCCCATAACAAGGCTTTTTAATATGGTTATGGATTCACGAAAAATACCCAGAGAATGGGCACGGTCTGACATAATTTTACTATATAAAAAAGGGGACCCGACTGATGTGGGCAACTACCGCCCGATAAGCTTGCAACCTAGTATGTACAAATTGTTCGCTTCCTGTCTAGAACGACGCTTGTCAAAATATACCGAAGAATATCAACCAGTAGAACAAGCTGGTTTTAGAAGAGGCTTCTCTACTATAGATCATATTCATGCCTTAGACATGATTATAGAAAAATATATCGACCAAAACTGCCCCTATACCTAGGTTTCGTTGATTACGCCAAAGCTTTTGACACCATATCTCACAAAAGCATGTGGCAAGCTCTTGGTGAATGTAATGTTCCTTATGAAATAATAGAACTCATACAAAATATATACCAGCAAAGCGTAAGCCGCGTGAAGTTAGACAGAATTGGCCCAGAAATAAAAATATGCAGAGGCGTAAGACAAGGAGATCCTTTGTCACCTAGAATATTTATAACGGTTCTACAAAGCGTAATGAAAACCCTTCAATGGGAGAAAAAAGGGATAGAAATAAATGGTCAGTATCTAAGCAACTTGAGATTCGCCGACGATATAGTTATCTTCTCAAACAGTGCGACGCAGCTACAAGACATGCTTAACGAATTAGTCTGCGCAAGTAGAAGCATTGGCCTAGAAACGAATACCTCCAAAACTAAAGTTATGACTAACAGCAAAGAACGACCAATTTTTGTCAACGCCACGTCTCTTGAATATGTCCAAAACTACATATACCTAGGAAAACAAATATCGTTTAGTCAAAACAGACATGTGGAAGAAACAAACAGACGTGTAAACCTAGCATGGAACAAATATTGGGCTTTAAAAGAAGTACTGAAATCCAACCATAACTTAACTATAAAAAGAACAGTCATGGACACATGCATACTTCCATGTTTGTCATACGGATGCCAAACCTGGATTTTTAACAAGGCGTTAATAAAAAAGATTGGAGTATGCCAAAGGGCTATGGAGCGCTCCATTCTTCAATTGAAGCTTAAAGACAAAATAAAAAACAAGGTGATACGAAGTCGTACAAAAATAAAAGATGTTGTAACTTATACAAAAAGGCTAAAATGGAAATGGGCCGGTCACATTGGCCGCATTTGTGATGGCAGATGGGTCAAAAAGACCCTTACTTGGAAGGGCCCAGTGGGAAGAAGAAAGAGAGGATGCCCACCGAAAACTTGGGAAGACGATATTATAAAAGGGATAGCGGGAAAAAACTGGAAAATTGTCGCATCAAATAGGGATAAGTGGAAGAATCTGGAGGAGGCCTTCACTCCATCGGAGGTCGAGTACAAGTGTAAAACTTAAAAGACATAGACTTACTGTAGTTATAGTGTACTCGAATAAAGGCTATAATTAATTTTTTTTATTTTATTTATTTAATCATGCACGTAGAGAAACATTAGCGGCTGTTCATTAAGCAAAATTTCTTAATTCTTTCGTGCCCACCCGATACTATAATTGTCTCGCTAATTGAACATGTTACAAGCGTGTTAAAAATAAATAAATGATTTTGACTTGACTTGCGTTAACCACTGGCATATAGGAGGCCTCTTGTCACGTCATAATACCTTATTTTATACTATATACCTGAATGATGTAAGTCAAGTTATCGTATTTAACATTTTAAGCAATAAGTTGGGTATGTAAGTATAGTCAATAAGTATATAAAAATCCCATTAACTTTAATTAATTTTAAAAGCACCAGTAAGAACTATTACAAGCTTAAAACACGTTTGTAAATTTAAACTTAACTGAAAAAATTGTACCACCGTGATACGTACGTAGAGAATTTTTCGTAAGTAAAAGACAATATTTAATAATAGCAAAATCATCTCAAAACGGATGGATCATCAACTCTAGCCATAAACAAAGGTATTGTGAACTGTGTATCCCAAAGGATGGCAATGAACGGCCTATTGGCTTTAAAATGTGGTAGTGGATCCTCAAAAGATAGCGCAACTGCTGCGAATGCTGATGCTGCAGCTGCTGTGACCCCTTGCTCATCGATGGATAGGTATCCAGAATGTAGAGCATCAGAAATGTGTGGCGGGTAGGTACGGTATACCCCGATACCGGCTAATTCTGATTGGGAATCGAATATGTTGTTTACACCCATCTGTTAAACAAATATAAAAAAAATTAGTTGCTACGAGTCGTCGATTTCTCTTGTGCTTTTAGTTAGTAAATATACATAATATCTCTAACTGGAGGAAAAATGATCAGAGCCCTTACTCCAATTATACAAATTGGAGCGATACAAACAGCGATCCCGATTTCAACAAGTTTTTCTTCCCTGATATCCCATCCGCTCTACGTCTATTGAGAAAGCGACATTGAACTTGCCTACAAAAACGACGGATAGTTATTGCTATTGGAATTTACAGAGTACGGGCGTAAAATTCGAAGAATAAGCCTTGATTATTTCTCTTGTTTAATCGGTCTCACTGTTATATATTCCGCCGAAAGGTAAACTTAGGGTCACAGTTTAATACATAACCAAGCATTAGGTAAAACAACTTACATTTTTCAAAACTGGCCGCAGGTTGGTATCAGATTTCATTGTAAATTTCGGAATCTCAATATTAATTTCCACAGGTTGTAGTTCATGGTAATTAATGATGTCATCGTCTGTGACTTTAGACAATAATTCTTCAGTAGTGACGCCTTCATTGGGCATTATGAGAACTAAAGAATATTGATACCTCTGGAAAAAACATTTAACTTTACAGCAATATAAACATTGTGATTATAAAATTATAGTAAAGATTTATCTCAAGATTACCATAACATATTATGTAACAATCTCTTGGATTCTTTACAAAAATATCTCGTTATATCTCGAAGAAATACGCGTGTTCTAACTGCCTCAAAACAAAGTTTGATGTCTATATAATAGTGAATAATATTAAGGAAATATTGTCATACTGAAATATCTCTGACTCATCCCTCAACAAGTGGTTACGGTGATTCACATTTGTTCAATCTAGACGTTTAAATCTCTACACGACGCGCGACGCGACGCCCGCATCGTTATGAACTTATGAAAACGTCATCGTTTCAATTATATCAAAATTCATTACCATTTTCACACTACACTATATAGCTTATACAACACTAAAAAGTAAAGTTATGTAAATAAGTAAATAGTTATTAATATTAAAAAAAAATTCATGCAATAATATATGAAAGCCTTTAAGATACTCAAAGAGTCCCCATGGGGCATGAAACAAACATCTTTCCTTCGTTGCTTATTTTAACATTTGTGATCTAAAATCTTCAATTTTTCTTCCAACCTTCAATTGGGAATTCACCTAACCTAATTAACTAGACCACAAAGGTCAAGATAACATCTAGGTGGATTGTAGGTATCCAGTACGCCGTAAGAGTGAGTACTTACTTCAAAAGGTAAAATAACTACGAGAGAGTCAATTCTGTCATCGGCGCCAAATTTGAAAGACTGCCGCATCCGCATAAATGGTACTGTCACAGTTTGGCGATTTTTCAAATAAAATTTTCGAGGCTGCGTGGCTTCTGGCTTGAATTTTGTCTCCCAAAGCCCCTTGAAGTAAACTACGTTTACAAGTACAAGTTGAGTGGTTGGATTGAAAATTTCTGAAAATAATTTTTACCATTGTCTACAAAAATATCTAACGTTATTGTAATATACGTGTTATTAGAAATTTTGTTGTGTTGTATCTTAGTTTGCACGTTAATACGCTTTTTAAATCGGATACAACATTTCTTTAACTAATGAACCCTATACCAGATACCTATAACCATTTTAACTTCTTACGTTCGTTACGAATTAAAATGTAAACATCCAGTTAGGTATTTGTTGCAATGTATTTTGACGATATTTTGACTTATTAAATCCTGGAGGGGGGGATAAGAGGATAGCATTTACTGTCAATTATGTAAATCTTAATTGTATTTTATTGTTTTTAGTCTAAGTTTGACCATTGGGCTGTGAATAAATAAATAAATAAATAACGACAAAAGAGCATCGCTTATTGATGTATTTAAAAAAAATGGTTTTTAATTGCTGAGAATAAAAACCTGGTGCTTCAAGCTAAACGCAGATGAGTTAACATATCTTTTCTAAAGACATACACATAAATCCTATAATAGGTTTCTTTTTAACGGAATTTCGAGTCCTTGACATTTCCTCTCTATAAAATAATTTAATGTGAAAATTTTAAGTTCCGGAGATGTTGTTTTTAAACTTTTGTGAATACATATATTATAAACAAATACACGCGTAACACTTAAAAACTATCTTGAAAATTCTTCGCCGCCTAAAATCGTACCTGGTGAGAGCATATCAGTAATTTTTTGATTAGTATTATCCGCAATCCATTTGTTTATCCTATTCGCAGCATCATCGGCTCGAGCGAAGTTCATTGGAGTGACTTCGCTGCCAAAATTACGAATTGCTGTGCTTTTAAAGGCGGGATCCATGTCAAAGGAATCGGATACAACAACATTATTTGCTACGTTGAGTACGTTTCGAGAATTCCGTTTCTGTAAATAATTAGAACATACAAAAAAATAAAAAATAAATCAGTGGCGCTACAAGTTACAACCTCTTTAGGTCTTGGCCTCAGATTTCTGAATCTGTTTCATGATCATTTTTTAAAAATCTAATAGGCAAGTAAGTGATCAGCCACCAGTGCCTGACACACGTCGTCGACTTTTTTTGGGGTCTAAGACATGTCGGTTTCCACACGATGTTTTCCTTCACCGTTCGAGCAAATGTTAAATGCGCACATAGAAAGAAAGTCCATTGGTGCACAGCCGGGGATCGAACCTAGGACCTCAGGTATGAGAGTCGCTGAAGCCACTAGGCCAACACTGCTCTTTAGAACATACACTTGGTAAATTAAAAAGATCATCAGACTATATAAAACGATAATGGGTAATTATGACAAAACTTTGCATTTATACCATATATATAAAGAGGAATTATTAATTTGACGCTTCGAGTCTTCAACTAAAATTTTGATTACCCTCATATCAATGGTGAGACGTCGATATATAGGTGCTGTTATCTCTGGCGCCATGCCTAATGCATTTGTGATCTGCTGTTGCGCTCCGCCATTGGTTCCTTGCTGCAGCAGAGCCAAAAGCGTCGCTATCGATGTTGGAGACATCATAATGTTTCCAGATTGCAATTGTACTGCACTCTGAAATTTTATACCAGAAAATTATTAGACAACACAAAAAACGTGAAACATTTAATTCGTGGATCGTTCTTTAATACGCAGTAGAAACAAAACACAAGGGTAGTATTTATTGTTGCAACATGAACAGTGATATTTTTTTTATTGAAGAGATTTTCGAATTACATACATTCATTACTCCAAAATAATACAGCATTATACCAATTTCGGAAAATTTTCCGTTAATCGGATAGCAGAATACCAGCTCTGCTACTATTTAATTTTTATTATGAAATAATTCTTACCCTCAACAAATTGACACCTAAATTTGTAACTCCGTGGCTGACATTGCTAAGTAGTTCTTTCTGCGGCTCCACATTTTGAAGAACATTTGGTTTCGAAAATCGTGACTGCAGCCCCGAAAATCCATCCTGACTTTGCAAATCATTGTAGTTATATCTCTGAACTTGTTCAGTAGGGTAGTAAATACCGTTATCATTCATACGGTTATTTGGGACGGAATAAAAATACTGTTCATTCTGCCGATTGTTCGACCAGTCGTTGGCTGTCTGACTTGCGACAAACACAAATAAAGCTTGTAAAACTGAAAAAAATATGTTTATAATACAGCCCTGCGATTCTGTAACTCACACAGCGGTTTTAATAAACTACAAACTCCACCTTTTATGAAATCACTGCACCTGATTTGTGAGCGACCGCCGTGCGAAACCGCTGTGTGAGTTCGAAAAGTGAGTTACAGAATCGCAGGGCTGACCTGGGCCTAATTATATGATACGCAATAATTGTATGAATTATCAATAACAAATTGTTTTAAGAATTTGTGGAAAATATCAGTATGAAGGTGAATACCTGTTTAGACATAATAATGGTATGCGTAATTAAATAATTGTTATGAAGTATTCCATCTGATTGATCTGTTTTTTGTATTGGTATAGACCGAGCACTGGATTCTCAGACAGTGATGCCAACTCCTACATAGGTAATGTTACTACGACCGACTTCGTATACCCATAATTAATATCGATTAAAAACCCCAAAAGTTTAAAAGTACAAATATGCATTAAAAATACATTCAAGTAGTATAAAACAAATAAATATAAATGTTTAGGATTGTGCGTTCTTTTAAGATTTTTTTGGAATAAAGTACCACCTTGTTTGGGAAGAAAACCCGAAGGTGGCATCACTGTTCTCAGACGCAGTTCAGTTAATTTATTCTCCGTGTACTATAGCGACAAAAAAGTCATAGGTTAACATTGATTATTGCCAGAAACTCAGGCGAAAATTACTAATGTCGGAATTATAATCGAAACACTACTCCTAAGTAATATAAATCATAGATAATGTTCAAAGAGCCATTTGACGTTTAACGTGTAATTTTCTATAGACAAAACAATTTATATCAGATACTATATAAAAGATTTTGTCTCTATCTATTTAATTAATTACCAGGACGAAAATATTTTATACATGTTGTTCGCGTGTTTTAATGTGCGTCTTAAATACTGAATAACTTATAAACTTAGGTTAATATTAAATATAACTACAACTTACCGATTAAGAACATTTTCATATTACTACATGAACTATGTTTAAACATTAATAATGAAATTAATACACATTCTCTTGACTAGAATTTATCGTATAAATCCACACACAACAACACCAAGCAAGAGATTGACCGTAAACAAGTTATTATATTTATCATATGTTTCAATTCATTGAATTATAAGCCTTAACATAATGGTCATAAAGGTTTATTTAAAAAAAGTTGTCATAATTCGTTTTTAATTTAGTGAAAACCATCTTCCTTGTGGTTTTCCCTATTGTAACTGGTTTACTTGAAGTTATTTTATATCAATGCTAGTAGCATACGTATTATTTTTACAGTTTGAAAATTAAAAATATATCATTCACTTGAAACTACGAATCGGTGAAGCGATTATATTTCTTAATCGCATTAATATCAAGCATATGTATTAGTGTTAATTTGACAAATTTAGGAATTTATAAGGCATAAAATAAATTAAAATATACTTGTTTTGAATTTGACTGATTATTTTATTTGATTATGATTTTATTAGCCATGTTATTTATTTAATTATCTGATAATTTATTTGCGCGCCATCTAGTGATGGTTTTACTAAACATCACATCATTATTTCAAACGTCCGAGTCGTTTACTAACAATGTCATTAATTCATGCAACTTACCTAAACAAATATAATTTAGTGACAAAGTACAACTTCACAAGTGAATTTGGCTATGTTTGAAATAAAACGTCTCAATTATATAAAACTTTTATTGTATCACATTCACTTAATAATAAAATAACTTAATTTAAAATTATAATTAATTATTAGAACATTTTTTTATTTCTCATTTCCTGATTTATCACTTAAATGTTGATGTGGATGAGGCTGACACTGCGTTGTTACTGCTTCATTGAAATGGCTTATCCAAAATATACTTTTTATCATTAAACAATTTTACATTTTTCAAGAACTACTTAAAAACAGGAAACTTAGCTCGTTTTTCATATATCGCAACACATCTAGAATTCACAAATAAGTTTTGATTTATAATTTATTACATTTTTAAAATGTCGGTACTCTTAATAGTGTTTCTAAAGCTTTTAATAATTTGACCAGTTTTTAACTAATAACTAGTTCTACCATGATTTTGAACAAGTCGTGAACTTGCTGCTCTTAAAATTAGCAAAACAGACTTTTCATAAAAATATTGTACGCAGACCTTTAATTATCTCAAATCTATGGTAATAACCCAACTAAAACAATTACTAATTTATACATTTAGAACTATAATATTAATACATTAAAAATGCCCTGACAATGCCCTCACCCCCTGTATGATACAAATAATTCAATTCATTCTTCAATCTCTCTAAAATACTTAAATCGTTCTTAAATAGTTTTTTGGTTGCGGTAAACTCAAAATCATCAGTAAATAACATTTTCAGGGTTTCGATTTGTGCAATACAGACTTCTATTATATTGTCGTCTTTCATTATAGCAGCTTGGTACCTGTAATAAAAACAAATAAAAAATAAATAATAGTTTATAAAAACTAGAACACACGCTTTTAAAGCTTTTTTTGTATTTCACCAAATACCAGTATTTTTGTTCATTACCATTTTCAGCCTAAATTTAGTTTTTTTTTCGGATTATTGTTTCACTTTTTAAAGTTTGAATTATCTGCCGAAAGTGTGGGGGGGGGGGGGGGGGGGGGGGGGGGGGGGGGGGGGGGGAAAAAAAAAAAAAAGGGGGGGGGGAAGAGGGGGGGGGGGGGGGGGGGGGGGTTTTGTTTGGGGGGGGGGGGGGGGGGGGGGGGGGGGGGGGGGGGGGGGGGGGGGGGGGGGGGGGGGGGGGGGGGGGGGGGGGGGGGGGGGAGGGGGAAAAAAGGAGGGGGAAAAATGGGAAAAAAAAAAAAAAAAAAGGGGGAAAAAAAAAAAAGAAGAAAATTTAAGTTTTAAAAAAAGGATTGGGAAAAAAAAACCCCTTTTTTAAAATTCTAGTTTTTATAAACTATTATTTATCAATTTTATTTTTTTTGAGGAGTTTTTTTTTTTCGGATTATTGCATTGTCATCGATCTTTGACAGGTGCGCAAAAATGCTTTGATATAAATCTGTCCGTTAAAAGAGAATGGGTCTAAAAATTTCGAGTACATAAGACTTTTTTTATTTTGATTTTTTTGTTTTATAATAGACTATTTTCGTGTCTATTGTCACAAACGTGATTTGAATCATTAAACATAAATATTTAAAAACTTCTGATTATTTAATTTTTTTTACTATGTCCGTTGACAAATGAAACCCGCTTTTTCACAAAAGTGCCTAAATCCCGACTTGACTAAAAAGAAATCTGGCAACGCTGATACATACATACAGGTGAAGCTAATATAAAGCGTGTAAAAACTGGTGAGACATCATAGTGTAGTAATAATTCGTCAATACATGACCGACACTTATCACAGAGAATCACTAAATTTGTGTAATTGTATCGTCCTTTGTATACAATTCAAACCCTCAATTAGATACTGGCTGTATAATTCTTTTTTAATTTATTTAGGTAGGAGTATTTATGTAGGATTAGATTTTTTATAATTTCTTGCAATTCTGTATTATTAGTATGTAAAATAGAACCTCGTTAGCAAAAACATATTTCTCATGCATTAAACGTTGTTAAAAAGATTTTGACTGACAACGATATGCAATCTCGCAGGAAGGGAGGGGCATAAGGCAAAATCGCTTTACGATAGGTATGAGAAAGACATTCACTCTTTTCATTCGTCACGTGACCATTCTCATACTAATACGTTTTGGCGTTGATATATAAACAAAAAAAAATCATTTACGTACACAAAAGATCCTCGAAGTTTCTCGGACAAATGTTGTTGCTTTAGTAGTAATAATGCAGTTCTGATGGCCGCTGCAGCGATAACTGAAGGGTACTCATTGCACATATCCAAATTTAGAGTCATTGCGCAAAGACATATGAATGAGGCAGACAACAAAATCTCCTCTGGGTGCTTATTGTTACACCACCAAGCTAAATATGTTATAAATTCTTGAGGAACAACGGGCTGACGTGGAATGTTCTAGAACAAAACATATTAATAAACATACAGTATGGCAGAGAATACGTGTATTAAGTCAAGCGATTTAATTATAGTAAAGTTCTGAGAATAAAAGGCGGGCGGGCTTCGGTTTCACTAAATTACCATCACAGACTAACTTCTGTATATAGGTTCAATAAGTATCATAACTTAAAAATCTGAACATTTCTTAATTGATTTTAACATGTTTTGGTACATAGCCTATAGGTACTACATCTACTACTTTAGATTGACCTGGCTTGGCAACTTAGCATACGAAAACTATTGTCGATTATCATATCGACATCCTTACCAGCAGGCGCAAAATCCTTTTTTCAACGGTACATAGATGTTCGGCATCAAAAACGCCACCAGACCTCTCGACAAGCGCGCGTGCTGTGCACACCTTACCATGGACCTTTCTTGATATCCAGAAACATGCAGTTATTGCGACAGGCAGGTCATTGTCTTTTAGCTTGCGTAGTGACAACACTGTATCGAAGTACCACGCTGCTGTTTGGATGACGGCTGGGTCACCAGTACTCTAAAGAGTATATTCTTAGTTAGTAAGAACGAACAAAAACTTAATTTAGCGACGATATGATATATTTAAAAATATTGCCAATTCTTGGCTACTAATAAATTAGTTTATGATGTGCACTTTCAAAACTGATGAACACACACAATAAGTGTTGGCCTAGTGGATTGAGGATGTGCGTCTCAACCCTAAGGTCGTGTGATTAAATCAAAACAGTACACTTTTCTTCATATGGGCGCAATTAACTTTAAATCGTACGGTAAGGGTCAATCGTGATAAAACCGGCATAGACCTACAAAATCAAAAGGATGATCACCTACTTGGCTATTAAGAAAAAACACTGTAGTGAAAAAGAAACAGAAATGTGAGAACTGGAGGTTGTAACGTCACTGATTTTCTTTTCACTTTGTAATTAATATATTATGTAAAAAAATACACTTAATGTATAGACCTAAAAAAAAAAAAAAAAAAAAAAAAAAAAAAAAAAAAAAAAAAAGGAAAAAAATAAAAAAATACACTTAATGTACAGACCTAATTTGCTAGGTTCTAATTTCCATGCATAATCTGAAGACAAGACGAAATTATCCAGTTTTCTCTACAACGAGGGACAAAGCGACGACGAGTCAGAGTAAATAGCAGATAGCATTCATTTGATTTTTTTATTAATGTAACGTCAATAAAGATCAGGGAAGACAGACTGATTTATTAACATTACTTATAGCAGGGAGGCGATAGATGCCACAATAATATTTGTTTAAAAAAATTACGGTGTACACGAAAGCAATTTCTAATAAAAAACTTACGTTTATATCTACAAGCCAATTCAATGCGAACGCCCGGTTTTTTATCACAATCAAAAAAGTCGGATACGGTGTCTTTTCCTCTTTTTCTAATAAATATGTAAATATATCCATTCCATAAACACGATTACACGTCGCATCACAGGAAACTATAAAAAATAAGAAACAAAATATGTATACACAAAGCTGATTTGTTGATAATAAAAATTAAATTTAAATCAGCAACGTTGTATGGATACCACAAATATGATTGGTATTAAAATAATCACTACCTGATATAACACTAATTGAATCAACAACTCAATAGCATTTTTTTAGAACAGGTTGCAAACGGGCAGAAGGCTCACCAGATGTTCAGTGAGACCGCCCATGGACACTCTCAATGCCAGAGGGCTCCAAGTGTGTTGACGGCCTTATAAGAATTGATGCGCTCTTTTCTTGAAGTACCCTAAGTCGAATAAATTCGGATATACTTCATTACGGTAAGCATAGTTCCACATAGTGGTGGTGCGCGGTAAAAACTACTCTAAAAAAACGCTCAGTTGTGGAACGACGGACGTGGAGGTGGTACGGGTGGAATTTTGTATTAGACCTTGACGTCCGATTATGAAACTCAGCTGCAGTTGTGCAGACAAAGTGGTAAATGCATTTTGAACAATTCCATAATTCGTAACTAAAAAAATATAACTTACATTTATGAGTGTTTACATTTGAGTTATATAGAAGGCGCTTTGGAATAAGAACTTCTTCGGTAAACGATAGAGACTTGGCGACAGATACCACACCTTGCAGTTCTCGACTGTGTGGTCTTTTCAAACTTTTCTTTATATTCTTAACACGGTTGTTCCTTGGCAACGTTGATGGAGTCAACTCCTTTTTATTTGTGGCATTTTCTTTATTATCGTTATCGTTAAAAACACTGAAGCCCCGATTAACATCTTCACGGTGTCTCACTGTTACAAATCTCGTATCAGCTATGGAAAAACTATTTGATTTTCGTAACCCTTTCCTCTTTTCATTGATTGAATTTTGTATATTTATTGAGACGTTTGAATCTAAATCCAATAATGTTTTCAATGGCTGCCGTGAGTCCTTTTTTAAACTTTTCTTTGGCACAGGTATTTTTGAAATATACTTTTTCGAGCCTTTGTTCTGATCGGTGAATTCCATTTTCCTTAGATAATGTAACTATAAAACGAGGTCTTTGTGTAACAGCAATTTATTACAATGCAACAGTTATATGCGTCCAGCGCGTAATCACGTCACAACTTGACTGCTAAGAACACTTTTTGTTGCATATTCCAGCCTACCCTCAAATAACAATATATTTTTGAATAACATACCTGTATCATTTTAAGTTGCGATATTAATAGGCTTTATTTAATCATAACACTATAAATGTTGTGACTTCAAGATGACCGAAGAAAACATACCTCAAGTGCCTTTCTATATGTTGAGCGATAACAACTTTAAAAACTACTATAATATTTATATTTAAGTAAATTAAAGGGGCATTGCGTATTTTTAAACAACTTTATAAACCCTGAAGGAGCTGTACGTCGCGCATATTTTTTTTAACACGTGAAGTGTTTAAAATACTTTATTCATTCCAAATAACAACAGCTGTGTGTTTTAATTTGGTAGAAATAGAGAGTGGAGGAAGAAGAAGGCTTACAGAATTGTAAATTCACACCGACTATTTGATATAAGTCGAATATTTTTTGGTATACTTTGTAGTAGGTACACAAGATACTTCAAAATTTTACCAATAGTTGTGTTACATAAATTTTTAACCAACAATTTTAGGAAGACATTCTATTTCATAATTATTCAATTACCTTATTACTAGCGTTTACAGACCGATAAAAAAACAATGTTTTTTACACATGGTTTTTACTGATTTATCGAGAGAACAAAGGCAACTTTTATCGCATCCATGAACTATTAATAACTATTTGAATACAGTCTTCGAAATAAAACAAACATAACAAAATAAATAATTTAATCTTAAAATCACAACTCTTAAATAACTTAAAACAAATTAAAATTAAAATGTACTTTTTCACTATCAAATGCTTCTGGCTATAATCCAACATCTACATTTCAGTAATTTTTTAACTTATCACAAAGTATTACACTCTTGTGATAAGTTAGAAAAATAATTGAAATAAATTATTTAGTAATTATTAATTCTAAACTCTAAGTCTGTCTTGCAAATTGTACAAACACATATCTTAGATGTGTTAGTAATATTGAAATTTCTATTTTTTCGAGAACTGTTTTTGATTTATTTTTACTCGTTGCTTGATTTTTTTTCAGTAGAACTAAGTCACGGACGTCATTTAACCTATTACATTGTATATAAAACTGATTATAACTAAGGAGAAATAAAAAAGTTATCTTAACTGCTCGTTGATTAATCTCAAATTTTCTTAAATAATACCAAACACAACATAAATGTAACTGGACAGGCATAAGCTATAACAACCAAAGAGCTTTCTTCAAATAGGATACTTTAAAAATTATCGTTAGGTGGTTCGGGGTCAGTGACCTTTCCAGCAACAACAACTAAATTATCCAAACAGTCAATGATGTAAAACACAAACGGGTGTTCAACGCAGAAACGACGAGGCTCGTTCAAAGGTACATTCTTGAGCTCCAAAACATCGCTCGCTGTAAAAAATAAAGAAGAAAGAAAACTGATCAGACAGTACTTCGCGATTGGTCGTTTAAATATTTAAAAATTTCATTCTTCAAAATCTGTCTAATTGAACCGTAGTCTAGAAACCATCTGTCTATTTTCATAACAGCATAAACAAAATTTGTCAGAAAGATACGAAAGAGTACTTTACCTAAAAGAGTACAATTATACTGGTTATATTTTATGGTTAATATATATATTTTTTGTATGCGGCGAACAAGAAATTATTAATGTATCAGTTCATGACAATTGAAAGTAAAAATATAGTAATGCAATTGACAACAGTCTTTGAATGTTACCTTAGGCTTTAAGGAAGATTCAAAGTCAAGACTCAGCGTGTACTATGATTCCCGTATGTCAAACACGTTATGGATTTAGACAGGAGCAGACTAGGCTAAGGACTAGGAAAAGACTAGGGAACCAATATTTAGGCAATACAAACCTCCAATAAGCGACGCAGTTGAATTAGTATTGTCTACCCTCACGACAACATTCTGAACCAGTTCCTGAACGAACAGCCCTTCCTTAGTTGATATTCCCGATAATTCTGCGTCACGGCCAAATATTCGGCTTACACCAAACTGCAATTTCAAAATTAATCACGCTATATGTGCGACTTCAATATTACTACTACCCACTACGTAGGTACACAATTATTAATTAACGACTTTAACTACTGTACTTCAGATTCATGCACATAAATAGTGAAGAGGTTGCTAACAAGAGGAATTGTGTTGTGTCAGACCTACCTTGACATACCATCAGTAGTCAGTACAAATAGGAATATAGTAGTTCTTAATCATGCGAATCTTTTTTTACACCCTTACTTGGGGTTTATATTGGACTGTTATGTGTATACTTAATCATAATTCAAACAAAAATCTAGCTTCAAGTCTCAATGAAATTCAAGATTATTTCATGACATAGTCATTTTACGAGCGCGTGATTATGTTTGCTAACCCCCTAAATAAATGCCAACAGACATCCCTACAAGAAAAAGTGCTTACCTTAGCTAAAGCAGCGACGGGTTTCGTAGTGGTACTGACGTAGAAAGTCGGCAGTGACACTTGAAGCTCCTCTTCAAAAAGACTATCCTTGATGTCAGAAATAGGGGCCGATGGAAGGTCTGCTGTTAGTCTCATGAGACCGTCTCGGGATCTTGGATTTACTACTAGTAAGGCGTATCTACCACCCTGGAATATATTATTTGCAAAAAAGTAAGTCAAACGACGTGACTTATCTTTACAATGAGAAGTATAGGAAATAAAAGCATTAAAAAAACCTTACATCATAAGGCAGAAGCAGTGCCTCACTATCCAACTCCGGCAACGATCCAGTCATGAACTTTCCTCTAGTCTTCATCATCATTACATGTTTCTTTTCAGAATTGGATTTATAGAATAGACCTGGTTCAATGACATCAAACGGCTTCTTCCACGAACCTCTGAAGTACATGCCGTTGAAGATTATCATAATTGAGGTTGATTCTGAAAATTATATAAGTTTCATATAAAGTAAAATACAAATGTAGCTTACAAATCAAAACCTCTTAAAAGCCTCAAGTATTCATACGTTTTGTCATGGTAATTCATTTTAGAGAGTCACAATGATAAGGAGAAATCATTCAATATAGGGATATACTATGCTTTAAATACTTTATATCCCATGTATATTATATAGTTTAGAACTGTAAAGATAATTAAACCAAATAATAATTACAAAAGAAACGGATTCAAAAATATAACTGCACTGCTGTAGCAAATTTGTAACGGCACGTAACTTGTGAATGTGTTCAGTTACGGAAATATCACACGGCAGTTAAAAAGCGTGGCTGTTACCCGTCCCCGTTGATGAGGAGATGTCCTTGGAGTTTTACTAGGTATGAACATCTCGAAATCCTACACGCCCTGCGGAAGGGTATGCGTAACGGAAATTACGAATGTCAAAAAAAGGAAAAGTTACGAAAAGAAACCTATAAAAGCCTACAAAAAGTATTTAGCAACAATTGTCAAAAAAACTTTCCGCAATACTACTAATAATTAAGATAATAAAATTAAGAGTATACATACTTGGATCACTGTCCTTTTTCCCAACACCATTTACAGAAATACTTGAAGCAATATCATTTTTGTTCATGAGCACGCGTTGGTTTCTAATATGGTTTCTTGCTTCATCAGCGACCATGGTCTCTTCTTCATCATTACTAACTTCTTCGTTAGAAATTTTGACTAATTTAATTTGTTCTTTAATATTTTTAGCTGGTTTGTAAGTTATTTGAGATAAATCAATTTTCTCTGGTTTATCTTCAACTGCATATGTTATGAGTTTCTCCTCATTTTCGTTTGGAGGTTCGATATCTTGAATTTTTTTGTCTTCCTCATCTTCACCAAGGTTTGAATATCTTTCTACCGATCTTACATCTGTTAAGTAGAATTCTTGCAGTATTTTCTTATAGTCTTCATTGATAGAGTAGTTTTTGTACACATAGAAATAATTTTGTAACTCAGGTTTGTTGTATTCAAATTTATTGGTGTATTTTAATCTTTCCATTATGTAGCGATAATTCTTTCTAATAAGTTTCTCATCTTTGGGGAGATGAAGTGCATTGACCAACTGCTCTTTAGTTTCTCCTTGGGCGCCTTCAGCCAAAATTGCAAGAATGGATGAATAGCCCAGGGGAGAAAACACAATGTTGTTAGTGTCATCAATGTAGCCCTGAAAATTAGGAAGACAAAATTCAACATATAACTTACAAGAGAACAATTATTATCAAATAACCATAAACAAAGGATTGTAGTGCCACTAGATTATTATTAGAATCTACGACGAGTAGCTGACCTAGTTGCTTGAACGTGCGACTTAACCCTGTTCGTTGGTTCTAATCACGTTAAGTGTGCACTAGACGTAGACTTTTCTTTCTTTGTGCGCATTGAATGTTTAGTTGTTCAATTAAAAATACGCACACACGATGAAATCGGTATGGCTTAGACCAAAAAAATTGATGGCGTGTGTCACACACAAAAAGGTGATCACTTAATTGTATACTATAAAAACCAAGAAACAAATACAGTTTTAAAAATGTTTTTTTTATTACAAGGGGAAGTCGATTAGGTTTTTAAAGTCAAGGTGCTTTTATAGCGTGAGCGAGTATTTTGACCATAAGTTTAACAATTATAAATGACTTAACTTCTTATTATGACATTGCAAAAAATTTCTATGTCATTTGCATGCCTATTTATATATGGCTGATTGTGCGGATTTTTCTTGTTGTTGGAAATAATTGTACCACTATCTTGGCAAATAAACGATTTCTTATTATTATTATTAACATTACCTGTAATAGTGCTGTTGACAGTTCATTGGTAGCCTCTCCAATAAAGCTGGTTTCTTTGGGTTGATTCGCTTTCCCACGTCGTAGCCATCGTGCCGAAGATAAGCCGGCACAGATCACCAGGACTAAAATTCAAAAGCTTCAATAACTCGAACCACGAAAACAATGCTATTATAATTGCTTTTTAATAATAAACTGCTTTTTTATACATTTTTCGTTAACTTTTAGTTCTAACATCCCCTTAGTCACAGAATTAAAGTAGTTATGGAAACAACTTATCTTACGAAAACATGTTTGTAAGGAAACGATTAAGACGGTATACAAGTATACCGTAAATATGTTCCATACTTAAGAAAATATATGTAAAAGGTATATGTAGGCCTATCCTATAGTTCATATTATTGAGGCAGGCCGTCGACCACATTCTGTAATATTCCACACATTTCGAACTAGGAAGTAGGTAAACACTCTTAGTCGTTACAATAAAAAAAATGTGCTAAAACGGTCTTTACTTATCTTCTTTTCTTCTGCTAATTTTCACTCAAAAGTAATTAAAATTTCCTTGATGGACATTGGAAATAGCGGTAAAGAGTTTCAATTCCTTTTTAATGTTTCTATTGCTAGATGTATTATTAAAGAATCATTTGTCATTTACGCCTGATGTCATCAAGGTCTTTGACGACCACAAAATATCAATGATGTAGTTTTTATAACCTAATAAACAGAAATAAATATTGACGCTTGATCTTTTATAGGCAAGGTTAAGCACTATCTCAAGTGAAAAAATAAATATTTCTTTTTATATTTCAATAACAAAAATAGATTCATATCATAGGTCGCTATACCTTATACCAATTTACGTTCGTAAAGGGATTTCTTAGTAACTGTACTTCGCATTAAATGCTTCCTTGATGGTAACTGTGCCATGCCGTGGTAAACACAACGGGTTCTTGGCAAGAGTATTTGGGTCTACTAGCGGTATATAGCTATCTAGACTTGATGTTTTAATTGAAACACATTAACCTACTCATGTCGTCATGCTAACTAATGTAAATAAAGAAATATATATATCGCTAGACGGCGTTTTGTTTGATGTGTTTTTTTTTAACTTGACGAATTTTAAGTACTTGTGTTTAGTATATTTGATGTTTAAATATATTATTAATGATGTCTAAGACAAGACTATTAAAAAAGACATATTCAGTCGTATAAATAATGGAATTTTATACAAAGAACCTTATTATTAACCTCAATATTTTAGGGTCGTATTGTAATAAATGTTAAATTTATAACCGCTGTGTAAATGGAAACATGTTGCAATAATTTCACAAAAAATATGACTCCGTTTTCATTAGAAACAGCTCTCTCCTGTTTACTTCTAGCTTTTTTGTCCGTAATCATCTGTATGTCAACGTACTGAGTACGTTCAACTAATTATCTAAATAAATTATATCTAACAGTAATTTATATCTAATTACTCCAGAATGTCAACTATGCGATGCACATCCTGTACGAGAAACGTTTTAGCAATAGTTACTGTTAATATCTGAGTAGAGTAGATATTGTTTTTTCATTAAAACTTATTTTTTTAGATGCGAGTTTGTCTATTACAAATAAACACAATACCTTGTTTGTAAAAATATATTACTTCAATTATGGTTTGATCAACATATTTATATTAAAAATAATCTGTTCAAAATATATGTAGATTAGGGACTCGAAAACAGAAATTCAGGCTTGGTGGCAATAGCTGCCATTTTCTTCTGGAAACAACTTACATAAATGTGATAAATGTTTATAATAAATTATGATTTCGTCTTTGAAATAACGAAATTTGATTTAAAAACAAGTATAAAAAATAAATAATTTTTCTTCATAGATTCAAGAGTCACCATAAAGTTACGTTGCGATGCAGACTGCATGTCAATCATGCGTATTGTGATTTGTGATATTATAATATCTGTGGATACGCGCCGCCGATGAATTTCTAAGAAAGTCACCGGATACACGGTAAGTTCCAACTTCCAATGAAGCGTTTTGACGCATAATTTTGAACAATAAGTTAAGTTACAGAGGATTTAACTTTTGTTAATATAAGTTTTTAGTACCAAATAATAGCAATTGTTTAATACTAATAATTAAAAAGTTTGACAAAAAAATTACAAAATTATTCCGATTTTTTTTTACAAAATCGTTAATAAGATAGGTAGATTATTTTCTATTTTTTTAAGATACTGGGTGACAAAGTTCCAGGAGGCTCCCCTGATGTTACGTGATACCGCCGCCCACTCACATTGCCATAGGCTCGCAAGTGCGTTGCCGGCCATTAAATGTATAACACGTTTAATTAGAGAAAGATTTTTATTCCTTACTTACAAATTAAAGCCGCATTTGTAATACTAAGAAATATTTTTACTATTTGTATTTTTAAAAACTTTACACAATTAGTTACGAAAGGTTTTGTTAATAATACTCATTCATCAACAAATCAACATTATGCATTCTATTATTCTTATAAGTGTTACGACAATGCTAGATCATCACAAGCTTGTCTTAGATCATCAAAATAAATATACTACAATATGATTTTAAGGTCCATTGGAAGTGTTAAACGCGTAAAGCACGGTACTGTGCGGTGAACGCACTTAACTGACCCTACTCTATTGAGTATTGTACTTCATGTACGGTTAGCCTGTTAATGAATCTATTTTTCCTCATTCTGAAGCAGACGCTAAGTTTCGAGTCTGAATCTTAGGGTGATATTCAGAAATGAGACTAAGCAGCGAACTATGGCTTCCGTATGTCAAAATCATATTGGATTTCGTCTCAAGACCCCTTACATCATCAGAAGTTCGAAACCATAGTTGATATGTATTAATAGTAAAACATTTTAAAGGCTTCGCGGTGATAAATAAGAATATGAAAAGGCCATAAATATGTAAAATTAAATTTATAGCAATTATAAACTGTATAATTTTTTAAATTTAAATCCCACTTCTATTCTACAGAATAACACGAATCAATTATTGTTTTCCCAGTAATAGAACCCAGGATCTTTGCGTTACACGCCAATGTGAGTTACTTCTATGTCAGGAAGTCAGTTAGTTAAAAGAGTTCTTGTTATTAAAAAAATCCTTGTATGAATCCTTTTTGCTAACGGTACAATGGCATGCCTGGGAAAGCAATCTCATGCAGTCATACTGTTAAATTATTTCTCTCCTACAAATTGTAACGCCGTCATACAGATCCTACGATTTATGTAACAAGAAACACAGAAAGTTATATATTAAAGTTATTCTACTTTTCTTGACCCTAAAGTTTTATATTTTATTTATTATGTAATTTAATATTTCTTTAAAATATTTTTAGAAATTCTTAACGCACGTAAATGATTTTGTACTCGCATACTTGTGTGTTTCCACAGATTATAGTAACTGTCACATTTATGGATTAGCAATATTTTTACTACATACTTTATAGTTGAGTTGGTTTAATGACAACTAATAACAAAAGAACTAATATACCGTGAATAATACAAGCTATTCAAATGTAAATCTTGGACATTCAGACTTCCATTAACCAATTCTTTTGTCAATAACCAGGGAAGAGGTTTCTTTCGTAAAACATATTCGAACCTATTGTGTAGATTTACGAAATATTTAGTTTATATAATTAGTCAAAAAACAATTTTAATTTAAAAAAAACCTTTTTTTATGAAATGATAATGTGAATTATAAATTGTATATATAAACATAATAATGAATACCCCTTATCTAATTCGTATCTCAGTCACAATTTTTTCTTGAGCACTATCCAATATGTCGAACTTCATACAAAATAACATTAACAAATTATTTTAATTATATTAGATCAATGGCGTATACTCGCCAATAAATGATGTGTAAAAATGACAGTTTATATAAATATGATTATTAAATCATAAAATACTCATAATAGAGATAAATGCGTACAAATATAATAAATTAATCATGAGTAATGATTTACAAGCTTTGAATAATTCATACTTTAATTATAATATTTTTTCCAACTTTGTTGTAGTATAACGCCACTTTATAGTTTGCTGTTTTCCGTGACATATATATTTCTTGGCTTAGGATGTCATTTTTTTCTATAAAAAAATGTTTGCCCTATAATAATCTTATACAATATTATACAAGTACCAAAGACTCACCTAAAACAAATGACTTCATCACTTCTTACAGCCAATGTCTGAAAAAGAAAATAAACATTAAAATGGAAAAATAAATTACTAATTTTTCGTAAGGGTTACGCGTACATTATTTTTATACAGTATTTAGGATGCTAAAATTGTTAAAAAATATACTGAGGCATAAAATATACAGTGATGAGTTCATATGCACGTGAATTACCACATCTATTACTCGTTAATATCTTAGTATGTATTTGAACATAATTTTATAGTGATATCATCTTATTATTTATTTAGATATATTGCCTCGATGTGTCCTTGACCTTCATATAGAGGATGAGACAACACGATTTTAAAAAAGAACTTAAAGCATTATAAAATTTGTGTAGTTCTTAAACATTGGCAAAAAATCAGGTGCACTTTTGCTCGAAATATAAGGAAGATATTTTACGTAAAGCGAAATCAATAAATAAAACTTACGTGCAGGCTGTAGACGATAATAAAAAAACCCAGTAAAATGTCAAATTGCGCGGCAAAGCACGGCCGTTTATACGCTGTGCTCGATGGAGAATGACGTTCACGGAAGACGCCGCACCTTGCTTTATATCGACATGTAAACAGTTAGATTTAAAACAATAATCTCATCAGTTATCTTGCACAAGACGTTAAGAATGAAAACAAAACGATACTAAGTATTTGTTAACGATTTTTACATTTCCTATCAAATAATACACATTATGGCATTAATACGCCTGCTGATAAAATACAGTCGCAATATGTCTCTGTGCAACTATTAATTTGGAAATTGGTTTTATTTAGTCTTCATAAAATTTGGCTATTGTTTCTTGTTAAATAATTATATATTGCACAATTAATATTTTTTACATATTAACAACTAATGTGTTGTCAAAACACTTTAAACATCTTTTCATTAAACACTTTGAAAATTGATTACATATAATGAGAGTTAAAAATAAAAAATAAGGACGAAAATAAAAATCCCTTTTCAAAGTCATAATAAAAGCAGCGTGCAATCTGAATTAAGTGCATAAGGTTGCATTCTTACACTTTTACGACATTTTCCTTACTTTGTACTAAAGTATTCGACAATATAATTATGTTTATTATGCCCCTAAAACGATAAGTATTCAATAAAATTTATAACACGTTGTTAATTTACTACTACCGAAAAAGAGGAAGAGAATGCGTACCACATGATTTTTATAAAATACTAGCTGCCCCCGCGAACTTCGTTTCTCCTTAATGTGATTTTAATTAGCCTACCTTTTTAGTACCTACCAACAGATACTGTTCGATGTCACGGAATGAAATTTTTTTAGGTTTTTCTGTGATTTTTCTCTAAAAAAACCTCAGATTTCAAGTTATAAGTTCTTAACTAACAAATAAAAAATAGAGGTTGATCGTAGAGGGTAGATGAAAATTAAGGGTTGTATGTATTTTTGTATGCTGTATCATAAAAAAATAAAAACATTTTTTTGTCTAAAACATAAAAATATAAATTTGGGATGGACAATCCTTATCACTTTGGGGTTTGAAAGATAGATAGTAGCCGATTCTCAGACTTACTGAATACCTATGCATAAAAAATTTCATAAGAATCCGTCGAGCCGTTTCGGAGGAGTATGGGAACGAACATTGTGACACGAGAATTTTATATATTAGATTATTTATCAAATGATAAACTAGATTAATTTAAGCATTTAATATGGAGTCAAAAAAAGGAAGGAAGAGTGGGGAGTGATTTTATATGCAAAATGCCTACTACAAAATACAAACTAAGTCTAGTAAGTCTTCGTATTTTGTACAGAAAATAATAAAGTCAATTCCAGAAGTCAGAAGGAACCACTTGTCTCTGAATATTCTTTTGAGTAGCTGACTGTTCCCAGTTCCCACCCGTGGTCGTAGTCGATTTCGGATTCCTGAGAATTGTGTAATAAAAAAAAGGAAATTCTAGAAAACTAATTTGGACGATCTGTCATAACTTGTTGACCGGTAATTTGACGGCATCTTTTAATAAAAAAATCCGATTTTGAATAAACCGTAGTGTAAATATGACAAAGTGACGCGTTTATTTTGCCAATATGTGTCCCAATAAATGGAAACCAGCTTATTTCGGTGTCGTCGATAATTAATTATTAATGGTCAATAGAAAGTGGTTATCTATTATTAAAATTAATAATACATTTAGGTATTTTCTATACAGTTTTAGGCTGCGTTATGCTTGAGGTTCGTTTCCCAATGTAGCCCCAAATTATAATGAAATTTCCCGCCTTTGGAGGTTGTGCTTGAAAAGTGAATACTGCACATAGCGGGTCCGGTGAAATCGCTGTTATGTCAGAGACGTAAGAGAGACAAAAGATAAGTAATTGCGACTCAGAATGGGCTAAAACATTTGATTTAAATAGACACTAAATATACCTAAATGATTTTGATAATCATAAAACATACCATTAGTATATCGTTAATTTAAATTTAATAAAAAATACCTAATTTTTCATTGATGATGACAGCTATGAACGAGGGAACGCGTGGGAAACCTTATAAATAAATAAAAATGTCAGTCATTAATGAAATTTTTAGTTTATTTGCACACATCATAACTTAGTTCTATGGATTTCGATTTAAATAAAAATATTGCACCAACATAAAATTTATTTTTAAGATATCTCTCAAAAATCTACTACAAAATATTACTGTAATGAATTGGATACTTTAGCTATAACTGATTAATATTGAACTAACCTGTCTTAAGAAGCTCATACCGTTAATATGCATCTCGGTATGAACCTCATTCCCCACTTAAATTCCAGTTTTAATTAGGATAGAATTTCAAAGTAACGCCACTTCGACGCTGGGTTCAAATATTCAAACGACTAATAAATTTAACAACATTTGTAAAATTATATTATTTAATAGGAGACACAATTGTTATCTACAATTCTTAGAAGTAAGGATTGGGATATCTTCTGTTCTGGCTATTCTGTATATTCTTTGAGGGTTCTGAAAAAAAATAAAGTTTTTGTATACCGTTAGTTGATAATGCGCGCGTATAACAGGGGCGAAATAATTAATATAAAAAATAGTTTGAGTTTGAAATCACACAGGGGTTATCGCATGTAACAGATCATTCATTCATTTATTATTTGCGATCGACAAAATCACAAACATTAAGAATTACTATTTGACAGAAATGTTTGTTGTGTTTTGAACAGAAGGTCAAAAAGGTAGTGAATTGATTTGTTACTCAATTTGCTTACAGGATAAAATGATTTTAAGAAAATTATCTTAGAATTTAGATATATGGAGTATCTCAATTCTAAACTATATCTCATCTAAAACCAAACCAGTAGCCTAAGCTAAAATTTTGCTATCTATGTATCACCAAGAAGTCTTATTATTATTTTTAGTAGGTGGCGTGTAATTTCTTAAGTTCATTACAATTTTACTTTTATCGTAAAAGACACCGCCACGTTTTGTATTGAAACATTTGTACGTTTCCCATAATTTACGTCGATCAATCTCATTAAATAATATATTGAATTCAACTTCTTTAAACACTACTTACCAACCAAAAGGTTCTCGATAATATTAGGCTGTTCGATCTTCCCTTCAAACAGGACTAGACCCATTTTATTACTCTTTATAAAGAATACAAAAGGCCTATCCACTTTGAGCAGAAGTTCCGCTCCAATTAATGGTATCACCATAGCCCCTGATGCTGCTGCAGCAGTTGTACCCTTCTCATCGACGGACATGTGGACTTTGTGAATGATGTTGTCAACTTGTGAAGAAGCGCCTTCGTAAATGCCGGATAGATTAGCGTTCTTGGTAAATAAGGATTCGATTCGCATCTATATAAGCATTATTATACATTATTATTTTGTAATTTAATATCTATTTTTTTTTTCAACTAAATTTATTTCATACAATAATACTGTATTACACTTCCAACTACAAATTTTAGTTATTACCTGTATTTAAGAATACTTACTTTTCTTTAAAGCTTAATCTCTTAGGTAGTTAGTAAGGTACCTGTAAGGTTTTAGGATTAAATAAAAAGATGAAATACTAACATTTCTCAAAGGCAGCGCCATATTTTCCGAATAATCAACAGTAAACTTTGGCATTATCAGTCTCACGTCTGTAGGTTCCATGAGTGGAGTGATTTGAGGCAGACTCATGTATGGAAGATCTCGAATTAACTGCGAAATACCGTCACGATCCCGCGGCACTAGGAGGATCATAGAGTAATCACCACCCTGAAAATAAAAGTACTTATTTATATATTATCTGAGGCCCGTATCCGCTCCTACCCTTGCCCTTCTCGCAAGTGCGAACATGGATTCGCCAGAGATTTGAGGAACTCCAGCACCAACGTTGGTCATCAAGTGTGGACTGCAGGCAATCCAAAATGGTTCTGCCAGTGGCTAACACAAGATTGACAAAGCAACTTTTAAACCTAACCAGAAATAACCTCAAAACAATGATAGGGACAATTACGGGCCATTGTCTCCTTAATAAACACCTTTATGTCCTAGGCGCGACAGACAGCCCCATGTGCAGAGGCTGTTTCAACGCAGTGGAATCAGTCACCCACGTAGTCCTGGAATGCGAGGCTGTGGCTAAACAACGTACAGAAATCCTCGGAACAGTGAGGTTGCTCCGTGAAGCCTGCGAAGTGGCCAGGAAGCTTCTGTGCTTTTGGAAGGAGTTAGGCTGGCTTAGTCAGCCAGGACTCACGTACAACGGACCTAGTGTGCTCTCTTGGCATGATCTTTTCTTCTAAGGATATAGGCTAAAATTGTCTGAAGTGTTAAAAATTGTAGCCTACTAATAACAATTTCTTTGCAACTAAGATTTATTCACATTTACCTCGTATAGTAACTCCACAGCGTGTGCCCTAAGGTTGTCCACATATGCACAATTAAGTTCAGCATGCAACTCCATCATTGCAACATTCGTGCACGCGCCTCTGTAATTGAAGCAGCCGGGCCTGGTGTATCGAGGATTAAAAGCAATCGCCCATGAGCCCTTGAAGTATAGAGCATTTGCCAAAATCATCTCTGCTTTTGGACTTATGTTTGCTGAAATAGATTATTTAAAAACCGATTGTTAGCTTAAAATTGTTAAATTATATTAGTTTGTTTATTTTAACAGAAATACGTAAGGAGAAAACATTAAACAATTAGGGAAAAAGTTCGTTTATAAATGTTTCGTATAGAAAATGTACAGAAATTAACTAATTTTGGTTTAGTTTATACATTATATTATCATATAAATTATGATATTTAAAAAAATTGGAAAAATATTTCACTGTTTCGTGTACAAAATCATGCATTTACAGTATAACGCGATAACTTTAAAGAAATGTGGTCATCGCTTTAATCTTAATTATAGCTAGAACTTTCAGTTCTTTTAATAGACCTTCTAACTCAGTTCTTAAACTTCTTCAAGTCTGTAGAACGAGAAAAAATCTAGGTTCTTCATTAAAAATGTAATACTTTTTAGGTTAATGTTATTTAACTATTCAAGGGTAAAAAACCGAACATTTTACAAACCAGAGTATAAGTAATGTCCCAACTTCTCGCGGCCAAAGGCAAGGTAAGTCGGAATATAAATTTACGCTAAAGTCTTTAATAGATACGATCAAGTTCCCTTAAGCTATGGTTTCCTAGAAAAGCGGTGCCGTTATCTAACGGCCGTAATGTAACGGCCGTAATGTAACGTTGTGTGACGTCACCCATACGTTATCTATAAATAACATCGGAGTAGGTTTTCTAGAGAACGTTGAGTGTCACCGTAACGTCAAATAGCGCTGCTGTCATTTGCATGACGGCTGATAGCGGTGATAAACAGTAGTTCAACGTTTTTCACATGTAGCGGTGCGCATATTTAATTAATACAATGACTTGGACGAGCGAAAATGATGAACAATTAATTGATTTTGTTAAAAATCATGAAGCTTTGTACAATATCAAATCACGTAACACGTATCACGGTTTTTGAACATGACACTCTCCTCCAAACCCTTTTTTTCGTCTTCTGATGACTCTTCATCATCCAAAAATACTAATAATGAAATGTCCAAATCGTCCATTTTTCACTACCTAGTCCACGACCTACGCTAAAGTGAGTACTGAGTGACTACGATTGAAAACGTCGCACTACTTTCTAGGAAACCACAGCTTGGCCACCGTAAAGACGGCCGTTATTAACAACCGTAAAATGACGGCCGTTAGTTAACGGCACCGCTTTTCTAAGAAACCGTAGCTTTATACTCTGGTTTCTACAAAAGAAACGAAATTGAATGGAATAGTTACAGAACAGTATCTTACCAGGCTCAACTATTCCAGGAATCAAACCCTTGGTTTTTTCAAACACCCACTTGTTGATAACTTCAGACACGTTATTTGTATAAGCAAAATCAAGTTGGCGAAGTTCTGACTGGTAGACTTTTTGTATCATCAACACATAATCTTTGTTGAGTTTCAGTTTGTTGGAGACAAAGACGGCATTTGCGTTTTCTATACTGACACCTCGAGTATTTACCTGAATAAATATTATATAGTAAGTCAAGAGCAATAGCAGACGATTTCTTGTGACACATTCAAAGTAAGTAGAACCCTTCAAATTCTGAGATAAAAGCCTCCCAATTGAGTAAAAGGGTGGTATAATGAATCTGCACTAGGTATGGACTTATATGCGTAACATAAAATTATTAATGTATTAAAAAAGGTTTGTATGCAATTAAAAGTAGGAGTGATAGCTAATCTCATGGGGCCTATACCTTCAAAATTTGCACGATTAGGTACTGTATCAGTTTAAATTTTTCGAAAGGGTATTGTAAATGGCCAGGCTTTTATGTTGAAATGAGACCAACCATTTATTACATTCTGTCTATAAGCTTTTCTATTAGAAACAACAACAGTAAGATTACTACGAAATATATTCAAATTTGACCTAAATTAAACAATAGACAAAGTTAACATTATAACTACGTGGAATGTACATATTTTTTTAGAAAGCTTTTATCGTTATTGCCGAGACATAAAACACAACATAAATGTGCTTACAACGATGTTATTAAACCCTATGTAATTTAACTCGTCATATAATAAGTATAACATAGAGATAAACTATTGCGGGAAATAAATGCAAAGCAATTAAAAATTATTACGACTGTCTGGTTTGAATTAATAAAAAAATATTACTCAATAAATATACGGTTTTGTTTAAAAGAACAAAATAGTCATACTATTTTTTGTCTATTTGTTTACGTACGTTTACGCACGTTACGTACGTGGAGAATTGATTTTTAACTGTACGAGCTTACAGGTTCGAGGCTTGACGCAAAGAGAGGTAAATTAATAAAATACAATTAGTTCTTAATATAGCTTGCGTCTGCGCAATAGATGTCTGAATCTAAACAAAAAAATACTTACATGTAATAAATTAAGATACGTGTTCAGCTGTTCGCGAAATTCATCTTTATATGGTGATAAACGTAAGGCACTTCTGATTTCATCCTCCGTTGTTCCAGCAGAACCTTCAAGGATCATTGCTAGCGTAGACTTAATACTGGCTGGTGATACCATGACATTACCAGGCCGGTCTTCTGCCGTATATCTGAGTAAATCTATGTCGAAGAAATTCAGTCGAGAAAGATCTGTTGCTGGTCCATCGAGACAGTCTAAAGTGGCGATGTTCACCGCAAATAAAGCTATAAAAACAACGTAAATTCCTTTGAGTTAAAAAAACAATGTACGAAAAATGCCAATATACGTTATTTAACACTCAAATAAATGTCTAAAATAACTTCGAGTAAAATTCTAGAGCAAAATGATGTCATTTGTGTGAATTTGTCCTAAATTTCCTTGCATTTGGCTGCAATAAGACGGACAATTCAAGAAACAATTTGTTATTTGGTTCCACATACGACACTCTTTTATTGAAGAGAAAAACAGGCTTTTATTTAGGTACTGGTGTTCAATGGTGCATATCTTCTTATAATCTATGTTTTACTTATAGCTAATAAGTTACGCGGGCCATATTTCACTATTAATAAAACTGATTTGTGATGAACATTAATTAATCCGGGTATAAATTACCTCTCCTTGAACATGTTTTCCTGTTAAACCAGTCCATATAAATAATATTTTATTTTATTCGAATTACCTTATAATAGTTAGGTTTATCTATAAAAAATTGTGATTTATGTATTCTGATACATGGAAACTTGGGACAAAAAAAGAAAAAGATCATAGAGTAAGTAATGTGTGAAGAAAATAAGTCTTAAATATATGATGAAAAGTGTAGTCCACGGAACTAAAGAGCTGTTAAGCCGTTCAATACTGGCAGTGCCCTCGTGTGTGCACGAACGTGGAGTTTACCTAATAGACAACAAGTTGACATGACCAAAGGTGAATAGTCGGTTTTATAAGAAAGTATCGATTATAAATACTAAAAATGCTGAGATGGAATTGGACGAGACAAAAATAAAAATAAAATAAATAAATAAATAAAATAAATAAATAAAAATATAAATAAATAGTATAGCATAGTGACATCAATTTAGTCGAGGAAGGCATGTGACAGGAGATGCCTTTTGCGTATAATAGGTACGATACATGTACTCCAACTTTTATTGCATATCTTTTATTTTCAAGTTACTAAACAAATAGCATATTAACAATTTAAATGTAGTATGTGGTTTAAATACAGTAAAGGCTTTTTTATTATTATTATACTTAGTTATTTAAAATAGATGTATATATAAATGTTACTGTTTGATTAATTTAATCTTCAAGGTATGAATTTCAATTGATAGGAAATCTTTAGGAGTTTTTTGACTTCTTTACCTTAATATTTTAATACAAAGAACAAAAAAATCATTTCGACGAACGACGAAACCTGTTTAGCATCTTAGTTGCTTTAGTAAAAACAAACAGGCTAGAAGGTCAAACTTAATTGTAAGCATCATATTACGAGAAATGCATTAAAAGAATAGTCTTACCAGTAAAAAATAAAACCACCATTTTGTTGTTTATGTAAAAACCACTCGATTTTTAAAATAACACGTGCATTTTACACCACTCTCGATATTAAAGTGATAAATGTAAACAAATGAAAACCTTGATCAACGTGAAATGTGAACGAATGAGAATTACGAGCCGTTTCAAAACTTGACATGACCGGTTTAAGATTAAGATTACTCTTACGTCACTGGTGCTGGTAATTGCATGTTTTTTTTCAGATTCCTATTCAAACAGTTGGTGCATTATTTGCCCTGGTAAAATAAGATTCACCTAGAAAAGGGGCCTTTGTTTGCCCACAGAAAGAAATCTGCGTTGTTTTGTCCTAGCTATATAGGATCTATTTTACTAAAGTTAGTTTAATTAATTACCTGTCAATTTTTTAAATCGAATCCAGTCACTTCAATTTAGTTCCTCAATATTTCTCAGCACTTTTTTAGTTAAGTAATTTTTGAATTTGAAAAATCGGATTTAAAACTAAAATAAAATATGGTAATGTTTAAAACTTATTTATTATCTATGGGAGTTTGAAGGCACCGTCAAAAAGCGAGGGGTCGGATACACGTCCAGTAAAGAGCAGTTGTCGGGTGTTCTCATCTTGAATGAAGAACATGAATGGTTTGTTGGCAACCAGTATTGCTTTGGGCTCGTCCTCACCAAACTTATTCTCTAATGTTATTTCTGTAAAAGATTAATCGGAGTCATATTACATACTATACACCTCAAATGGTTAAATCGTTATGAATGTGTTAATATTCTATAAATTTGTTTTTGAATTTAGTGATAAGATTTATTTTAACAAAATATTTTATACGTTTTAATATTGATGTGTAACCCGAAAGATTATATTTTATTTATAACAGTCATATGTAAATAGAGGGAAATGTGAAAAAAAATAATTGTGTAAGATAGTTTCAACCGCGATTAAGCGGTATAGAATTTAACGCGATATTATTAGTATTAAATTGTAACGCGAGACACAGCTTCATACTAATATTAACACATACTAACTTAATAATAAGAAAAAAATTCCCACAGACTTTTTAAACTTCTTTGATTAACAGAGGTTTACCCTTAAGAATAATCCCACCGTCATAAAACTCAGTTTTACAATTAACTTGTATAAAACTTTTACATCAAAAGAATTTGACCTTAAAAAACCACAAACGGACAAAGTTTATACTCGATTCTGTTTCTACTAGTTTAAAATAATTTAAAAATACGAACCGGTCGCCGAATATGCCACGCTTCCAATCTCGTTATTAACGATACCAGACCTCTGCAGCACCTTTGAGACTCGCATGCGGTTTCCCGGGGTCTGTCCCCTAGATAACCCTGGAAAAGACGCTGTGTCCTCGAACGCTTGTCTAACACCCAACTGAAAATATAAAAACGTTCAGGAAGATGTGTTTATTCTACGCCAAAGTTTATTTATGTTGTCTTGTAGTGACTAGGGATCATAGTTTATAGACCGTGCTTTTAGAAGATCTATCTATAGTAACTTAAAGACTTTTAAACATGCCATAGCGTAGCAGATATCCTTCTTTTAAGCGAAATGGTTCGGTTATGGGTATCGGTTTGTGGAGAATAACGGTGACATTTTTGTTTAAATCAGCATTCCTCTCAAACTAAAACAATTGGTTTCCGGGATTCTAAGTTAGAATGCCCATTACGCACGTTGATAAAAAATGTGTTTATTCATTATAAACAATACATTATAATGTGTAAGATTTAGGATGATAGTAACGGAACATTAAAATTGTATTTTTTGCTTTAGTATTCTTATTTTATTATATATTATCACAATGACGTTATACACTTACCAGTACATTTGTTTATTCAACCGGTCAAGAATAAAAATATGTATGCCAAGTGATAAGAATAGTCTGTCGACTCAAATAGGAAAAACCCACTCATGTTCATATGTTTGCAGATTACGTTGCTATACCGTATAAGGAAAACCGCGACACGATTGTAAGCGTAATAATCACTTTTACAGGAAAATAATGTTAATTTTTAGAATCACCGAAAAGTGTGGAAAATAAATCATAATATTGAGGACAACGTTAGTACCAGGACGAAAATATGTACAAGTCGTATTTCACAGTATTGTAAAAGCATATAAATTATATTCTGTGAGACAAATATGTTTAATATCTGTCTCACAGTTATATTTCTTTTTAGTACAGTATACAGGTGATATTTATGGTTTCGATAAAAATTTCTTATAGATCTAAATACATTTTGGAAAAGCGAGATTGGAGGAGGCCTTTACCGGAGAGGGTTCCTTACTAACTGTAAAAGATATTCACTAACACATGAGATAATTAGATATTTTTGTATTAGGAAATAAGATAAGGCTTAAAATAAAATAAAAATAAACAGGTGATATTTCTGGTTTCGATAAAAAATTCTTATAGATCTAAATACATTTTGGAAAAGAGAGATTATATTTTGAAATATATTCTTAGTACTAGTACTAGTAAACTATAAAGTACCCGTGGGAAAGATTTATTTCCGAACGAAATCACAGAAAGAAAGTTCAAGCTAAATACGCATTTATTAACACGAATTATGATTATGATTATAAAATGAATTCTGTCTATGTGTACGAGCCTAGCTTCAAAATGCAATGTTTGTACGGTCCATCAAAAGATTGTGTGATTCCTGAGGAAGGTTCAGTTATGGTTTTATATAAATTAACTGAAATATATCGATTATTCTTAAAGATATCGCTAACTTCGCGCGCTGTAGACGAAAGCTAGACAGATAATAAAAAAATTACCTCTTTTAGCAGTCCATCAAGTTGCGAAGTGTACTCGAACTCGAATTTTGGTATCTTGACGTCAACCAAATGCTTAGTCAGACTGGACAGCTCAGCACGAACACCGCTTATATCATTAAATATATGAGGTAGACCGGTGAGGGAGTTTGGCACTATAATGTACATTGCGAAATTTCCAGTCTGTAAGTAGATATTTATTTTACAATGACTTAAAAATCTGTCCATAAGAATCAAAGTATTAATACTTTATTTAAGTCCGATACATTTTAGAAATTAACTTAATGCTAAAAAAGTTTCTGTTTCTCTAGTAAAACTTGTAAAAAATGTTTAAAGAACTTTATTTCTCATTACAAAAATTTTTTTTTTTATTTACATGAGAAATTTAATATTAAGTATATATACGAACGAGATACACGTCGCCATCAGCTAGCCCAATTCTAGTCTAATGGGCCCATTCTGATGTGTGTCTTTAATGCCCTTTTGAACTGATCAATCACGCTAATGTTACGAAGCTTAGACGGCAACCGATTAAACAATTGCACACCCTCATACCTAATAGATCTCTTTAAATAATTTTGGCTTTGGAAGATAAGCAAACTCGCTCGACGAGTATTGTTAGTGGTGTATTTGATTTTATTAAATGATAATTATATGTAGAGATTATTTAAAATTTTTTTAATAAGGATACAGGTGCTATAAACATATAGTTGTTTAATGTCATAATTTTATTTCTTGGTAGATTTTATTAGTAGGTTTAAAAAATTGTATTAATATGCTTTTATTAATTTATTTTTAGTGTTTTATTTAGAAATTTTGTTTTTGCATGCTGTACCCCATATTTCAATTAGTATATGAAATGTGGCTTGACTAAACAATTATAGATCAAATATACAATTAATAATTTAATATTACCAAAATCTCTATAAGTGATTTTATTTGTAATTATTTGATATATAAATTCATTTTAAATTTGTATCCATTCTAAGACCCAGATATTTCTCCCATTTTTTGTTATTGATTTCAATCTTGAACTTTAAGCGGTTAAAGATAGGAATGATTTATTTTTGCCTTAATATTAATAAGATGTTTTTGAAATATTAATTTTATAGATTTTGTTAAACCAAGAAGATAGAACATTTAGGTCTATTAGCTTGACAACCATATCTGATATTTAACCAAAGTAAAATAAGCAGTTCATATAGAAGTGATTGGGTTAAACCAGTTTGAATTTTTAATATATATTAAAAATAACAATGGACCTAATATAATCCTTGTGACGCCGATTTATTTATTTTAACTTTGAGCATTACTATTTTTACTATTGTTTTTATAGATATATTTAATAATTTTATGAATTTTTATTCCTATGCATTCTAATTTTTAAGCAATAATTTTTAGGTTAAACTTTTTTCAGATAATAAAAACCCAACACCATTTTCTTAGAGTAATATTTTTTTTATTCAAAATCTGTATAAATTGCTTTTTGATTAAAACCATATTGGTTTAAAAATGAAATTTTATTTAATAAGTTAAGTTGAGTAAATAATCTTTTCTAATGTTTTTATATTTATAAATAGATATTTTTAATTGGGTTGTTTTAATTTATGGATAGGAGCAATTGGTTTTAAGAAATCGAAATTACATTATAGCAGTTATTAAAAATAGAATATTAAAATATATAACTAATTTTATTTTTTATATATCCATCTATTCACTATACAATTTTTTATTTTTTATATATTATATTTAATTTATGATTAAAGTTAATATTAATTAAACTTTAAATTATTAAAATTAATTAAATTTTTGGTATATTGGAGTTTTATATGTAAAAATAAAAAAGAGAAAATATTATTTAGTTGTGCTTGTATGTATTACTTATATCTAATTTATTAGTTTGTTTTGTTAAAATAGTATTTTAAATATAATTAAGCTCACCTTATAGGGCATTCGTAAGATTTTCGCATTATACTTAACGGAGTCGGTATAAAAGAATTTGTTTTTGGTTTGCATGAAGGGTGACGGCTTAGTGAGATTGGCCTGAATATAGAAGTCATGGTTAAATGTCATGTTTGGGTTGAACTGATGTCGCCATGTTCCCTTGAAGAATAAGGTGTTCAGGACTAATGATACCACACCCTGGAGATCACCTAAAAAGAAGATTCATATATCGTAGGCTTTTGATAAAAAACGGACATAAATATATAAAAACATGGAGCTTCTTAAAAACAATTACAGTGTAAAATTTTCGGCGAGTTACAAGTTTTATATGGTTTACAAATAAAATATCACAATATACCAGGGTATTAGTTGAATATTTATTAACTTGCCTAATTCCCTTGTAAGTACGATTGTTTAGAAATCGCGGAAATGCATTGGATAAATGGTTTCTAAAAATGTCCATTGTTTATTGATATCCTTGTTACTACATATTAAGTTTTAGAGAACTAAAGCTTACGCGGAAACACGGAGTTAGTAAATAAACGTGTTTTTGATGGGTGAGTACATTGTCATGACTAATATTTGATAGCTAAAAATACTCTCAGTCAAAACACGTTTAAAGTTTTTTCGACTATTACTTTTGCCTTTCGATATTAAAAGCTAATTAAAACAAGCAAGGCATTTACAGAATTTTGTAGTAGTAAAAAGATACATATAAAAAAAACGCAAGAAACAAAGCCTTTCACAGTAGGTAGTGATTGACGAAAATAAGCTTGGTGCTCCAAAATAGACTGTGCAGAAATGTAGGCGCCGTCTAGACAAGACAGACTTTCTGAATATTAAATACTAAGGATATAATAAACTAACATATATGATCAGGTTATTCAGGAAGAAATCTTATAAAGAGCGTCTGAAAGCACTTGACCTTACTGATTTAGGAAGTAAGATATTACGAGGAAATCTCATCGAAACCTATAAAATCCTCACTGGCCACTATAATGTTCCAGGAATTGAGACGCTCTTCATTTTAAGTGAAAATACATATTTGAGGGGTAGTTCTTTAAAACTTAAGACCACTCAACATAACACAAATTCCCTAAAGAACTTTCTCCCAAACCGAGTAGTGGCCGACTGGAATAGGCTTCCGGAAAGTGTAATCAGTGCACCATCTTTGAACACCTTAAAAAATAGATTGGATAGTTTCTCCAAATCTCAAAATACACGCGCATCAGCTTATTAAAAGCTGCCAGTGTGTTAATATACATAATAATAATAAAATAATAATATATATGCATTTTAAGAAGCGTGTAGAAGAAAAATCCGTACCTGCATCTACTAAATTTGGTATCCTTCCTTGAGTGATATTGGACACCCACTGATTAATACTGTCGGCGGCTAGATCGGACTTACTGAAGTCTAGACTTGTGATTTCGGTCTTGTAAAAGTTCTCAGCGATCGCCGCAAACTGTTGTGGAGGATGGACTGACGATCCTACGTATATTCGACTACCTAGGTCTAGAATATAGTCTGAAGACTTTGTCTGAAATAAAAAGTCTGAAATAGGTAAACTACTCTAATCTGTAATCTATTACTTTATTATATATAAAGTTTAAATTACAAATATATATTATATATAATATATATTAGTAATTTATATATAGAACCTCCAATCACCAATCAAAATTATGCAAAAGAGTATGAAATATTCAGAGAGCTGTTCATATTCTATCGCATAATATTCAAAAATTTCACGCTTATTCCTCCATTAAATAAGTTGTGTGTAATACACATTAGACATAAAACATACAAAATCTGGCTAATACAACCGACAATTTTTATCAGTTGCATAATAAATGCATGGTTCATGCATAATTGATAAAGAAAAAGGATTATTAACAATGTTCACAAATATTTTAAAAACAATGTCAACGCTAGTTTCATCTTAAAAAAAATACCTTATTTAACATGAAATGTTATCGAGGCTTCCCACAAAGTGATCAATTGGGAAACTGCGCTCTTCCTGAATATATTTTTTTTTAATAAAATAAATACGTTATATTTTGTTTTTTTAATAGATATTAATTAGCATATTGTGTAAGTTATGATGAGAATCGACATATTTTACTATTACGATAGGTCAGCGATTATTGTTACTGTCAACTACAATATCCCCTATATTGTAGTGCACATCTGCACTCTTTATTCCATAATATTTCAGTGTCCGTCACGACCGGAGTATTAAGAGATTCAGCGAAGAACTGACAAATACGAGCTCATCTAAGGGCGTGTTTATCTCTTAATCTAGGAGTACTAGTATGACGATTTTTTGACGAAGACCGCATACAATAAATAATTTCACATTCATCATGCTTCAATAGAAAAACATTAGAAAATAATAACTTATATGCTATCTACACAGGTATATATAGGTAGATATATAAATAGATAACTATACTATATAGGAAATACTATTTGAGAGAAAAATTGTGTATTGGTTACGAATAAACAAAAACTAAAGAAAAAACTTTTTGACCGGATTGAAGTTATGTATTATTATAAATTTACAACTATTTAACATAATTTTAAATTTATCCGACGTTTCGCGTGCTTTACAGCGTGCGTGGTCACGTGGTCACAAAAAGTTTTTTCTTTAAATGTGTAAAGGTTATGTCAATCAAAGACAATACTATGTGAAACAAAAACTATTTAATTTCAAAAAAAAAATCAAATTTTCTTCTATAAATATTCTACAAATAATTGTACAGCCGAATGAAGTTATTTTTAAATAAGTTATTTATAAAAGACAACAACTACTTACGACACCCAGTTTATCAAAATCAGGGTCAAACCACATCACGATTTGACTAGTCTCGAATTCTTCACGCATACAGAATAACCGCTATTTATTTAGAACTTGAAGTATTTGGCAGTGGACTGATCAATTTACAACAAAAAGCGTTGTTAAGCACATATCAGGTACCTATCCGCATTAGGCGAATGTTTAAATGAGTAATTACTATGTTAAATTTAAATACTTTCGTGGGAATGTAAATTTTATGTCAACGATAATTGTCATATATTTTATAACATTAGATTGTAACTTACACTGCTGAAAATGTATAATATATGCTGACCCGGCAAACGTTGTTTTGCCATGTATGTTATTTCTTTTTTGGTTCAATAAAAATAACTATCTACACTATAATAAAAAAATAGGGGTTGATCGTAGAGGGGTAAAAATTAGGGGTTGTATGTAATTTTGTATGCTGTATCATAAAAAAATAAAAAAAAAAAAAATCGAAAACTTAAAAAAATACATTTTTTGGGATTATCACTTAGGCCCTAAGTGATAACCCCAAAATAAATAGTGTTTTAATAATATTATGGTTAAAAACTTTAACACGCATTTTCTATGATTCTGTCCCTCCTCTAGAATTTCTTAAACTTTGTGGCCCGCCATTAAAAAAGTTTGCCCACCACTGACTTAGGGGTTTGAAAGATAGATAGTAGCCGATTCTCAGACTTACTGAATATGCATAAAAAAATTCATAATAATCGGTGGAGCCGTTTCGGAAGAGTATGGGAATGAACATTGTGACACGAGAATTTTATATATTAGATGATGTGTAGTAGAAGATTTTCTTAAGAAGAAGAAGTATTTTCTTGATTAACAAATTTTAACAATCTAGCCGCGATCAGTAGTCGCACAAACCAGGTACCATCAAGGTCATTATTACTTCCGAAACGCTTTAATTGCTATAAAAAAATTACCAGTTTACGATATATATTATTAGCTTTCTGTAAGTAAGGATTTTAAAGAAAGGAATATTTTAAATGCCCCTTGACGAAAATATTTCATACCTGAAGCGAGTCTATAATTTCTGAAAACTTCTTCCTAACCACTTCATTGTCTACATCCAAACCAAGGACGTTGGAGATCTCGGCGTGGGTTGCTCCTGTGGAAGCTTCCACCAGGATAGCCAAGGCCAATTTCAGTCCCAAGGGAGAAATTAGAAAGTTCTCGTTTGATGTAACAGCAATCCTCTGTATCAAAATGTACATGGAATTATCTTAATAGGCTCGAATTATAATGAATATGTGTATAGCAACGTACAGACAATAAGAAGAAGAGGAAGTTGGCGTAATTCCATGATACAAACAAATATTTAGGTATGAACATAGTATAGCTCAACATTGGTAAATAATAGCTAAAACTAACTCAGTTCAAAATCCCTTTAGGTTTTGCAATCATAAACTTTAGTACCAAGCAAACTCATATTTTCATTAAAGCACTAATAGTAACATAGTGTTAAAGCTAGGTTACATACCTTAGTAAGTATCCAATCAAATTTATCATAATCCGCCACCGAAGGACTATAGTCATCTGACAAGTCATTTTCTGTGAGATTTGTTGGGACTTGTGCGTCTGCTAAAGGAGGCTGCAGCTCAATGGAAGGAGCACCAAGTGGAGCTCCGAATACATGCTCTATGTCTTGTATTGTGTAGTTTTTCTCGCATAATGCAAATGAAGCTGAAAAAAGTTATAAAATATTTATATTTGAGTACCCGATTTAATTCCTCCGGGTCATATTTAATCCAATTTGATATCTGACCTAAAAACGTTTGAGTACAGCCCAGTCTAACAGAATACTCCCGCTAGTGAAAGATATATTCATCAAACTCATTTTTAATCTTTTTACTAGTGTTTATTGTTTTGCTTTCAGTACATACATACTGTATATGTCCGCCTTTTATTTCACAAATGTGTCCGTGAAATTTAGATTTATTTGGAAATTCATTGAATTCAATCATAGTATGTTTACTACATACATTTACATTTACCTTGTTACACCGCAACCAAAGCAATTTGGGATTCCCGTAAGACGCAAATTTATATAGAATGCTACACCACACTGATGTAAGCAATGACCTTACAACTGACCCTATAAGATTGCAATAATGACCAACAGTTTATTATTTACATTTGATATGTAAATTATAGACCAACATCATTAATTGTGGTATATATTACCAAATCTACTATGAAATTAGTCGCCTTAAATAAGTGCGATTAACTCCCACTATTTCCATAAATTTCCTATAAAAAGTTGGTCCATATTCAAATAAGATTATATAAATAGATTTCGAAAACAAAGTTATTCAAATAAGTCGATGTTTATTACTAACAATTACTATTAAAACAACTCACGAATACCTAATACCTCAGGACTTGAAAGCTATAAAAAACTTACCCAAAAAAACAACTAGAAATAATCTCATCATGCGCGCACAAGGAAAAATATAAAAATAAATATCGCAAGGCTATTCAACCGGAGAAACAGGAACGTAAACACTATGAAATCTAATAAAAATAATTTGTTACGCTAGTTCATCTTTGAGGACGTGCGATGTCCACTGTATCCGCGACTTGACTAATTACGAAGGTCTATAAACCGGTTTATAGGCTTTATCTAAAGTCATTCTCGCTATTGTATTGATGTTCCGTGATTGAGGATATTGTATGCAAAGTTTGGAAAGGATGTTCGGGAAGTACTAAGTGGGGAAGTTTTGACCTCTGGTACCTAAAGGTCTTTTCAAGGTTTATCATTAAATGTTGCTTGAAATCCCATCCCGGAAATATCGAAGCGCGTGCGCTGGTAGTCGTACGGTATACATGTGTAGTGTGTACATATATATTATGTAACTAGTGAAATTTTGCCAATTTTCATACGAAATTTAATAAATAATACAAAATTTCGACCCACACCAAACCTTAAACAAATTCCAAATTCACTACACTCTCTGTCAAATCGTGCTCACGAAATGTTAAAAAGAGACAGAGCATTGCTGTAGTTAAAGGATAGCATTATATAGATTAAGTTTATATTAGATATTTGAATTCAAACACATAAATATACATTAACTGGTTTTATTGCATTAATACATATAATTTCATAGTTAAAATTTAATTATTGCACATTTTGTTAAGTATTTACATTACTTAGATTAACTTATGGGCACTGGAGAGATATACAATTATGATAAAGATGGCAAAAATTAAATTAATTTCTTAGTACTTTACGTTACGATAAACCAGAAGAAAATATATTTAAAATATAATGGAAATGACGACAAACAGACAAAACAAAAGACGAAAGAGGAGACACGTGACACTTAACCAATCATAACCGAACGAAACGCGCCATCGTTTCGATTTTTGTTTTACATTCTCACTTCTAAAGGCATGATGATTATTGAATATTCAATCGTAAGTGAGACTCCTTCCCCTACCCCTAGGCACACAGTATGAATGACGCAGGCACATTTTGCATCTATATTTTTAATAAGGTGAAAATTATTCACAGTATTTAATATCTTTGCACGCCATGGGGCATGGGCCCTTCTGTCAACGTTTAGTGTTAACTATTTTTTACGCGATATGCGCTACCACAAAAGCAACGAGTGCGGTAATTAGCTTAACAAAAATCTTTAAAAAACTTGAATTATAACAAAATATTTTCTTTGTTTACAATATGATAACATTTTATTAAAATCAATAAAAAATTACATAAATATTGCTTGATTTTTCACACATAACAATTTAATATGGAAATTCATCATATCGGTTTAACTAACAATATTTAAAGCTCATACAAAAACAGCAATTTTTCAATCACGATTTAGGTCTAACGATATAATTCTCTGGCGTACTTGTCAATAACACTGTCATCACCCAAAAATGTAGGCCAATCTGAAAATAAATATATTTATTATATATGTATTGTCGGCTCATTGGTCTAGTGGTTAGTACCCCTGACTGCGAATCCATGGGTCCCGGGTTCGATCCCCGGCTGAGACGAACATCGATGTGATGAGCATTTGGTGTTGTGCTTAGGTCTTGGGTGTTTAAATATGTATTTATATGTCTATCTATCTATAATATGTATGTATATCCGTTGCCTAGTACCCATAACACAAGCTTCACCAGCTTAGCATGGGACTAGGTCAATTGGTGTGAATTGTGTTGAAAAAAAAAAAAAAATGTATGTATAATATTAAAATGTGAGTATGTGCGGAAAGAGAACCGTCGTCCCACGCACGTTTGAGGTTGCAGTAGTGACCTTTTTTGTTATTTGTTGCCAAGTGTTACGTAATTATAGTCAGACAATATATTTTATTTTATCTATGCTCAAACACATGTTGGAACGAGGAAAAACAAACTTATATTAAATATGTAATATACACGTGTGAACTTACGAATCAGGCGCAGTGCTAACAGATATAAATAAAATATTGATACTTAATACGAAAAATTAAAATTATAATATGAAATGACGTGCAAATAAAAATAAAATTATATTAGTTCCCCTAACTGTCAGCCGATTCTTTTTGCGCACAGACTACTAAATGTTATGGTTTATGGTACAATATAATTCTACACAAAAATAAACAAAAGTAATATTGTATCCCTAGAATGTAGACGTAAACAATACAACGTGATGTTTTTACAACGGTTTAATTGACTGCCCTGACTTATGGTCGCTTTGACTATTTCACATCCCTACTTCATACAATACAAGACAAACTCCACTATTTCAAATTCATCGGTCTTAAACTATTTACGTAACTCTGTCATGTATCGTATACTGATTATAACACAAATTACCAGCAACTCTAACTTTAGTGTAACTAAAAAATGTTAAAAAAATAATTTAAAAACTCTGGTATATTTTATTAATAATTTATCATTCATCATCAACTCATTTATATAAAATACTAGTGGACCCCACAGACGTTGTCCTGCATGATATTTAAAGCGATTAGGATATTAAGCAAAGTATGAAAGTACCGACTGCAGTGCCATCTGCCGGGCTGATTTGTGAATCTAAACCATTCCCAGATCCCCTTGAACACACACAAAAAATTTCATCAAAATCGGTCCAGTCGTTTGAGAGGAGTTCAGTCACATACACACGCACAGAAGAAATATATATATTAAGATATTATAATTATCAATGCATCTAAGAACTTAGAATTTATTATAAATATATATTTTGTTTTTTTTTTTATAAGTAGGTAAAAATTGTTAATTGTGCTATGTATATGTTTTAATGTGTATTCTGTTTTTGGCTTTTGTGTATAATGTTTGGATATTGTTTAGTATGTAGCAAATAAATAAATAAATTGCTATAGGTCGGCGTAAGCGTGACTTGTGTTGTGGTTTTTCATACAAAAATTAAATTGATACGTTTTTTGCGTAAAATACTAATTCACACCGACTTAGCTTGCTCATCGCATACAGCGCGTAAATATAAATAAGCATTGGCCTTAAAAATACGATAACTTCTTTTAAACTTAATTGCTTACCATATAAAACACAATAAATATCCTTATTAGGGGAAATCGTTTGAGCATGAGTCCCATCCTCAAGGATAGTTTAGCGAGTGGTGACGTGTTCCGCCTCTCGTCGTTGACGTTGACAACGTGCGAACGAGCGCGTAGTGACATCTCAGTCTTGTATTTGGTCTACATTGGAACAATTAAATCAATGTAACCAGAATAGATGGACAGTAAAGTATTGGTTACCATGGTTACCATTCTTTTCAATGGAAATAACATCGTAAACATGGTAACAAACCGTAGAGTATTAAAGACTAATTAGCCGTTGCATTCCTCTTACATTACCGAAAATCATAAAACTCGTAAATGTATAAGTTACTCTCTAAGTATTTGAAATTGTTTACATAAAAAGGGTACAAGAAATAACTTAGAGAAATAGAAATAAACTTTAAATATTTAATAACACAAGTGACTTAATACTAAGCAGATTAAAAAACTATTTTTGTTTAAATACTATACTTTTTAGAATAAAAAAATACACTTAATAGTCAGAGCATACTAATTAAAACTTACTTCTAATTTATCCAACTGTATTTTTAGCATGTTATTATCAGCCAAGAGAGAATCAATTCTCCCCTGTTTCTGAACCACTGTCTGTGTTAAATACTGTATCTTCTCATTTTCTATGGAATGCATGACGTCATAGTCTCCTACGTTTAAGGCGCTTGTGTCTGTAGTAGGAGCTGAATTTTCTTTAAGAAGCAATAATTCTTCCTCTTTATTGTGTAGTGATGCTCTTAGATTTGCTATAGTTTGGCCTGATTGTAATTTTGCTGTTTGAAGTTCCTTTAAGACAAATTACTCGTTTTAAAAGCATATTTAATTTGTTGCATAAAACATTATATTATGCTATTTTTATAATAGGAATGGCAGCGCGTGAGCAAGAATTTAAAATAAAATAAAAGACTATATCACAGTACCCAACTGTTCAATTACTTATAAAATACCACATCAAAATTATTAGGCACAGTCAAATATCAGTAAAGTAGTCATATTATTGAAGTTATACTTCTTTAGGCGCGTAATAAAAAATTGATGAGAGTGAAATTTTACGATGCGCGCGCACCGTGACACAAAATTAACAGAATGAAGTTGCCCACGGAAGATGCTACGGCATTGGAGATAATTTAACAACAACATTCGAATAATAATAGAATTTATGTTACACTTAATGTAAGAGAATAATAAATATTTATTTATTTAATTTTTCAAACGTAAACTGAACTTTATTGACTATAACGACTCCTTTTCCAGTCTTTGATTATTTAATTGTAATTAATTATTTGCATGCAATCTAAAACTATTTTTAATAATGCCAAAGAAGTATAACTTCTTACGCGCGTACATAAGTACAAGCACCCTTTTTAATTATATAACTATATGTATGGCATTGTTACTCTATGTCGAACTACACACAAACATTTTTCTTATCATTGTTATAGAATATTGGAGACTAATAAGTAGTTGCTTTCCCTTACTTTACCAAAATCATAAAGCTATATCAAACATACATATTATGTTAAAATTATTACATACCTTGCTCAAACTATTAGCATGTGCTTCAGCCTTATTTCTAGCGGCTCTCTCTTCCTTCAAAGCATCTCGGAGTCCAGCTATAACTCTCTCTGCATTACTGTTGCGTGCTTCCAACTGCGCCATATGGTGTTTCATTTCACTGAATTCAGTTTTAACTTTTGACAATCCTTGGGATAAATCGTCCCGTTCTTCTCTGGAAATCAATAAATTCAAGAATCAACAACAAAATTGTTTTCTCTTTCTGTTTATAAATTTGCACAATAGAAAGCCAATGTTTTTTTATTATGTTACTAACTAATGTTATTAATTAATTGAAGTAAGCTTGAGCAAGTTCTAGAAATTTTTTGAAGTAAAACTTCTTGCGCGCGCATAAGGGTAAATTTTTTACGGATGAAAAATAATCGTCACGAATATGTGCAGGGTTTTTGTCTAAAAATAGTATAGAAGTAATAACTGTAGGAATTCTATTTTTAGAATTAAAATTTCTATGCAAAATAATTTATTGAAATTTAAAATTACGAATTGTAAATTAAAATGCCCACGTGTTTTTATTATCGAAGAAATAAATTTAAAAAATAAATTTTATAATTTGTATTAATGTTTGACACTATTAATATTTTAATGACAATTAAATTCATTTAATTCCTAACATATCTTCCTTTTCCCTCACTTTAAATCTCGGAAATCTAAAGTCTAGATTTGTATAAATATGAACAATACTTAAAAATTTGTGTGCCAAAGAAGTTTCACTTCTTCTTATGTGTACTTTGTACGCATACTCTTTTTTTAAAATTCATTTCATGATGCAGCCATTAATAATAATAAATCATTTTACTCACTTCAATCTGTCAATCTGCTCAATCAGCTGCTTTGTATCCTCTGAAAGATTACTTCCATCTCTCAAAGCCTTGATTTCATTATCTTTAGAGAACAACATACTTTTAACCCGCAGTTTATAAGCCTCCCACTCATTTTCAAGACGAACACACTCTAATTTCCTCTTTTCTAAGTCATGTTCTAAATCATAAATCTGTGTTTGTGTGTGCCTTAACTCATTTTCTAATTTGTTTTGTTGGGATTGTCTATCATGAAGTTCATCTCTCAAGTTTCTTATACTGGAAATAATAAAAGTATTAGATATTATTCATCTTTGTAATTTTTATGTATAAGATTATTATCAGGACACAAAAATGTATTCCACAGATGCCACTTATCTAATAGTGACACTTATTTAATAGTGATATATCATAGACTTACTTGACAATGTCAATATGAGCATAATCTATTTTGTTACTACTTAATTAATTAAATTAAAATAAATTGCATATTACAAGCCTTACTTTAAATTATGTACATGAAGCATGTATGTACTTTCAGAATTTTGCTATAGAGTAAAAAGCAGGGTTCTTGGTATCTTTATAAATAAGGTCGTACACTTTTCTTTGGAGTTTGACTTGTTTTTTACAATTCTTAAAAAAACTATTTTATCTGTTAAAGCACATTGTGTGAGAAAACTATTGCACTTACTCATTTTGTAAGTCACAGTTTCTCTCTTGTAACCTCCGATTTTCACTGTCCAATGCCTGTTTATCAGATCTAAACTGTGACAATTCAACAACGCTCACTTCCTCAATCTTTGATCTCAAGTCATCCAATTGTACCAAAAGACCTTCTTTGTCCAAAATTAATCTCTGGTTTAATTTAGACTGTGCTTCAGCCCGTGTTTGAACCTGTTTTAATTCTGGAATGAAAATTTAAAACAGATAAGGTGAAGGTTGTTACTAAGGCTAGGTTAAATTTGAATTAAATAAAAATAATGAAAGACTTATCAGAGTAAGATGTGTGCTTAAATTATGGTATTAATACATACCATTCTCAGTTGTTCTTAATTTATTAAGTAAATCTGAAACTTCTCTATTGACAACATTAATTTCATTCTTCAGCATTGCATTTTCAACTTCTAAATTCTGCATATCAAATGTAATATTTTCATGATTGACAAACTCCAAATCTGTTGGTAAACTGAACCCTAAAAAAATACAAACACTTATTCTCATTTACTATTTCCTTATGTAGTCTAAAACTATGCGTTTAAACCAGATAACCATGTTGTTACAGCAACCTCAAACTTTCAACAATAAGGTAAGCAATTAGCAGAATTATAAAAGTATCAATTATATTTACCTAAGTAGTATAATGAGTGTTTAGAAGTAGAAAAATATATCATAAATTAAGAACACATATCTTATGAATACATACTTCTCTGCCTCAATCCATAACTTTTATAATCATCCTCCATTGTATTGGGTCCATTATTGTGTAATGTATATTGTGGAGACTTCTTTCCTGCTGACTTCTTACGGTGGTCTTGTATTTTTGCATGGTCTAAACTTTTAGGGGTTGACCGAGGTTGATTAGTTGGTGAATTTTTCGGTACTGGGGTAAAACTAGATCTATTATCTAGTAAGCTTCGTTTATTCTTCGATATAAACTTCTTTTTCTGTACAATATCTGGCGGTGAGGAGTTGTCAGGTCTCGGTTTGATACCACCATGGCCATTTCGTAAAACTGCCCCAGTTTGTTCGTCTAAATTGTTTAAAAGGGTCTCAGCCCTGCCAGCGAGGTCTGCAAACCATGACATTTATATATCTTGCATTTCACCTGAAGAAAATAAACATTGGTAACTTAAACTTCAGTGTGATACAACATAAAGACAAAAATATTTTTTTACATACGCCACGAAAAATAATTTTGGTTTAAATGAAGTGGAAACATTACTGAAAAAGAAAACTAGTAAACTAATAATCACAAAAATTTAATATTTTGATTATTCCTAGTTGACAACTCATCAATAATTAAATTTTATCAAAAATGTCAAGAATCAAGATGTCATTATTTCACAAAAGTAGCATGTAAATAACATATGAATTTGACATCTATGGAAATGAACGAATTTTACATCAGTGATCACTCTGATCAGTCAACAGTCATATTATAGTCTAGTGTCAAAAGTCAGAACTCAGATGATTATTTTGGTTTTTTCAGAAATGTTTTTATTCTAATTTTTATATACACACGTAAAAGTGATAACGACTTAATATTAGTTAGTAATATGATGTAAAAACTTAAAAATGAAATTTTTTATCCGGAAGTAAAAGGATTATTAATCACTCATTGGACAAAGTATTATCTTAAATGTAATACTGCTTGTGTACAGAAAAATGGATTTCGAAAGTCCTGATGTTGAAAAAGATTTTCCTGGTCTATACGCCTCAGAAGCCGGACGAAAGAGCAATGAAAGCGATTGTAAGTGTATATAAACAATCCTAAGAATGCTGTTTACTTTTATTTTTGATAAATTATATTGTTTTAGTAAGTGATGGAGGGGATCATGAGAAACCTAGTAAAAAAGATTTATTAGGACGTAGGAAAGATAAAAAAGAATCTAAGAAAGACCGAGGATATGCAGCTTTAGCGGGTGAAAGTTCTCCAGAAGAAGATACAGACACTAAGTGAGTTTATTTATGTAATTTTTATACCAAGAGTATACCAGCACATTACAATTATAACATTTCCTAATATTTGAGTACAGTCTTAATGCAATACATAATCAGAAAGTTGTATATATTTTTACAAACCTTCAGTGTTAACTGGTAACTGGTGGTTTGAATTTTTTCTTAAAAAAATAGGCAACTTGTAAACAATAATGAAATTAATATCAAGACCATACTTGATGTTATGCAAATATAATACTTGTTTGATTTTTGACCAGCATTGTTATGTGATACTTATCCAATTATTTAATTTTAAAATTTTCTCTTATTGATGATCCATATTTAAATGTTTTTTTATCTGACATGAAACTGTGCAACGGTTAGACTAATCAATAAACCACTACCGGCATATGTAACATAACCTATATGCTAAAAACTATGAGCAATTACAAAAAGAAAAGAATCAAAGCTTCTTCAAATTACCATTGACTGATATACTAAACACGTAGGACTGGTATCTACATACAAACTAAAGCTCTATACTGAGTTCATGATATTTTCAATTTTTTTTAATTAAACATTTAAAATGTATCTGACCCATTACCTATTTAAGGCAGAATATTACTAGATCTGACAGTGAAGAGAAATGTTTAAACAACTAAAAGAAATAATTTTCAAAATGGTTTTAGAAGTCCATCAAAATCAAAGAAGACAAAATCTTTCAAGTTCCCTACAAAAAGTAAAGAAAAGAGGGAGAAGTCAAGGGACAAAGAAAAAGTATTAGAAGATGTTTCAAAGCAGAGAGAGTTAAACGAGAAAGAAAAGAAGAAGGAAAAAGAAAGAGAGAAGGAGCGGGAAAGGGAAAAAAAGGAAAAAGAGAAACGGGAGAAGCTTAAAGAAAAAGACAAGGTAAATTAAATGTTACATTATTATCATTAATCATTAATAATATTAAAGATTCTTCTACTATTTCAACTGATGCTTGTTAATATTTATAAATTAGCACTATATTATGTGCCATAGCTTATACATCAGAATAACACAATACCTATTTAAGCTGCAATTGGAAACTTGTGCAGTTGTTTTAATACCTTTAATAAAAATATTATATGAGATGATTTCTTAGTTGTAAAGCAAACTAACTTTCTATGTATAATAAATATTCATATGTTGTATAAGTACACATTAAATATTTTCGTAATATGTATTTTTATTTGATTATCACATCTATAAACAAAGTGCTAAAATTTTATTAAAAACTTCCTCAAAAAAATGTGTTCTATAAAACACGCATAGTAAGTTATATGTTCAAGTTTTGTTAACTGAAGTATGCTTTATCTGAGGAAAACAGAAATATTCAATATATATATATTCTAAATTTTATAGAAATACATAAGTATATAAAGTAAGTAATATTTTTCTGCTAAAATAATTTCAATTAAAACCGGCTAATGTCAACGAAAATTTAAATTCTAATTCTCTCGTAATAATTGGATAGTCTACTAACACAAAGAAAAAAAAGATCTGTTAATTTATTGTTTTAATAATATCATAACATAGCCGAATTAAAGCATCTCTCAATAGATGTCAACTTGACTTAAGGTTTCACGGTTGAATGCATCGTATGCATAATATCTATTAAGTCATGGCCTTGGCTAAACAAATGACGGTCATACTTTATTCAGTTGTTTTGAAAAAGCGATATGCATCACCTGCGTAATGTGTTTACTAAGGTGCGATATGTGATTAGATTTATATTTACGATCGCGTATTAGTTTGTGATCTGCTGTTAAATCTATTCGGTAATTAATTCGGGCTTTTTAAGCATTGATCTTGGTTTACGAAGATTGATTTAATATTAATTTTTATTAATTGCGTTAGCCCATTACGTTGTGAACTATATTAGGGCAATATTTGTTGAAATAAGCGATGTGACTGAGATTTCTATTACCTGTGTAATTCATTTAGCCTCCATGATTTAATTTGAATATTTTGAAGGATTGCTTTATATATTTTGAAAAGTTCCTTTAACAGAATTGTCAATTGTTAGAATTAAATTTTTCCTTATATATTGAGTTAAATCTATTGATATAAAGCTACCTCGCGGGTTAATTCAATGACATACAATACAAGGTACCTGCATTGTGAGCTATACTTTTTAGAAATTGGATAAATTTAGTTTTAAAGCTTAAAAGAAACTGCATACATTATACATTAATTATAATTATACCTAACGAGACCATGACCGTAAATTATAATTAATTTTATAATGCGGTCGTTGATCGTCGAATCAGTATTGTTCCGAAACTACTTAGCTTAATTAAAAAGGTTTTTAGAAGATTCATTTTAAATATATTGTTTTCTTATATCTATTATAATGTATTTCGTTCATTAGTTTATTTATCTGTCTATATGAACGTGATAAACTCAAAAACTACCAAACGGGTTTAACCACCAATAGATACAGTAGAACTCCAATTATTCGAACTCCGACTATCCGAATCGCCGATTATCCGATCCGTGACCTGGCTGCCCGAAAACGGTTGAAGACCGCAAAACAGCTTACATTGACGGAGATGTTTAAAAAACAATGATTTTTATTTCTAAACTTGTACATAAGTACATTTTATTTATATTTAAAACATGTGAAAATTTCATGTTTCTTTCATTTAATTCAATAAAAAAATAGTGCAATATCAAAACGTAGCTTTTATTCACTCCAATGGCAATTTTTTTTTTTAAATCCGACTATCCGAATATTTGATTATCCGAATACCCATTCGGATAATCAAATATTCGTCCCATTAATTCGGATAATTGGAGTTCTACTGTAGTGTGATTCCTGAAAAAAGTGCAGGTGTATTATTCGTCACGCCTTGTGTAAATTTACCGAAATATAATTGAAGATTTTAACTCTTATAAATTAGTACCAAATTTTTATTTTTAACCAACCTAACCCAACAAATACTGACAATAAAGTAAGACGAGATCAAATTAGAGGAATACGACATGGATAAAGACGCTTATAATTCAGTTCACTAATTGTTTATAAACAATAATATAATTTCTATAGACGCTATATTGAAGCTAATCTTATATTTAACACATTTTATTTAAATAATGATGGCGATAGTAACTTATGAAAATATTTGAAAAAATATTTCAGGAGAAGGAAGAAAAGGCGAAGTTCAAATTGGAGTCGAAAGAAAAGTTAAAGGACGATAAAAAAGAAAAAGTGAAAGAAACTAAGGAAAAAGTAAAGGATAAAGATAAGGAGAAGGTAAAAGAGAAAGACAAGGAAAAGGTAAAAGAAAAGGAAAAAGATAAAAAGGATAAGAGGCTCACTAAAGTGCCGTCTACAGTCACTTCAGGAGTGCCGTTTGAAGAAATATTCACATTAGGAGGTACTTATGCAATATTTTTGTGTTCCTAAGGTTATCAGGTAAATTCCAGTAAATTTATCGGCACACATAAATTCTATGACTTTTACATCCATTGTAGCAACCCTTACGAATGTTTCTTTCAATTCTGAACTCGCGCATGGAATGAACCAAAAAGCTGTTCAAATGACCTTTCAACTAGTATAGGAATTTGTTTTATTTTAATGTTTTGCATAGAACTTAAAAATGGGACGTGCGTAAATAATTACGCGTTGCCGGACGACGGGAAACGAGACGGTGTTAACAAAGTTAATAAAGATACGTGGTGTTAGTAAAATGTAAAATTTGACTGGAAATTGGAGTAAAATATGCACATAGTTAATAAATCCATATAGTTAAACCAAGCTCCTCTTGAGACTTCGCTGGTATAACATGGTATCAGTACTTGCATATGAAGGAACATTATCAATGGCTCAGAAACGGGTAAAATTTCTAATTGAGTAAACTATATATTGTATAGTTGATATACGATAAGCGATTGGAATTGTACTTTCTTGTGTGATACATAGAGTTGTTGTTAAGTGATAAATAGTAGTTTATACTACACCTTCGAGGGAAAATAAATACGAAATCACAAATTAATTAATGAAAAGAACACACATATTTTTTTACTCATTTTAACTTGCCAGTGTCACTGTGCACTTAGAGATACTTTTTATCTCGAGGCAAAAAATAAACAAAACATTAATACGCTAAGAACCTTATAAATACATTTTCATACATCTTTGTAACAAGCTCTCGGCGAGGGCGGAAATAATGTCTGTTCTGCCTCATTATCAAAAAAGTTATGACGTATATTCCAAGCAGTTGCAGTATAAAAATATTATCTTAGGGTATGTTCCGATATACACTGCGAGTACTGTATAGTGCTCCCACTGTTCAAAAATTCGTTCCGCTATGGACTGCCAGTATACAGCCGCAGCGTCCTAGGGAAATATATGACGTCACAAATCCCCGCTATACTTCTACTGCGAGCACTGGCGTTTTCGAGGTAAGGTACTCGCAGTGCTTTGATCACGTGATCAATCAAAACCACTTGAATGCCTAACGGCTGATATAACTTACAGTTTAATAACAAACATTTAAAATTCTAATTAAAGAATTAGCTTGGACTAATTAATGAAACAATGGAAAACTTACGAAAATTGAGTTTATTAGACTGTGCAAGTAATACTCGAACAACGGCACCAACAAGCACAATTCCAATTATTGTGTATTCCATTAGCTGTGAATTGTTTTTTATTTGTAGTAATTAATAACTAATTTTTATAAAGAAAACTCCTTACTTTTACCCTACATAACCTTTGCATTATAAGTAATACAGAAAGTTAATATAAGTTGAGTTATGATAAACAGACTTTTTCTAATTAAAAAATACTTACTTTCTTTGTAGTATTAATTCAATTGACAGTTAATATTAATATAGATTTTTTTAATGCGATAATACTCCAATAATAGTTTTTCTTGTTGAATTGAAAAACTTTGATGCACTCATTTGAAAACTGTGTCGAAAAACGAAGCTGACTAGTATACTGGACTGCGTTCCGTTTTAAATTGTAACCAGTATAGCTGGCTATAGAGAAACGGTTTCACAGTATACTAAATTGACGGTACTCTGTACAGTGGTCGCAGTGTATATCGGAACATACCCTTAGTTCACTAAAACGTTATTGTGTATTCAAATATAGAACGCTTTAAATGTCATGTAGTCTATGAATATCTTACATATTTCTACTTTTAAAAAATTATCTGTTTCTTTTCTTGATCAAAAGTCGAATTAGTCTGCGCAACTCTTATTACTCTTTGAGGAAGTTTTTGGTGTATTTATATACCTAACAGTATGCATGGTGAAGTTTTTGTTAATGTACAAATTTAAACTAAGTGATAAGCCCAGGTGAATTATCTTAAAAACAAAACAAACTCAAGGCGACTGATAATTTTTCTCTCTCTCAGCGAACTGACATTCTTCGTTTAGTGCGGCTGCATGTGGGTTTCATTATGTTTAGTAATAATCCGTTTTTAAACGATGTACTGGGTAAGATGTGTTTATAGTTTAATATATAACACACATATAAAATACACACATAAATTATTAATTATATTATTATCGAACAATATTAACATAATAAAAAAAAATTAAATACGTGTTTCGTTTATAACGTTTGTACTCAAAATTACTTGGGTGAATTGTTAATACGGTGCGTTTAAGGTTATTAAATGTTTGACTAATTATGTGCATATAGATTTATAAAACTTACTTTAATATGGTAAAAAGATTATTTTAATGATTTCTAGTACTGATAAGTTGGAATTATGGAGCGTCTATATTCCATATACACTTTTTTTCGCCGATATTATTTACTTTACCTAATGGTTATTTATTTAAATTTGCTATTATTTACTATATCTTTATTATTATACTAGTGGACCCGTCAGATGTTGGTCCTGTACACACGTCTTAAATAAATAAAAATTAATTGAACATCTAAAATTCTAAATCATTCTCAAGACCACTTGAACATTCACAAAAAAGTCATTATAATCGGCCCAGCCGTTTACTAGAAGATTATATAAAGATTTGATTTATGCGTGTATAATAATTAAAGGTGATATATATTTGTGTTTATTAATCCAGGTTCTAAACATTTCAGTTGCCCTTCCAATATTCGGAGTACCGTTACATCAGTCTGTGGAAAGATCGCGTTGCCATGACGACACCGGGTTGCCGCTTGTTGTAAGAGACAGTATCGATTTCTTACAGGTGATAATTATTCTTTAAAACAACTATTTTTGTCAAAAAATGTCTAATAAAATCATCGCTCAAATGGAGCCACTAACACTATGCAACTAAGAATGCATAAGTAGTTTGGGGAAATTTATTTTTTCTGGTTTGAAGGCACTAAAACAAATAATATTGCACGATATTATGAATCTTAAATTAAGACGTCCGTTACGCTTTAACGCACAGAAGGCTGATTGCTTATTAGATAAAACAAATGATAATGGATACATATTAAATGGTTGGCTTTTTTAATAATAAAATAATCTAGTAAATAAAAATCAAATTCGAACATCTATGTTTGGCTTCGTTGACTGATCAAGTTTATTATGTCTACCCACATTTTTGTTTCTGTTATTTTATATACGTACCTACATCTGTGCGCTCTAATTTTTAATCTTAGTTTAACATTTTGTTTCTCAGTAAGTGAATTATGTATGCAATTCATATGAGAAATAAAGTTATTCTTAAACCAGATAAATTCTTGTTTCTTTAAATGCACATTACTCATAAAAACCAAAGACATATGGAAATTAAGAGAAGGACGCGATTTATCAATACAAAATTATTTTTATTAATTTTCAGGCTAATATAAAGTCGAACCAGCTGTACCGGGTGGAACCAGACAAGATCAAACTCCAGCAGTTGCGGAAGCTGTATACTGATAGGGGACCAACTTTTCCCTATCATTGGGATGTACCCGTCGCCTGTTCTATGCTCAAGATGTTTATCGGGTGAGTCAAGACAGCATTCTAACTCCAGCATGTCAATGAGGTATTGAGGGAGTCGACACGTAAGATTGTAACCCTAATAATATTTATAAATTAATTTCTTATAATTACTTTTAATTCATATTTCTTTGGTTACTTTTAAGTTTATTGCATGTACGGCTATCTTTTATTGTGATTATTTTAAGAACGACTACAATGTTATGTTAATCTAAACTTTAGATTTTTTAGATTCTAAAGTATTATTCTCAAGTGACATTTTTTGTCTTTTTGAGAAATACAGTCTAACCTAATATTAAATATACGAAATGCAAATTTCAGCGTTTGTTTCACTTGATCTTAATTTTAAATTTTTTTTTAGGGTAATTTACTGGCAAGCTATTTACAACAATTTAGTTTCTCAAAGTTCGAAGGTGATATAAATCGTAATTAGCGTTTAATATATGACCTCTTTAGTTAATAATTAGTAAAATATTGAAGAGTCAATCGTTTTTTATCCGTATTACTTATTTATTTATACATAACCTTTATCAAGCCTTGGCTTTAATTGTAGATATGTTTTTTCATCAAATTGCAATGCTATACTAGCACATAAATTACATGTTATCGTATATTTTTATTTCTGCAATATAATTTTTTTAAGAACACAAATATTTCAGGGAACTACCAGAATCGATTCTCACCCAGGAGTTGCACGGTCAATTCGAACAGGCCACGGCGATATCAGAACCCCAAAGGGAAACCACTATGGTGGCATTACTCAATAAGCTGCCATCGTGTAATCTAGCACTGGTCGGATGGATCATAAGGCACTTTGAATGTGTCCTTGCTAATGAACAGGTGAGTTTATTATTTTATTAAGGCAATAACTCTTGACGCAATAAGTAAAGCGGGCCATAGACGGACCGCATGTTGCAGTCAAGACCGACTGCAACATGCGGTTTGCTCAGGAACTGCTAGAGCGGCCCGTGTATTGCGGATATGAATTTAGTATGGAAACTGCAGACTGCAAACTGCAGTCCGTCAATGGCGCGCTTAGGTAAAACGTTTTGAAGACCTTTATATTATCAGGCTAGATCAGTCTAGTTTCTCTCTTTGAACTGCAGGACTATTTTGTCTCTTTCAGTCAAATAATGTTTACGATTAACCTGGACGCCTTTTTACTTAATTATTTCATACTTATTGATTTCAATTTTGTATTTGTTAAATTATTGTTAATATTACATCAATAATTATATGAAATTTTTCATTCACGCTATTTTTGGTTTATTGGTTTTAGTTTTGACATTTAAGTTGCACGTAGGTGAGGAATTATATAGTTAGTACATATAATTCCTACTTGTGATATTCCTATTAATTCCTTGTTTATCCGTCATTTTAATTACAGAGCTGACAACGAGCTCTATAGAACTTTTTTGTGTCACGCACCTATGCCATTTCTAGTGTATTATTATGATTTTACATATTTTAGGAAATTTCTATTTTTTTTTTTTTTAATTTCTTATTACTATTTTTTAAATTTCCAAACTTCTAATTTCTTTAAATATTAATTATTATCCTTTTCGGACGGCTCATTGGTCTAGTGGTTAGTACCCCTGACTGCGAATCAATGGGTCCCGGGTTCGATCCCCGGCTGACACAAACATCGATGTGATGAGCATTTGGTGTTGTGCTTAGGTCTTGGGTGTTTAAATATGTATTTATATGTCTATCTTTCTATAATATGTATGTATATCCATTGCCTAGTACCTATAACACAAGCTTCACCAGCTTAGCATGGGACTAGGTGAATTGGTGTGAATTGTCCAATCATAAAAAAAAAATATTAGTCCCGGCTTCACCCGGATAAACTTTATTTAAAAAATTAGATAATGGTGATATGTTATGAAATCAGTACTGCAGTTTTTGTTTATTCCTTGGAAACATAAAAATACTTCCTCTTTTTAATATTAGTATAAACATTTTAGGGAGTGGTAATTCTTTCAGATAAATCACGTGAACATACAAACACTTTGTACGTATATGTGTCCGGCCTTGGGCGTGTCTCAGAACTTGCTCGCGTACCTCGTCAATAAGGCTGAGAAAATGTTCCCCGATGTTTACCTCACTAAGTATGTATGGTTTATTAAAACTTTTTTAAGCAAGCAGGTGATCTCTGCTAACCAATTACTGTCTTATCGGCAACTGAACCCAAAGCCTCCACATCTATAGTTAATGTGTAGAAATTATTCAGTAACACTTTCTGTTAACGTTACGCAAAGCTTTGCGATATAGATTGTGTTGCTGCATTTAATCAGTATTTGTAAAGCTTCTTCAAATGCCTCCAAAATCCCGTTATTGAATAGACATGTATAAATATATTGATTTGAAAAACCTGAAAAATAGTAATAATCCATGCTTGTATATACTGAATAATTAAATAGCAAATATTTTTCAACTATGTATTTCTATTAATAAATAACTTGGGCCATAGTTCACAGTTTTCTTTATTCGAAATAATAGTGATTGTAGATTTTTCTAAAGGACAAAATTTCAAACCACTTTCTATAGAAAAATCTTTGACTTGCAAATATAATATTTATACCAGGACCACGATTGAATTTTCGTCCAACCATCTAAATTTAAATAAAACTTCTTATACGCAAATCTATTACATTATTTCTATGACTAAGTCGAAGTTCCTAGTGTTTTTAAGCTATTGCATAGATTTTATCGCGAGCTTTGAGCGCGGCGACCGAATAAAGAATTTCCGTTACGAAAAAAACCTAACACACGATGACGTAATATAGGTGTGGCAAATACGCGTTAGAGTGGGACAGAACGCATACTGCGCATTCCCATCTCTCTGACGAGATCGGTGACGTAGCGTGAGCGCGGCCGGTACAGCCGGTACGCGTTAGAGTGAGACAGACTATATAGACGTTTTAGTCTGAGTCTGGTAGAGTGGTAGATTTAAATAATATCAAATACTGCATAAATAAATAATTATAACTGCATAAGTTGATAAAAAATGCTATGCAATACCTTTACAGCGGCAGTCCCCGAGTGCCACACGTTTTTTTTTTGTTATATTTTTTTTTAATATTGCAGATACGTCCCACCACTACTTTCGATTCCGCCAGATTTTCCGGAAAATGCGAATGAAATTTCAACAGAACTCCGCAAGCAAGAGTCGGTATTGAATCAGATCCATTCGGAGATGCACGCTGGAGTCGTCACTGCGGATAGAGACCAACAACTTTGGGAGGCTCAACGGATCGTCACGCAACTTAAGGTAAATCCAATTTTTATTATTTAAATGTTCTTTGAAGGTATTTACCATAAATCATATTTTCCGTTAAATAATACAAGACCATTTTAATTCTGTGCAACGTGGAACCAACATTTATTTACTATATTTTTAAGTGAAACTTCTTTATCGAGGTTGGAAAAAATTTAGTGTAACATTTTTCGTTAGGTCACATTTTTCGGTTACGCGCCATGTTGCTTTTTGAAGTCAAACTTCTTTATCGGGGTTGGAATGAAACTTCTTTATCGACGTATGGGAGAAATTTTGTAGCAAATCGTCACGTTTTTCAATGATAGTAATAATTCTATTACAATTAATGAAATTCTATAATAATCTTCGTAGTAATAAGGTAAAATGAAATATTTGTATTCATGTCTATGATAATAAAAGCCTTTTGTTAAACTTTATCTAATTTAAGAATTTCTGTAAAGGAAAGTAATCATTTTTGAAAAATAAGATCATAAAGAAGTTTCACTTTTTGGTGATGTAAGACAATTTTTTTCTTGTGTTTCTGTAAAGACCGAACCAACAACAATTATTTTATCACCAGGAAGAACCCAGAATTATTATTAAATGTATTAAAATCACTTGTCTGGGAGACGTGACTCACAGGTATTAAATTATATTTATATATATATGTCACCGTAAAAGTGTAAACTCCGTTAGATTGTAATCTATCTCGCGAGATTATGAACTGTCGAAAGATTGTGAATTCAACGTACTGCTTACAATTTAACGTATTATTATTTGGTAGATTGTAATCTATCGAAGTGAAACCGTCAAAATACAATCTTAAAATTGTTGTATCATACTTACTAAGCTCTACTGCAACTTAACCTAAGAACTTGTGAAGTCAATAATACCAGTGAAATAATTCAACTGCATATATTATGTACAATAAGTATTTGAAGCTGAAACTTGGGACTCGTAATAATAAAGTTGAGACATTCTTATTTTTGTCTCAAATTGTCTATGGTTAGTTTGGTTTCAACTAGTTTTTGGTGAAATTAAATCTAGAAACTGCAACTTATTTACATTAAAATACCAAAAAAATATGAAATTCTCCATCCTTTTTATTTCAGAGAAAATTACGATTAGTCCAAAAATCAGTGGAACCGACATCGCTTCCACTACAACAACACTCAATAGACGATAAACATGACGAACAACAAATCGAACAGACAGACGAAGATAAAAAACAAGACACACCAAACGACTTGACAGATAGCAAAGAAACTGAATCAGAACTCAAATCAGAAATCCAAGATCCAACGTTCCCAGTAGACTTCGATTCACAAACAGAATTCCCAGTAGAATTTGATTCACAAACAGAATTTCCTGTAGAATTCGAAGATAATTTTGAATTCAAAGAAAAAGAGAACGAAACTGAAGTGGAAAAACCTAAATTAACAGAAAAGGAATTAAAAGTATTACGGTTGCAATTAGAAAACGCGGAATATTTACAACTGAAATCTCTTCTACAAGCTAAAATTAATTCGGAGCAATTCGAAATTGTGAAACTGCGGAGTCACGTGGCGTTGAAGAATAAACAAGAGGGCCAGAAAGAGAAAGAGATCGGCCAAGAAGATATTGAGTTGAAGCAGCGGCTGTTGAAGGACAATGCTATGTTGGAACAGAAGAGATTGACTTTGGTTAATCAGATATTCCAAGAGAGGGTCGCGTGTATACAGTTGAAGATTGAGTTGGCTATGAAGGAAATTATGTCGAAGTCGTAAAAAACATAGTTTTTCTAGCTACCAATATTTAGCACGAACAATATGTATGTAAAACTTATAACCGTTCCATGTTTGAAACTAAACAAACTAACATGCATCGATAAAGCTCAGATTTGAATTTTGCTATAGTCGACGCATTATGAACTGAGGCTTCGGATCATAAATCATATTTATCTGTCTGTCTCGCTCGCACTTACAAGTCTTATGGAGACGTGTAGTGATGTGCGTAAGAATGGTAGAGGTGCATATCGATAAGGGGATAGGTACGATCGATATGCTAAATAATGTTAAGTATTAATAGGAATAATTTTTCGCTATCTGAAAATAAAAGTTTTTAATTTGTAAGATAAAATGTTTTTTCAACGTTATCATAGAGAAACTGTATAGATCATAATGTGGCCCTGAAATGGGCCGTTTTTATCTTTTCTAGGGATATTTCTTAGTTGTCAAAAAATTTCACGATGACGCATCGACCGGTAGCTAAGTATCGATAACGGGTTGCATTGCGTGCACATTCCTACTGTCCATGACATTTATTTCCCGACGACTCAGTTGCAAATGCGTCGACTTTACGAGATTTTTTACTGGGATATTTGGCCTTTTGGACCCAAAAACTACTTTCTATTTCTATCAAACATGATATGAAGAATCAAAGTTGTATAATTATTTAAGGCGCAAACTAAAAACTATTTATTTATTAAATATAAATTAGTTATATTTGTTTATTGTAAAGCGTAGCGTTTAATTGTATTGTTTTTATGTTAGAACGTTGTATTTACATTTAGTAACTTACTTTTAAAACATATATTAATTCAAAATTTTCAAAATGTATATAAAATTGAAATATGTCGCGTGCTTGACTATTTGTCACAGAATACATAATTAACAAGGTCCTATTAACAAACTTTGGCTTTGACTCCTTACAATTTACAAAAATACAAAATCTATGAAGCATACGGCACGCTGTGTATTTGCGGCACGCTTGCAGTGCCAACATTACATTTTTATAATTTTGTGTTATAAATTGTATCGATCAAATTAATTTGAGTAGACTGCGAATGATATTTTTTTTTATTATTTTTTAAAACAGACATCTGAAGGTTGTAATAATAAGGTTAATTACGATTAAATTATAATCATGACTTATTGTGATCTTTATTTATCATGAAATAAATGTGTAAAAAATTAATTATGTTTACTTTCTATTTTATTTAGATAACTAACACAAACGTCGAATCGAATAATTAATACTTATAGAACATTAACAAAAAGTTTTTGTATGGAATATTTTAGTAACCCTCCGTGGCTTTACAGATAGAAAAAGTCCCTGGACACAATGGCCCCCTGCCATTATTAGTAGAGTAATATTAATAAAAAAAAAGGGTCCGTGTACTTATGTACGCGCGTAAGAAGTTATACTTCTTTGGCAATATTAAAAATAGTTTGGCTTTGTTCCACCTCCAGTTTTTGATGTTTCACAGCGATAAGATGAAAACTCTTTTTTTGTATTCAATTTAGTGCAGTTACACTGATTCATCAATTGTTTTTTGTCTCTTTTCCTTATATTTGCTAGATAAAATCAGAAAAATTACATGTTTTGATTAAACAATGTGGTTAATTTTTTAATAAAAACATTACTCGATAATAATAATAATACATACGGATAGTTAACCTCAATTGTATTGAAGCACTTAGGAAGGTTGATGAGCACAGTTTTTTCACAAATATTAATTAGTATTGGTTTAAATATTCAATTTAAATCACTTCTGATTATAATTCAAAAAGCATCGCTAAATTTCTTTGAAAAAATAATTAAAACTCCTTTATTTGTTTAAAAGGTAAATGACAAATGTCATTATGGTCATTCAAAATTGTTGGCTTACGAACTTCACGCATATTCTATTTCTTTTTACTTGTAGATTGTCTTATTCCTATCTCGCTCGCGCACGCTATAATCACACTCCTAATTTTGTGTCACGGGTGCGCGCGCATTGTAAAATTTCACTCTCATAAATATTTCATAACGCGCCTAAAGAAGTATAACTTCAAAAAAACGATATAATTGGTTAATTAGGCGGTGAAGTCTATTGCATTCAATGTATTAAAATTATAAAATATATTTTGTATCCCTATGTAGCCAGCAGAATATTATTAAAAAAAACCCTCCGTGGCCATATTTCGAACTAAATGAGCTTAAATATTATTTGCTTATAGCTTATTTCAATAGAATGTAGAAACAATAATAAGTAAAAATAGCTATAAATTAGTACTCAAACAGAACTCACATAGCACTATTTATATTTTCATTTGTTTGAACTTTGTATTTTATTAGTCTGTTGTCAATGATTCTTCAAGCTCACTATGTGTAAATGATAAAAGGATGCTACTATGAAAAAACGTATAATGAACTACTAGATAACTAGAACTAAAGATACCAAGATATCAATGAACTTGATCGAAACTGCTGTATGTAGAGAGATTCTTCAAATAAACTATTAGTATCTTTGGAAGCTCCCTTGCGCACCGTACTCACCGGACCTTGCCCCACTTCTTTTTTTATATTTTGTCCATATTTTAAGTAGGAAAAAATTCAACACCTGACGACAGGCAGTAGAAACGGTTTCGCTGACTTCATCGCCTCCTGACCAGCAGAATCATACAGTAAAGGCATAAATATTATGTCTATGTCCAAACAACAGCCATCAAAATGGCTAAATTTTACTTTAATTATGTATATATTTGTAATTGTGAAAAATTTTGGGCCAGTATTTTGATTAAAAAATACCAAATTTCATACAAATTTCATTGCTAAAGTTCAATTGAGATAGCCTATAGCCACCAAATTTAGTATATAAAATAAGGATAACCATGTAAATATAACGTATTTACCTTAATTTCTTATCAATATTGGTACGGAAATTGTAAATATAGAATTCATAAGGTTATCACGTGACCCCATCTGATTAATGCCTAATTATTTGGGTTAATTTGATATGAATGAAAATTTAATTAACTAACAAGCTTTCGTAAATGACAAGATAACATGTTTTTAAATATGAGTAAGATAAAATAGTCATTATTTTGAATAAATAAACAATTATTTTGTGGTATGACGCTAAGGCATAATTATGTTTTATTAATGACTATTAATTTTCTACATTTCGTAAAAAACAAATTTTATAAGCAGATAAAATATTTGACAAACATTACTTAAACTTTAATCTTCCAATAATAGAAATAATTTAAATAAAAATCAAAACAAATTTAAAAAGTTTGGTCCCTGTGGCAGTGTACCTTTTAACGCTGGCAGCATTTCCTCGCTGTATTGCGATATTTATTCGTTGAGCCAGGAAAGTGCCAGCTCTGGGGTCACCGGTACTATCTACTAGGCGCCAACTTAAATCTTTAACAAGCGCCTGTGCACTTGGACCCCACGGCCCAAGAGTCTCTTCTCCAAAGGGAACAAAATCGAAGTTGGAGGAAAGACTCTTATATTAAAAAAAGTACTAGAAATCTAGTAGGCAAGTGGGTTATGTAATTCTCATACAAATATCATATAATATGTATACATGCATCACTACAGTGTGTGGCCTTATCGCTTACTAGTGATTAACTGAGAGATAAATTTAAAAAATAAAAAACGGCTAATCAAAATTAATACTCTATTTTAATCGTGTACAAAAATATAATGAACCTCAAATTAAGTCAGCGCCATCTACATGTCTTTTAGAGTCATTGCTGTAACGATATTTTTATTAATTCAAGCTGTGTAAGTTTTGATTTAAAAAGTAATTACAAGAAAAAATGTTCTAGAATAGCAAAAGCAGCATTTCCTTATCACTAAGTACCCAGATACTGGTGTGGCTATTGATATATTAGATTTCTGTGATAAGGTAATTTGTTATCACCTGCACGATGAATGCAAGTGCAATTGACGTAAACGCGATAAACAATTAGTTTTACCTAATTAATTTTCATCAGCTTTTAATCGTTTTTTAATTCTCAGAATGATGGGTACCTTAGTTACCACAAAAAATATGTAAAATGTACTTATATTCAAATGCCTCGATATCTCACCAATTGCACACTATTAAATGGTTTAAATAAATTCAACGACGTAGTAACAGCCGTACTCAGAGTAATCTACTATAGTTCCCGGTTACTGAGCCCTTAGATATTGCTTAAATAAATTCACCATAACGGACATCGCTAAAAATCCTCGGTTACCTTATTTCAAGTAAAGAATTACCGATTATTTAATCGGATTCTCGTAGATTTTTATGTTATCATTGTTACCTCTTAGACCGATAGGTGAGGCTACATATTTTATAATGCGGTATATAGTTTGTTTCTGTTCTATTGTTATTTATAGCTTAGATATAAAATCTTATTAGATTACCTTATTATCATTAACCTATTGGTTCTGTCGGTTAGTAGATTTTATATACCAGACTATTTCTAGCTTCTACTTAAATACTTTGAAAATTTACCCATTCAGTGATGCAATGTAATCTTCTTATAATATAAAAATGAATCACGGAATGTGTTGCTAAGCGCAAATCTCGAGAGCAGCAGAACCGATTTTGCTAATTATTTTTTATAATATTAGAAGTACGAGGACGGTTCTTACGGAGAGAAAAATTAAAAAAAATTGAGTGAATAAGTCTAAAAACAACACTTTTCTATATTCCCATACAAAAGATTCGTAATAATCCTTAAAAGTCAATTTGAACTTTAATACCATACCATAAAGTTCAAGTGTTAGTGGAGGGGTTCCGGGAAGGTAAATTTTTTGACATAATGTATTTTGTTGTCTTATCAACTTTCTTTTTTTTATCTTACTAGCTAGACCGGTGTCCCGAATAGCAGAATAAGTATTAAAAAAAAATAAAGGCTGTTAGGCGGTACGATGTTCGCCAGGCCAGCTAGTGTCTTATATAAGGCAATTCGCTGCACCGCTTGACGCTTCCTCTGTTCCTGCTCCAATTGGCTATTAGACCGATTAAGGAAAATAAGGACGTTATGCACATATGAACTAGACAAAACTTTATCTATATTCATACTTGGCCTTAAGAGTTTCCTAGAAATATCGTCATCGTTGGATATTTATCGGAAACTAACGTAAAAGATTCATATACAATTGACTGGTATAGATTAACTAGAATGGTAAAATTTAAAAAAAGCCAAGTTGTTCCTGGTCAAAGATTTCGTTTATACATATGTTACATTTCCAAAAAATAAACACTATTATTATGTGTATGGTTTAACGCTGCAGAAGACGGAATGGAAGGTGATCAGGTACAAAATTATAATACATGTCTTTAGTGAAATAAAAGAAAAATATTATAATGGTAAAATCTCTTAGGTTTTCAATAAAACACAATTTCATCGTATTATATCCGCTAGGACAACTGAAGAAATATATGAAAAATAAGAGTAAATTTATTTCACCGGTTTGGTAAAATGCAATGGTAATATCAGTATTTCAAGCAAAATTCCTGTTCAAGTAAGTCACCGATTTCAGGCCTTGAATACTTCAAAATGTGCGTTATTACAACATACGCTGGAAAATCTTGACCTCATTGAATACCTGCTAATTATGTGAGTTATTAAAACCATTGTGAACAAACGTTCTTATTCGACTGTACAAACCTATCTCAGCAAAAATTTAAGGCCGCATAGACCTACATGTTATTTACTGGTAATAAATTTATCAGTTGACATTGGCGCATTTACATTCTTTGAATATATTAGTGCTTTAAATATATAATGAAGTTTTTGTTTTAAATACTGTTACACGTAAACCTTGTCTAAGTAAATATGCCATTAAATAGTGAGTTTTCTCGATAGAAATTTTATACGATAAAGAAACTTCTTTTATTTTGTTTCCAGTTGTCTATTTAATTGAATATTTATATCTAGGTACGGTAATTAAATTGACGTATATATTTAGTTACAAAGAGATATGATTTTCTATGATAAAATAATGAAAAGAATTATTATAGGAGCACGCAAATTATGTGTATTCACGACCTTGGGGCTAGCCGATCTTAACCTGAACTCCAAGCAGTTTTGTGAAGGAGGAAATTTTGGTCATCCGTTATAACAACACAAGTATTGAATAATAAACAGCGATGTCTCGAGTAATTAAGAATTCAGTCAGGTGTGAAGAGCTATGATCACCGAAGCGAACGATGACTCACGCTGGTGTTTGAACCCAAATATAAGTGTTTCAAGGTATTTTAGAAATACATTGTCACTGGTTTATAAATCATAATTTAATATAATAGACCACCATAATTCTAGATGTGCTTTTGAAATATATCAAAGTGAAGTTATCTTTCCCCTACGTTTTTGTTAGCTGTTTTGCGGACCAACACACTGAAATATTTAAAAATTAACATAAGGTTTTCGAAAACATATCCTGTGTACTTAACACTTAACGTAGTAATGTAAGATGTGACATTTTCCTATTTCAAATTACTACCTAAAGCTTTCGAAAACTAAGCAATCAATTATATAAAATGGTTTAATTACACGACCACAATAACTTACGTTAAGATCATTTGAACCTCTAAGTATATGTGTGTGATACATTGGAATAATATATTATTACAATTATATAAACAGAGCCTTTTAAAATGTGTACACAGAAATTATAATGCCACGCAACGAAGTCGCGTGAAACCTACTACTAATACATATAGGTATAATATTTTCGTAATAAGTCACGACTTTATCCACCTTCACATATTACCGTGTTTGGAGATTACCTCGGTTCATGTATATCGAATGAGATCACTGTTGAAATCTGACGTGTCTCAAAAGTCATAGGTATTTGTTCACTTTATAGAGTCAATTAAAAATTCTACACATAGATCCGGGTTCTATATATTAATGTCGTCATAACTACGCGTAGTAGATTTCTCTAGAGTCAATCTACTACTCGTATTTACATAAACCAGGCGTAAGTATTAAGTATCTTAAAGCTATTGCATCAAAATATGCAAATTACATGTATTGATAGACATGATTTTATGACATGAACGTGAGAACTAGAGTTTCTATATTTTTTTCTAAGTAGTAATTTGCTATTTAAGAGAAAATCCATTCGCTATACAATTTTAATGATGTGCTTTGGAGACTGTAAAGTAGTATATTTATTAAATTCAATATATCCATATGTGTCAAATGGCATTGTATAGGACGAATATGTATTTACTTTTACGTACGTATTGCGTATAAAATGTTAATTTCAAATTATTCCAGTTATTAACTAGTTTTTTTTAAATAAATCTACGTAATGTTTGAAGCATACACTCACGAATCACGATGCGTTATACAAATTATCACTATCATAAGACATTTATCATTGGTTTAAGTTCTCGATTTCTTAAAAAAATGGTGTTACGGCAAACAAGTAGTCAAGTTAGTAGTTTAATATTTCCTTTTACTTTCATTATCAAGCCATTATCAGACACATTCTGAAGGACCTAGCTTTGTATACCCGAAAAATGTTTCAGTATAGGAAAAGGCATTTTAATAACACGTAAATATATTTAAGGCTTTTTTTCAAAATAATTATATCTACAGTACTTACAACAAACTTAACTGGGGTTAATATTTTACATTCTAAAGGATCAATAGTTATTGTCTCCAACCATATGAATATTCTAAATGTCAGTGACCGACCGAGTATTGCCACAAATAGTATTCTGTATTCCTACATACTCATAGTAGACACGTAAAATTAGCATCAGATCCCGGCTGAAGTAAAAAAAAGTTTATAAATAAAACGCACATGGCACGGTTCAGAAATCACTAGAGGATATTCTAAATAGTTCGCCGATTCACTTTGTTGACAAACTGTCGATTCCCCGCTGACCTTTTGAAATGTGCATAATAATCATTCGAATAGTGAAGTGATTATTTTTTAAAGTGATATGGGAGTGGTCTTTTCGTTTCGATTCATTCATCCTACATGTTATTTATAGCAAGTTGGTTTTATACAAATTAGAAAACCGCGTAACAACCACACAATATCTCCTTACTGACCTCCTTAGGATTAAATTAGTGGCGAAATATTTTCAACCTACTAAATTTATTTTTGTATTGTTTATAAAGCGTATTAAGGTCGTTGAACTACTTTGTAAAAAGCATTCATCCAAACTGTACAAAAAATCTTGCGCAGTTTTGCGAGAGAATTTATTCGTGTAATTCGTGTCCGCGAGCTATAGTTAGTGTGCATTTTATTGATAATAACGTTTGTTTAAAATGGAACAGCATTGATTGCCTAGACGCACCTACTTAATTTTAAACGGCTACATAAATTAACTTTCAAGTATTTATTGTGACACGTGAATAGAAAATAGAACTGTTATATTTTGTAATTAGTTACCTATTTACTTTTCTATAAACTTCAGTATGCATTAAGTAAACTGATTAACTGCGTGTTTGTGTCTTATCATAACGATTGCTAATTATTTATTTTTTAATTACTCAACAAATACAGTACATTAATTCGGTGTACCGCGCTCTCAGCTGACACAAATACTATTGTTTGTATATTGCAATCCAGTGTGAAGTGACTATCGTAACAATTATCGCAAGCCGGCTAAGTTGCTCTAACGCATCGTTTCTGAGACGTTTGTTTTAATATCCATTATATAATAAACGTTCGGTTCGACTCAGTCTGCTTTCACTCGCGATTAATGACGAACATGATTGTGTTATTTCGTTATTTACACAACTGTTTCGGCCGCTGAAAGATAAAGAAACCGAGTAAAGTGCAGAGCTAACTCGTCGTTCGCTATCTTATCGGAACCACTCTATTGATCAGTCATCATTATATCGCGAGGTACGCCTTATACGGACCGGACTACCTTTATTGTCCAATTTAACGTGTAGACGTGTACTCTGATAGGCACGATGTTACCGGTGAAGTCATAATGTGTGCCGTACAAAAATAGAATAACAGTGTTTACAGGAAAATAGTATCAATAACAAAAGTGTTGTGGTTTGTTATCGAACGGAAATGGCTGCTAAATCGCCCACAACCAGCGTGAAGTCGCGCGAGATCATCGGCGGCGACCAGTTCAGTCAGCGGCGCGAGATCTTTGAAAAACACAATACTGTGTTCCTGCCCTTACCCTCTCCCGGGGCCACCACAACCATTTATAGAGAGGTCGAGCCCATCATCACATCTAACCACGGTAAAACCACCTCTAACTTCAAACGGAACACCAGTGGATATTCCAGCATGAGGGAGACCAGGAATGATGATCGTCCGCAATTCGAATTTCGAACACGAAAATACTCCGACAATTTCACATCTGAACTTAACCAAAGTGACGATGTGGACTACAGGTACAGTACTGTAGAGCGAACGAGGCGACTCTCTAAAATGAGAAGGGATTTTCTTAATTCCAATCTTCACGAACCTCATGAGAGCAATTTCGCCCGAAGTGGCGTCCGCGCATCTATGCCTACTGCAAACGTAACGAAATACAAAATAGAAAGCCCAAAAATTCACAAGTTTCCTTTTGCCGAACCCTACAGTACTCCAACACCTGTGCGACGAATTCTAGTAGATTTAGGATTGCCAGATACTGAAGGATCAGAAGAAAAAGAGAATCTTAGCCCAGAAACCCGCAGGAAACATCAGAGCTTGCCGCACGACCAAGGCTCACCAAAGACAGACCGACAAAAATTATTTGAAGAGTTAGTCAAGCGATATTCGCCACAGAGAAAACCTGTGGATTGGACTCTTCCCCCAACGAAACCTAAGGTCATAGGATCAGTGCCAAAATCAACATCCAGTGGTCCGGAAAGCATCGACAACACCGATACAGCGGACAAAGACGAAGTCTTCGAAAATAAAGAAAGTGCTGAGTCCACAAAAGTAGACGAAAATCAACTTAACCAGGAAATGAAACCACACATCGAAATCTTGCACAATGGGCCTGAAACGGTAGAGGAAACACAGAAGGACGAGTCAAAAAGCTCTCTTACAGAGTTAGAAGAGAATGACTTCGTACCAGAACTGTCTCATTTAAAAAGACAATTAAGTAGAGAATCGGCGAAAAGGCCACCTAAGGACGTTATTGTAGACTTAACCATTCCAGCATTGATAGACCAGATGACAAAAGAAGGGGAGAAGATTGAACATCAAAAGACCAATGGAAAAAAAGTGAAAAGGAAACGAAGCTTCCTTGATAAACTTCTTGGACGTAAGAAAGATGTTAGAAGTGAGAAGTGATAAGTACTGGTATTGCCAAAGATATTAAATCGAAATTACGATTGGTCCAAGGAAACGTGACGTCGATTCACTATCGCTAAAAGGTATATAATTTATAATTTTAAAAGTATTTTCAATCAATTATTGGTATAAATTAATGAAGGTCATACTTCCTTCCTATCTTAATGCTGTTGGGTTATCAAAATAGATAAGTTAGTGCCATGTGACACTCCCTATCTGCCGAAAAATCGTCAGTTAACCCATTTATAACATAAATGTATATAATTTTATTGTCAAGCTGTTTTAATATTGTTTTCCGCTATGACTCACAGCTATTTTTTTTTAAACTGTTGTTACTTATAACGTGGTATTAATAAATTAATACGTTCCTGAATACGATAATTTAGGAAATTATTTTGCATAATAAAATTATTGTTATTAACCAGGTAGTTTTATTGAAACAACGATAAATCTCATACAAAATATACAACAAAGTATATATAAACTAAATAATTTTATTATATAACTATAGCATCAGATAATATAAATATATCATGCTATCGTAATCACAGGAAAATTACTTCGATCACGTTATCGGTCCTTGAACATTGTAATGAAATAAAGTGTTAAATTTAAAAGGAAATGAAATGTAACCTTATGTTAATAACTCGTATTATAAACTGCTTTCATATTATATTTTCTACGTTAAATATAATTTTCATGCTTAAGTTATAAGGTATATAAAAAGAAAAAATTGATGATACATAAATAATTACTTTTCCTTAAACAGAAAGTTAACAGTTTAAAACTATCATGTCTAAGAATGTTAATTCGCATTGTTTATTTTGTGTTTAACATTTCAGTGACCTTTTAAAACAATGAAGTATTTTATAATAACCATTTAAATTCAAATATAACTTAACGAGCAATATGCAATATATTATAAATTTGTGTGTTCTTACAAAATGTTAATATCCTGTTATTCGGAAATGAACTGTAATTTATCAAAGCGCCATCTAACGTGTTATTACGAAATCTTAAATGTACTTTCTCCTAATGTATATTAGAATTAATGCACTTCTAAATAAAAATAAAACTCTTCTAAATTACATCCATAGATGGGGCTAAAAACATAATATTAAATAGTGGATTATCACATTTAGACGTTACTTACGCCTAGCATCACAGAAACAATCTGTTATCATTATACCAATGATAATCTGTTTTTGATTTGAAAATAATGTTCTTTGTATATTACAAAATTTGCTTTCTTATTGCTGATGATTGATTGAATGATTTATTGTATGAAATTAACTGACATCTATAATCCAGGCAATATTATAATAGCTAATAATGCAACACATATATACTCTTTCGATTATTCTTTGTGAATACTAAACAGTGCACTTTTTGAAACTAGTTAACTGATGCAAGGTTACACATTGCCATGTTTGTTTAATGCTATTTGTATATTTTATATAAAACAAACACAAAAATATAAGCAAGTTCTTACATTTGCAACCTTACTTATTTCAAAAGTGTCTTGTGATATGTTCTAGAGCATGGGACCAGCTACTAATTTCTATGCTAGTGGCACAAATTTAAATAATACATGTGGTCATTCAGAACCACTCTGATATTGAACATTCAAGAAGGAGACTAGAAAACTTGAATTAACATAGTTTTGGTCATACATTATAATACTTAAAAGTTCAGAAGAATATAGTTACTAAGTACCTACTTGTCATTAACTTAAAATACTAAAGATCACTCTCAAATTCTACTGTAAAAAATATTATGGAGTAGAAGGTTGTTCATGTACTTTTAGTAGGAGGAACATGACTTCTTCACTTGTGATAATTCTAGCCAACATAGTCAACTACATATATATATTCTTTTTTTATTGACTACTTAAATTATGAACCTTAATCACTAGCAAGTTGCTTCACAGCCCTTTCTAGAGCAAATAGATGTTCATCATCAGCGCCCGTTACTATCTGCCTCATTGCATCAGCTAATTGATAGACATATTCCTTATTGGTACCACTGGGACCTGCACAACTCACTACTTGCTTAGCAATATCTTCAATGGAAGCTGGACCTGAAAAATAAGGCAATTTATGATTTTATTTGTGTATAAGTGTAGCAGACTTTCAAAGAAGAGACCTTACCTTGTCAGGGCTACAAACAAAACTAGCAATTTCTGTGTAGTTGTTTTTTAAGCAAATAGTATGATATTATTTAAAAAATTGCTAAATCATTTTTTAAGTCATTTTTGCTAAGTCACTACAAATTTATAGGAATTCTATTATAAAAGGAAGCAAAAGCAAGTAATACTTTCTGTTGGATTACTTAAAAATATTAGAAACATTTTTAAACTGCTTTGTTGAATTATGTATTATATATTTGTAAGAAATATGATTATTACCTGCAAATGATTCATTTTCTTTAGTTGCAACATAAAGTGTTATTTCAAATGGTTCAATTTTAATGTCTTTAGGATAAAATGTAACAGTTTTCTTAGAATATCCATTTTTCTCCCTATAGTCTAAGTGTTTTGTTACACTTTCTATGTCTTGACTAGCTATTTTGTATGCTACTCCCCAAACTTCAGCATTGGGTTCTTTACTGGGAATCAAAGTAACCACTCTTCCTGGCTGTTTACAAAAGTTTAGAACGATAGGTATGTTAGAGAATTAAATTTGTTAAATTATTAAAAATATTGACTTATGCTTTTATCTACCTCACCTTTTCTGGTACACCTCTGTGATCGATACTATGCTGGTAAAATCTCCGAAGGTAACCTTTGATATACCCAACAGTTTTTGACTCATATTTAAAATCAACTTTCCACACAAGAGATCCATAGCCAAAAACCCACATAATTTTTTATTTATTTTTATATTTATAGCCTGACGGCTGACGGCTACGCAGCTATATGAATTATAAACAGATTATTAGTCTATATATATATATATATATATCTGATGACTGATCTAACATCTGTGTCTATATAATATGCGCATTGTGCTGACTAGTGCCTACTAGACGTTTTATTTTAAAGGTCACTTCAGTCAGAAATTCCGGAACAAAATTTTATAGAAACCGTGTAAAAAATATTGTCATACTCATTACTCATATCTTTTTTTGTTTTCGTTTTATGTATGTTTGTTAATTTACCGGCATCCATCAAACATCAAGTTTAGCGTGTCGTTCCAGTGAGGCCAAATTAGGTCTTAGGGGGTTTTCCTCCAAATTTAGGTGGAATCAAGATGTCCAGAGGGATTTTTTGGCGGTAGATTTGTTTAAGGGGCTTTTTAGGGGGTACTTTTTGTCCTTATATTGACTTTGACGATTTTTTGTATCATTAATTTAATGTGTTTTAACGTTTAGGCAAAATATGATTATATTTTATGCAAACCTTAACAAGTTTCGTTAAATGACAATATCTTGTTCTCGTCACTAACAAATACCGGTAAACATCTTGAACAAATGTCCTTGCCTGCGCAGAAGCGATTTTTATGTATCACTGGGAGGGAGGCGGCGGGAAAGTGACGTGTCGATCGCGTGATTGGTAAATCAGTTGACGTTTGTGTCCCGCGATGCGCAAACTTTGCCCTACTCCCTTGTTTAATGCTCAAGAAGTTTGCCGGTATCTGTAACTGACTTTAACAAATGGGAGTTCAGACCCTCTGATTCCGAGTCAAACTTAGCGCTAAGTGTGACTCCCGTATTTGCCGTATTGAAATTGTAGGTACTTAGCGGCAAATCGTGACTATGATCTAAAGATAGACTTAGCGCTTAGGCAGACCAATTCGGCAAAAATGGATTTTGACTTACGATAGTCATAGTTTGGAAGTCTTATTTCTGAATTGCACCGTAAGAGACGTTACGGGCGGCCCAGTCAGTTACGTAGGTATTCCAATTAGTATCTTAAGTCATGATCTCTGCTTGATCACTCAAATATATTATCGAAGTTCAAATATAATAAATGACTTGGAAGCTCTTGAAAGCAGATTTAAGTTTGATTAACGGTATCTAGAATACGGGCGTTGGACTGGACGGTGTTCCTCCTTTACATAGAGTCGTGAAAGCCTTATCATTAATTATTTATAACATCATTTTCAATAATATTGAACATTAATTATATTATAGTTTACAATAAAAGCCATCCCTTCATTATCTGTCTAATGATGAAACAAAAAATTGTAATCTCTGTCAATGACCGGATGTGAACACTGAAATAGAAATGTCAAATAAGAATTGTCAAAATTTAAAAATTATCTGATGATTTTTATCATATATATTTTGATGGATGTAAAAATAATCTATTATACCCTTTAAATCGGCTACCTTAATTATATTAATTCAAACTTGTGACAGTTTTTTTTTTGTTTTGCGACGTAAATTTAATTTAGGCATAAAGGTCTGGGAAATAAATGTTTTATTTAGTACATTATAAAGTTAAAGTAACGAACATAGATTAATCAAAACTCATAACCTTTTTAGAACGGTTAAGAAATAAGTTGTTGTTTGCGCGGGAATGTGTCACAGCTCAGCTTCCTCTTAAAATATTTTATTAATTGAAAATGGCTAACATGCTAGGACATTTAGTGGTTGATGGAATCGATGTCACAGAATTCAAATTGGGTAAGTAAATATGAATTTATAGTCATGAAACTTTTTCAGTTGAAATTTATGATTGAGTTTTATGTTAAGAGTTAAAAGTTTGCAACTTTAATTAATTACATAAGTTTATATATGAATTACAGTCCGATCATCTAAGGATATTGAAAACAATGAAACAAGTTTTCGACCAGAAATGTGTCACCAAGTTTTTGGGGAGAATGAAAATATATTTGGATATACAGACCTGAAGATTAAACTATACTATAGTGCGGGGAGCCTTCAAACTTATCTAGGAATCTCATATTCTGACAAGGTAAGTTATATTTTGGAAGACATGCACAGTCCTGTTTTCTTGTTAACATTATTTCATTTCAGATTGACCCAAAAAAATTAGCGGGGTTAAAAGCAGATGACATTGAAGGTGAAATACGGAAGGTGCTGGCACCAGGTTATTTTACAAATTTGGATGAGTTTGTGTCTGCTTTAGAAACTGATAAATCTTTTACTCCCCATGGAAAACTTCTACATTCTTTTGCCTTAGAATCTTGTAAGTTAAATTAATATTATGTTATGTAGGTATTATAAACCATTGCTTAATAAACTAATCTAAAGCTTGTTAATTAAGTAGAATAGTATTAAATATATATATATTTACAACTATACAACTACCCTAACAGCTCAATGGGATAGTTGTGTATTAATTACTGTATTAGGATATTTAACTCACTTTCACGAATCACTTTTGTGAATTTGGTCTTTGAAGGACAAATTCTAATGTTAATTGTAAATTGTAAATGTAAATTGTTATTGTTACTACATCTTTTGATGCAATTTAAATTAAGTAAAGTTGCATATAGTCAGCAAGTAGTCAAAGAAGAAGCTTGGGCCAGTGCAATTTTAAATTACATAGTAATCTAGACTATGTTGTGTAATATTAATCTATGATCTTTTTTTCAGATGATGGTGGAGAGAAACGCACTTTTGAAGTATACTACTGTGAAACAACAACTCCTGGATTTCTTGATTACCACAAAAGATTACAAACTTTCCTCTTGTGGTATGTTGATGCCGCTTCATTTATTGATGTGGATGATGACCAATGGACCTTTTTTACCATGTAAGTACATTACTTAAGCCAGGCATACTATTACTAACACCCATTTTGAATGACAAGAAAATTTACAATTTTGGAAGATAAAGTTGGATCTACTTGCTCATGAAAATAATTGTTACTTTTAGTTGTAAAATAAATTTTACCTTATATTGCAACAATAACAATTTCTGAGTAGCACAGTAGTTCAATCTTAGTAGTGAAGCACTTAACCAAGTCACTTTTTAGATGAATAAAAATTAAGAAATACTTCATCTTCCAGGTTTGAAAAGTACTCATCAAGTGAAGGTGACATTCAATACGCCACAGCTGCATATGCTACAGTGTATAGATACTATGCCTATCCATGTCATCTCCGCCCACGCATCTCTCAAGTTCTCACTTTGCCACCTTTTAGAAAGCTCGGATTGTGTGCTGAATTACTGCAGGTATTTCCCATTATGAGATGCTTAAAGATATGTCACATAGTTATTAAAGTGACATCCTGTTCTGAAACATAAAACAGAGCCATGATTCTGTTTGAGTTAAAATGTAAACCTGATCAAATACATAGCAAGATGTGGTAGATTTTTCTATAGGATAAGGCCTATACCCTATGTATAGAAATCAGTCTTGTACTGATGATTCGTTTTTATCACATTTACTGATGAATGCATCTTAATTTTCTTTCTTTTCTTAGTTCAAATATACACCCTCCAAGGGATGGTCAAGGTTTCCGAACAAATTTTAGTACTTGCTCATAATGGTTACTAGGTTTATCTTTATGGAGAGGTAATAAGTTTTCACAAGTACTACTTATGTTTTTTTTTCAGGCAATATATTCTCATTTCATAATAATGCCAGAGGTTTTAGACATTACAGTTGAAGATCCATCTGATGATTTCCAAAGGATCAGGGATTATGTAGATGCAAAAAACTGTGATAAATTACCGGCATTCCAACCAGAGAAACTTTATGAAGGGTAATATTACTAATTACTATAAATAAATACTCCAAATAATATATATTATAATAAATAATTATGAAAAAATATAATGTATGCAAGTACTGAATTTCCCCCCAACTGATAAAGCTAATAATAATAAGTGAATAATGAATAATTCTTAGGATAATTTTAGCTATAAATACTCGTACATGTCAAAAAATAATAATATTTTTTTCAGATTTTCACAAGAAATGGTGGATCAAGCACGTAGTAAATACAAGATAAACAAGAAACAAGCTCGCCGAGTTTATGAAATACTTAGACTAAAGAACACCAATACATCTGATAAGACTTCATACCTACAGTATAGATTAGATGTAAAGAACCGACTGAATGCACCGTTTCAGGTAATTTCAAGTAAATTTTTTTTTAAGAAACTATTACTTCTAAAAATATTTTTCTGAAGCCCAAATAAAAAAAATTACTAGCAACATAAACAGCATTAATAGTATTGAGATATTCAGCTCTGCTGGTTAGTAAATAAAAGTTCTGTAGCTTTTAAATTTATAGGAATATTTATTACTATTTATAGAATTTTTTATTATAATTCATTTTGTATAAAATATATTTGTATTGCTTTACAGAAAAAGAAATTAGAAATGAAGAAACTTGAAAAAGTCCTAAAGCCAGATGAATATGCAGCTACGATTAGCACTGTAGGTGTAAACGAGACCCAGAACCGTCTTTCAGGACAATACCTAGCGATAGAAGAGGAGTACCGACGTGTCATCCATCGCCTGCAACATTATTGATAATTACTGTTTTTCAGCACAGCTGATAACTATCATGAAACGTGAATGTGAGAAAATAATTAAAATTCTTGTGATATAAGTTTTTAATATTTCCAAATTGAGTACTGCTGAAAGATATCATAATGGATGTTACTGGTGCATTTCTCAATGGTGTTACTCATACTTTATTTCTAAGTGTAAAGCTGATGTTAGTAATGCTGATAGTATGATTTTCAATTAATACTAATACTTTAACACTAGAGATTCAACTTTATAATTTGTCTTTTTGAATAAATTTTGTGTGAATTAAGTTTTCTTTTTATTGTAAGAATATTGTTAATTTTTGAATGGAACAGTAAATGTATGAGATTTTAGTCCTTGGCAGAACTGTGTGAGAAACCTTAAGAAATACTGGTACAAACTACGCACTAATAAAATTTGTGCTTAATTTTTTGCCTTAATAATTTTATTTGTATACTCCGGGTTACACTCAATATGCTCAAATTTCAAGAACAACAATAGGCTGAGTATTTTAAGAATATTTTTGATAAATAAAACACATATTCTTGTACTTTGTTTTATTTGAGTGAGATCCATCTATTTCATATGTAACATTATTTACAAAGTAAGACACTTATAATGTTCACTTAATTTACTGGATACAAAAATAGAACTTTATTTAAATCTTACATTATTGAATTCTATAACAAATAGAAAATATTTTTTAATAAGTCATTTCTAAAATAATTAAGGAGTTTGGTGCTAATTCAAATAGTTCATGTACTATGCACAAAATCAATCAGTAGGCCTAGGCTATATTCAAATTGCACAGTAACACATTTCATACATTGTAATACTATGTAGGTAATTAGAATAATGTGTGGTCCGCGGCAGTTTGACAATGGACTTTTCTACGATTGAGACTAGCTTTAACCCTCGGATTCTTACAAACTATATCATTATTACTAAGCAGTGGTTGCTGTGATAATTTGGATCAGTTTGTGACTTTATACTTTTTAGAATTCATTCTTTATTATTTTTAGAATTTCATAGGGACAAAGAAAGGGCGCCGCAAAAAGCCCAGTATTACGGGCTACCAATGCGAAATACAAAATGAATTTAATTTTTTTTTACTTATTAATTAAAATTCATACAGAGGCCCAGGCTTTCCCCTTAAAATAACCCTATGCCAATTAGTTTGTTAAACGTATCTACGCATCTTAGCCATAGAAAATTAAAATGTTATGGCTAAAATAACAGGAATAATATTAGACGCATATCACAGAATAAAGTTGCTTATCATTTATGCATTTAAATGAATTGTAAACAGTTTTTTATAAGAATTAGCACCTCTGTCAAAATAAAACATTAATTATGAGACGTTGCTAAAAATATATATAAAAAGGCATAATTTTTTAAACAGATTCGACCATGTAAAATTTTATATAAAACAATTCGAGTTCATTTGCAAAGCGAGGGCTTTTTACTCAATATAGATCTGTCAACAGTTTCAGTTAGTTGTGCCACCGCTAGATGGCGCGATAACCCTTGTACATTTTAACATTTTTTAGTACATCTTGAAATTTTAACTAGTATTAAAATCGTTAGGAACATAAAAGTTCTCTCCAAACCATTCGCTGTGATCATCCAGGTATCTGTAACGTAATTATTACCCCATGTTATTCTTTCAATTAGTAAGACTATTATTGTTTTGTGCAATGTCTATTTTATATTCCTTTCACCTCTGACGAATATAGTAACTAATAATCCCATCTATAAACTAAGTCTTTGATATTTTATTTGAATATAAAAGTTAATCAAATAATTGGCAATGATTTATGATAGATTTTTTTTAAATAATTGACATGTTTAAAAATATGAACGCCCCACTCTTAAAAATAGACATTACAGTGGTATAACGTGTCTGTTTAACACACCTCCGTGTTCCTACCCTTGATTTTTAATATAAAATGAAGTGTGTTGAATACATTTTTAAAAACTTACTGTACAAATATATCGACGTATTTCAAAATTAATTTCAGCTTCATATCTGGCATCTGGGTGGCATTTAGATAAATTGGTAATATTACTGAAACAAAAATTATTAATAATTTAACGACTGTTATTTTAAACGGACAGAAACAATTTTTCGCTGACCATTACTGAAAGCACCAGAAACGTGTTATGTAACCAATTCGCGTTTATGCCCATTAAAGAAGTTTTACTTACATAATAATTACATTAAAAAGCAAATTTAATATGACTAATTTTGCATAATAACCGTTTAAAATCACAAAAGAACATACATTTATGAAAAATAGTCGCGTCACGTAGCATTATACTAAAAGCTTCATTATATTTAATATAATAATGGTTAAATCTTTTAGTTCCAAAACAAATCTTTATACACAAAAATAATATGATTATTATCAAGTACGTACTACTTAATTTTTGAATATCAAGCTAAATGATAACTAATCGAACACAAAGATAATACTAAATTATTTCATAAGATTATAATTATTGATTATCTTACCAAATAGCCTTGCCAAATGTATAGCTCCATATATTCTACATGGCAAATGTTCCGTGCCTTCTCGTGGTATTAATTCGAATTTTGCTACCTGCAATGTTTATTCGAGAAATATATTAACTATTAATAAACAGACCAACAGAAGTATTCAGTTTCATCTTTAATGAAATATTTATGCTTTAAAAATTTGCCTATAGTTCCGAATCGAACAGATATATCTGAATAAATTCTCATTCCCTTGATTGTACACCATGTATTCGATATTACGTAACTATTTGAGCGTATCAAACAAATATTTTTATTATTTTAATTATGACATCTTTCTTTCATCTCATTTAGAATTAAACAAACAATATTATATCGACTTGTATAAGGATTTTTTCCCAAATTATATTCATACATATTTTTCACAAATTTTCCCCACAAAATATTGTTGCAACCCCATACGTACAAAAACGTGTAACCAGATGTAAAAAAAAAACATATCGAATTTATTACGTTTCACTAAAATCAATCAAAACGGGTGTAATTTGACATACAGGGTTATTGGAGCTGCCACAATAGCAAACCAGTGCGGACATAACCGATGGATTTCATACAAATAGTTCCCTTACCTTATCCATGAGAGTGGATAGCGGGGTCCTCGTGTACGGTCGATACGAGTTCACGCGATCGGCTTCTTCCCGGTACTCGCTAGTCGATGACCCGCTACTGCCCACACTATAAACATCAATTACTTATTCTTATTTATATTAATTTAATTAAAAATTATAAACACAGTGAGGGAATGGTCGGATTATCAGGAAATGTCATAATCGTGACGCTTACGTCCTTTTGTCCCTGCGTAATACATTTTTATTGATTTTAATTTATAGAATTAGTTATTAAAAAAACAATTTTGTGTTATTATAATTCTTCAAAGTGCGTATAGACTGCTCAATCCTTAAAACGAAATCTGTCCAACTGCATATTTCAAGTATTATTTCTATCAAATTGTGTTTATGCTATGTTGAAATGAGACAGATGAGGTGGTTTTAATAGAACCGACGCCCATGGGTACACACTACACACTGCCGAAAGAATCGCAAGTGCGTTGCTGGTCCTTTAATAATTGAAATACTCTTTTCGTTTTTTATAATACAGGGGCAAAAGAACAGGAAGGTCACCTAATGTTAAGTGATATCGCCGCCCTTGGACACTCACAAGGCTCGCAAGCGCGTTGCCGGCCTTTTAAGTATTGGTAAGCTCTTTTCTTATTCACCCCTCATACTTTTAAAATAAACAAACAAAAGACGGTTTTTGACATTCGATAGACATTGAAATTAATAGATAAAAAATTAGAATTCCTGAATTAGACTTTAAATTACCTTGAAGAGTGCGTTTCAAAGACCTTTGGTTCAGTGGCAGTAGGCACAACATTCGTATCTTCACTTTCCGATTGCGACACAGCTGACTTATGTGAACGCAGTCTAAAAAAAAATTAACAATACTTTTCCACAGAGATACATATATTATACAGGGTTTGACAAAACAATTAATTTGAATCTTTATAGGAAAGTAACAATAAAGGTGGACGACTCATTGGTCTAGTGGTTAGTACCCCTGACTGCGAATCCATGAGTCCCGGGTTCGATCCCCGGCTGAGACGAACATCGATGTGATGAGCATTTGGTGTTGTGCTTTGGTCTTGGTTGTTTAAATATGTAATTATATGTCTATCTATCTATAATATGTATGTATATCCGTTGCATGCTTAGCATGGGATTAGGTCAATGGTGTGAATTGTCTTAAAAAAAAAAGGTGTATAAACTCGAGCAGCCCTGAACTTATTCGAACTAAACGGAAACAGGAACACATCAATAATATTCGTATTTAAACAAATTGTATGTAAAATCGATATTTCCGAATTATTTTACTAAATAAGTAAAATAATTTCGGGTTGATACACAATTTTTTATGAACAACGGCTGGATAAATTTGTCTGTTCGTTTGACTCGCTAAAACTGAGAATGGCTGGACCTATTTGGCTCATTTTGATCTAAAAATGTGGAAGGTTTACGGTGAGACACGTCATATGTTTTGCTGTCAAATATATTATAGATAGAAAATTTATTTGTAATTTGTAAATTACTTTAGTTTGTTATTAAAGTCACACACAGACTTTGATTAATTATTTGTGCGTGTTCAAGTGGATTCGAGAACCGTTTAGAATTACAATTAGTTTATTTTTAAATTAAGATAAAAATATCGTAAAGATTCACGTAAAAATACAGAAAAATGTGACACGACGAATAAAGCAATACAACTTTTAACTAATCAGAACGTAGCTGAAGCCACTTCAAAGACTCTCATCGTGAGGTCGTGGGTTCGAAGTTCGAACCCCGGCTGTGCCATGGATTTTCTATGTGCACATCTAACACTCGCTCGCTGAAGGACAACATCGAGAGAAAACCGGCATAACTCAAACTCATAAATCGATAACATATGTTAGACTGATCTGATGAAATAAAAATTATCAAAACGGATGAAATCTAAGGCCAATATCGATTTAGGGTTTCAGCGGCACTGGATTATTTTGAACTAGAACTGATAATAGTTAAGTAATAAAATCTAATCTATGCATTTAAATAATCATAATAATATACACGGGCCTAACGTTTGAAGACCAGACGATTTGGCATTCTGATAAACAATAAACTACAAGCTCCCTCCTTATCAGAATGCCAAATCGTAAAATGACTGCTTCACGACTGATATCAGCGCGATCGCCGCTGCGAAAACCGCTGTGAGAGTTCGAAAAGTGAGTTACAGAATCGCAAGGCTGATGTTAAATTATTAGTACAATGGAAAAATGATTTGTCTCATACTTCACTCGGGGGCAATAAGACAAACAAATACCTTCGAGCAACAGCCAACGGCTTGGAATCACCATTCTTCTCTTTCTCAATTTTATCTACTTTATCGCATTTATACGTTTCAATGTGAGATTTAACTTCTATTTTCTCATTAATTTCTTCCGTCCTTTCTATTTTAACTCTCTCATTAATTTGCGAAGGTCCCGCCTCTATTTCGTTATCTTCTATCTGTTCTACTTTTATCTCTGTTTTTATTATTCTTTTTTCGGGTCTTTCTCTTTTTACTAATGGTTCTGAAAAAGCAAGCGTTACATTTTTTTTATAACTGATCAGGTTATAAAACTAAAACGCAATAATATTAATGTATTTAAATCAATCTTATTTATTTCACAAGATGAAGAAAAATGATTAAAACGCGTTCAATTATATTTATATATTAATTATATTTTTTAACATATTTATATATTAATTATATTTTTTAACATATTTCTATATTAATTATATTTTCAACATATTTATATATTGTTTTTCAACATATTTATATATTAATTGTACTTATTAACATATTTTAATCTTCAAATGATAGTTCACGATTTTTTGCATGCTGTAAAAATGTTGGTAATTTATTGAAGTAAGTAAAAATTATTTATTTCTTAAAATTTAAATCAGTCTTCTTTCAAACCATTAAACTATACTGAAGGAAACGTTTTTTTTTTTAAATTATATCTAACTTCATTTAAATCCAAGTAAAATGCTTACCATCGTCTTCAGGGTCCGGTGGTAGATGGGCGTATTCTTGAAGAGGACTCTTCATATCTTTCTCTTCTTCATCAGGTGATTGGTTTTCCTGGTCTTCTTCTGTGTTTACGCTTGTTGGACTAAATGTTATAGTTTGTTATAAAGACTTGATTTGGCATATTTGTTTATTTTATTATAAACTAAAAATCTGCTATAAAACCGATTAAATATTCAAATAATTTTGTGCACCAATTAATATTTTTATCGCTGTTTTTAGAATAAAAATTAGCGCGACCTTGGGTTTATCAAAGTACAATACGTTGTACAGTACAGTACGAAAAGTACAGTACGTTTTTGACATACGAGTAAGACCTAAAGCTTAGGTTTCCTAGAAAAGCGATGCCGTTAATTAACGGCCGTCATTTTACGGTTTTTAATAACAGCCGTCTTTGCTTTTAAACATAATGCAAAAAAAACAATCATTTTCGCTCGTCCAAGTCACGTTTTCACTCATTGTATTAATTAAATAAGGGCACCGCTACACGCGAAAAATGTTGAACTAATGTTTATCACCGCTATGACGGCCGTCATGCAAATGACAGCACCGCTATATGACGTTACGGTGACACTCGACGTTCTCTAGAAAACCTACTCTGATGTTATTTATAGACAACGTATGGGTGACGTCACCTAATGTTACATTACGGCCGTTAGTTAACGGCACCGCTTTTCTAGGAAACCTAAGCTTTAGTCTGTAATAAAATTTACTAACGTAAATAGTAATATACCACGAATAATACTTACAAATTATTATACTGTCCACACATTTCCTGATACTGTGGATATTCTTGTTTGTAGAGCATGTGACCTCGGAATATAAAGTCAAAATATACACGCAAACCGTCCGCCACTTCTCGAACTAGATTCAATCTAAAAAAAGAATATTTACTTATTTATCAAATAAAATAGGATTTGAATGTTTCTCATACATTTTTATATGGACAAAAAATATATCGTGCAGTACTAAACGAGTGAGACCAGTGTTGGCCTAGTGGCTTAAACGTGCGACCCTCATCAGAGGTTGTGCGTTCGAATCACACCTGTGCACCGATGGAATTTTCTGTCTATGTGCGCAATAAACAGTTGCTGCTACAGTAAAGGCAAACAACGTGATAGCCACTGAAGGCTGAAACTACTTGTTAATAAAAAATAACATACATACATTGAATAAATGGATGTAATCTTAGGCCAATATTTAGGGATGGAGCGCAACTTCACAAAAAACAATAATTATTGAAGTTATACTTCTTTAGGCGCGTTATGAAAAATTTATGAAAGTGAAATTTTACAATGCGCGCGCACCCGTGACACAAAATTAGGAGTGTGATTATAGCGTGCGCGAGCGAGATAGGAATAAGACAATCTACAAGTAAAAAGAAATAGAATATGCGTGAAGTTCGTATGCCAACAATTTTGAATGACCATAATGACATTTGTCATTTACCTTTTAAACAAATAAAGGAGTTTTAATTATTTTTTCAAAGAAATTTAGCGATGCTTTTTGAATTATAATCAGAAGTGATTTAAATTGAATATTTAAACCAATACTAATTAATATTTGTGAAAAAACTGTGCTCATCAACCTTCCTAAGTGCTTCAATACAATTGAGGTTAACTATCCGTATGTATTATTATTATTATCGAGTAATGTTTTGATTAAAAAATTAACCACATTGTTTAATCAAAACATGTAATTTTTCAGATTTTATCTAGCAAATATAAGGAAAAGAGACAAAAAACAATTGATGAATCAGTGTAACTGCACTAAATTGAATACAAAAAAAGAGTTTTCATCTTATCGCTGTGAAACATCAAAAACTGGAGGTGGAACAAAGCCAAACTATTTTTAATATTGCCAAAGAAGTATAACTTCTTATGCGCGTACATAAGTACACGGACCCTTTTTTTTTAATTTACGAAAGACTGGAATGTGAAGAATGGATGAATGTGAAGTCTCCAATACGCATTGGGCTAGCGTGGGGACTACAGACCATTCCTTCTCGCCTAAAAGAGGAGGGCTATGGTGAAATGTATGTATGAAAATCTCGAAGTTTATTAAAATGAATCTGAGTACAACGTGACGATTTTTACTGCATTTGCCACGGGTCCCAGATGGTATAGGTACGCCACTGATGATATATAATTTAAAAGACATGAATTATTAATCAAAGTAATTTCTCTCTTAGAATGACAATAGCTTATGGAGGTAATTAACATGACCAAAAGATTATATACGTTTTGAATATAATAAAAGTAACTGTAAACTTGAGTGTGGACAAGTGTGATTGCATCGAAATCAAGTCGAATAATAGCTAACGCCACCTGTGTTCTAAAATTATAACAACCAAACTTATATAGAATCATAGAAACAAAAACCCAACACGTTTTTAATCTACACAACTAGATGGTGCTGATGCAAATTGCAATACACTAAAGAAATTTAAAATATTTGAAAAATATTTAAATGCGTATTAGTGGTTGTAATATATATACTAAATAATAATATGAAAAATAAAGCAATACCTGGCTGAAACTTCCAAAATATCCGGCTTCTGCAGTGGTTCATGCTTGCCCCTAGGCGGGTTCCAGGCACCGGCTCTGCCGAACCATTTTACTACTGACTCCAGTATTTCAGCAGCACTTGGAGAAGCCGGTAAACGTGCCACCTTACCACGTTTTACCACCAAGTGGTAGTCCAGTGTGAGGCGATCTCTACATATCGTATACGTGTTAAGATAATATATATAAAGAAAAAACTTTTTAACCGGATTAAAGTTATGTATAATATATATAGTGAAGCAATCATGAATTAATTTTTCTTTCATAATCAGACTTTTACTAAAGCCTATTACTCTTTAATAAAATAAATTTCGTTCTTTTTGTTGACCCAGACTTAATCTTAATATATCTAACTAGGTGGCGCTTAACACAAAATACGGTTTACAAATCCAAGAAAAGTGATATTTATTATAAAAAGCCTGTAATTTTAAAAAAGATCATTTGTACGTGTTTTTTTTTATCGTAATTAATATGTTATGATATTACAACAAAATTTAAAAACTAAGAATATCGATAAAATCGTAACAAACCTGAAACACGCTTTCGAAATTTTTTTACCAACTAAGTATATAACAAATTTTATAATGACTTAAGTTGTGTCTATTGAAAGGAGAGACGGTTAGCACTCCCCTTGACAAGGATGGAACACATAAAATGGTTAAGGCACAACTTGACCACATTTTTTAATGTAGATAAGTTCAAAATTTTAATATGATATTGCATTTACAGAAAAGTATTGTTGATTTAATATTCTGTATTTAATTAAAAGATTTGCTATGATAAATGTATTTATGTTAATTCTAAAATATAATATATTATACAGTAGTGCATTAATCAAAGAAGGTAATATTTTTTACCTGAGTGTAGGTGGTATTGCAATTTGTGCTCTGGACACTGACTGATTTGTTGAAGAAGGCTGTTGCTGAGCACTTGAACCTGAACCCGATGATGTGTCAGTGTCTGCGGCTGTTTCACCATCTAACATTGTTGTAATAATTCAAAATCTTCCAACTATTATTATATCTAATATTTTATTAATATACTTCTGATATTCAACAATGTCTGAAATTACAAATGTATAAAAATATGTATTGATATACAAACCATCAGGTTGAGTACTACTTGAGGAACCATCATCACTAAATCCATGGCGAACTCTTTTAGCTGTCCCAGTACCAGCTGATGAGGTGCTACCTTTTTTACGTTCTCTTCTATATAAATATGCTCCCCTAGAAAAATTCATAATTCTTCTTAACTCACCAAAGACATAATCAGCGTCAATGAAAAACAATTTTTTATTTTATTTCTAATATGGTCAATATTATTGCTAACAAAACCTTGATGTATTTTTAAATCAGAAGCGACAAGTCTAACTGAAGTACACAAATTTATAAACGAAACCACTTTGATTTCTTTTTAGGTACTGTTTTTGCACAGATATCTTTTTGTATCTAGTTTTTTTACTTACAATTGTAACTGTGATTTCTCGGCAAGATCCCTTTGCAATTGCCTATTCTCTTCTGTATCTTTAAGGACAAAGTCTTCACTCACACATCTATCCCAGGATGAATTCCATCCTTGAAAGTGGATTAAATATTCCACATTTCTTTTCCCACGTTTATCTTTATTTTCTATTACTTCTAAAACCTTCCAATAAAAATTACATCAGAGTATTAAACATACTTCTAAATTATCTTTAAAGAAAACTTATGTTCAAATTTGAAATTACACATGATAATTATTTTCCAAATAATGCGATAAATTGTTTTTATTTAATTGATAGAAATTATTATGAGATAGTCGAATTAATTATATATTGAGTAACAAAAATATTATTATACCTTGGAATCATACAACACTTTTGCTTTAGTTGGATCAGGTTCATAACACAATACCCGCTCACCCTCACTGAACTTATATCGCACGCTTCTTGTAGACACCATACTTGTTAAATGTAGTTTAAGTCTTAAAAGTCCATAAACAGACAAAAGTTAGTGCGCAAAAATACCCGGCGTTTTGTTTTCGATAACCACAGCAGCGGAGTTTCGATATGTATCTATACTTTGTACTTTTAACATAGTTTCAATTATAACCACTATTTTAAGTTGCTTATTTCAATTCTTTTTAGTATTTTTCTTTTAAGATTTAATAAAGAAATATTGAATTGTTTGGAGTTGTTGTTGAATTATATCTTGATCAAATTTAGTAAACATGTTGACATTTGAATTTTGACAACTGACATTTGTGAGGTATGTAGCGTCTATGCGCTATTGTCGGATTACATATTATCCATAGATATTGAATTAACATAAGTTGCTTAAAGGCGGAAACATACTACCAAAACGTGAGGCTACACCACGCCATCCGACGCATGTCAGTACTTATCAATCCAATATATTTAATATGGTGAGATGCACATAGACAACACGCCATGTGATCACGCGGTACGCGGTAACATCCAATCGATTTGGATCGGCGTGTTGTCGTGTTGGTTGACGCCAAGCGTCAAACGTTCGGGTTTTTCAATTGTCAGCTAAATGACTTCTGAATTTGTAAAATGGTCGGGCCGGGTGTCGACACATTGCGCCGCGTGGCGTTTTAGTAGTATGTTTCCACCTTTAAGGTTTTTTGGATTTTATTTTACAAGTTCATTCATCAATCACTCGAATTTGATCAATTTACGTGCCAATATTTATTCATAAAAAAATTAAAACTATTTCCAATTTATTACAAAAATATTAAAATATATATATAATAGAAAGCAAACACTTCGAACTATTTATTAATTTAGAAGTGATTTAGCGAACATTATGATATTTTCAAATTTATTAAATAATATGAATTTGAATTTTTGTACTACTAGAGTCAACTGACTATAGTATTTCTAACTATAAGCGCCTATAGCTATAATAAAACTTAAAATATTTTTTCAAAAAGCTTTAATAAAATAAAATAAAATTTATTATATAAGTACTATTTTAGTAAAACATCTCCTACTAAAAACAATGCATATTTGGTTTATTATGTGTAAATAAAGAATTACTTCGTGTTTACCTATTTATCGGATTCTATTATTGGTATTTGTATTTTTTTAATTTTATTTGTAGCAACTACCATATTCAAGGCTCTTGCAATACATGTTAAACAGACTACCCACGTTAGTATGTATATCTACGTTCCCACGACTTATCAATTAATTACGATCCAAGACGCTTTCATAAGTTCAACATTAGATCTTTACAAAGGTTATAAGGCTACTCTACCAGTCTGCTTACTTATGCTTAAATAAGGATTGAATAGTATTTCCTTGTGTAATATATCAGTTTTTTATCTACTTTACGAGTATATTGTAGATCTAAGAGTAAAAACGGTGTTCAAGAAAAAGACATACATAAAAAGGTAGAAAAATAATTTAATTAACGTATCTTATTCCTTTCATAACAAAATTCCTAGTTAGCTCTACTATTTGGCATTTAGTGGTGGTAGTAGGCAGGAGATGAGTAGGCGACTGGGGCAGCGTGGACCAATGGTGCGGCGACCTTGGCAACGACGGGCGCGACAGCCTTAACGGCGATGGGTTCTCTACGGACTACAGCGTTGAAGCCGTTGTGTGGGTCAGCGGTGTAGTCAACGGTGCGCTTGTGGCCATCAGGGTCTACAACTGAGTATGAGCCTTGGACGACATCACCATCGCGAGATTCGTGTTGGGTCTTGGAGTCACCGGTCAAACCATCTTGAACGTCGTAAGCGAAGCTGTATTGGGGGTGGTGGTCGTATTCTTCAACGGCGACCTTAGCGACGGGGGCTACGGCGTATTTAGCTACTGGCGCAGCATGGTATACAGGTGCAGCCTGGTATACAGGGGCAGATTGGTAGACCTGGGCGCCGTGGTAGGCTGGGGAAGCTTGATACACCTGGGCACCGTGGTAGGCTGGGGCAGCTTGGTACACCTGGGCACCGTGGTAGGCTGGGGAAGCAGCGTAAGCGACGGGAGCAGCTGGAAGTAAGCCAGCGCTAGCGGTCGCTACGATGCAAGCAAGGACGACAAACTGTAAAAGTATAATAACGTTTAATTAGTTTTTCAACATGATGTAAGGCTAACCGTATAGCGTATAAAAATAAAACATATATTTTTAAATTCCAGGATCAACTTCTTGGTGAAACAGAACATGGAACTTGAAAAAGAACAATGATCTGCACTACTCTTTTTCATTCAAAATTTACGAGCTTTGAAATTGTATGAGCAGACAAACTAGGAGCAAAACGACTCAATATACCTTGAATGCCATTGTGCTGGTTGGTTGTGAGGATGCTGAATGATAGTAATTGAGGAGCGTAGTTAGCTTTTATATGGCGTGGGGCTCACCCTTTCACTTGGAGTCTATGTGACGTAGCACGGCCGTGAGCCGGCGCCCTAGGGCATCTCAAATCTCCTGCAGGTAACCCCGAAACTTGAAACCCGTCTGGTAAACTTGAATTGCACCTACTGGTGCTACTGCACGATAGAATTACTGACATACACTTTAAACTATTAATTGAAAAGTGATTTTACGAACATTATAGTATTAGTACGTAGACTACATAAGACGTAGGATTACAACAACTGTTATTAATAAATCGAGATCTTGGAGCTTAATTTCAATAGAAACTTATTAATTAATAATATAACTAATTATGCAACACATGGATAATTCTCAGGTTGGCCCTAGTGAAACTGCACTCTTGAAATCTACCCGTAGTCTGTATTAATATGTAATGTGTAACATACCTGACAGATTAATAAATGTCAAGTGGATTTTAGCTTAAAGATAAAATTTAAAAAAAAGGTAAAGTACGGTTACTAAACAGTTTCCGTTTTCATTTATAAATTTTCTTTGTAGGAGGAAATCTTGATGATTCCGGCCCGTTTTGAAGTTCTACATTTTTCTTTCCATATTCAACAAGCATTTATAAAGTAGTATATATAATTAAAACTTCACCTTGCGTAAGTAAAAAAATATATTAGGTTCATTAAATCACTGTCATACAACTCATTTCATTTTCATTAACATATGTGGTCTCTATTACGCTTTCCGAGATCAGATATTCACAAATAATTTTGGATTTTGTAGGGGGCACGCTAATAATAATTACCAAATATTATTGTATGTGTATAATAGTTTTGTTACATTATAAGCGCATTGTATTTTCTTTTACGATTCTTTTGATACGATATGATGCATATTTTGAAAGCGAGGCTAGTGCTTGTATAGAAAAATAAAAAGATTTTTTTTAGCTACAACAAAACATTAAAGCTTCTCAAATTTAATGTTTCATTGCAAAACACATTTAAATATAGTGTTGATTTCAGGCATTTTACGTATCTATAATGTGATTACCGGTTCAATTAAAAGTTACATAAGATGAGTTGACATTACAATTTAAATATGTAAGTAGGTACTTTAAACTTACTGATCCTTGCTATTTGGCGCAAGGTTACATATAAATGTTGAGTTTATTTTAAGGGCAGTAAACTTATAAAAAACTGAAGAAGTACAAAGGATTTATACTTGTTTAACTTAAATAACGAATTACCAAATAATTTTCTTAATCTACATCTCTACAATCACTACAATCCCTAATCGTTATCCAAACATTACAGGTTCCTTTTGCATCGAAGTAAAAATTATTGATTTTATGATTCGCTAGTACTATTTTTTTTTTTTTTTTTTAGGTTCTAATCCCCTAATCTGCCATTGTGTCCAGAGACTTTTTTCTATATCTTATATTGTAACTAAAAAGATACACACATACATACAATAAAATCATACTTTGTCTCGCGATCGAATTTACAATATTGAAAATTATAATATTACGAGACCCGTTCTGTCATTTTTGTTTTGCCTCCTTCACATATTATTTAATAATTTAGTTGCAAAACCGTTCCACGGTTACGGTCTACTGTCATCTTTGTTGCTCCAGTTCGAGCATGGACGGTGCGAATATAGGGTGTATAAGCACATGTTCTACGGTTTGTTCGCTATAACAGCAGGTACATGTTGAACTTGTCTTAATTGTAAACCTATGCAGGTAATATCGCCTTTGCCTTATCTGGCTTAATAATGCCAGGGGGCAACTTTACTATTACTTAATACGTATATGGGGCATACAATAACTAGTCACAAATTTAACAATCAGCTTATTTCATGTAGCTGTGGGGTACTCGGGTCACAATAGATACAATGAATAACAAAAAGCTAGTAGTAAAATGATTAATTCATCATATCAATACCAAATGTGTTTGTTGAACAATAAGCTACTTCACCTTGGCATTATACGCTGCGGCACACAGATTATATAGGTGGATTAAAAAGTAGTTGAGGTGTGAAAAATATGGCATACATGTCTTAGGCATAGACAGTACTATAAATGTTTCATCACTGAAAAAGTTATTTACATGTTTGCATATATAAAAAATATAAGAATTTAAGATTTAATTTTATACACAGATAACAAAAACCAGAGGCATACAAAAACATTTTTTTTTAAATAACGTTATTTCAAAAACCATCTAAATTATCAGTCAGGTAAAAAAGGAAACATGGAAACCTCCAACGATAGTAGACCGATCTCTACTATCGTTGGAGGTTTCCAGGAGGACTAAAGCAGGAAAAGGCGGGAAATATCTGCGTAAGACTTGTTATTATAATTTAATTTAAAAAATATACAAATTTTTCTTATTAGAGCATAGTAGTAAATTATATTTAAATAATTATTTCTTAGTTACAATTAATTCTTCATACACTTAGGTAACACATGGGTAATATATCATAAGGGCACCGAACAAATCGCCCACAGAGGTGTCTAGATTAAGCGAGAGGTTAATTTGCCGAATATATAACTTATTGCGTAATTACCCTCAATTTCGTAAATAATTTACTTTGTTCTTACATTATGACGTATATCCCTTATCACATTTAAAATTTCTATTATTTCGCTTTTTCGTCGGAGTGATGATACATATCAATTAAAATATGTAACAAAAAAAAAAGTATGTAGTTAGAGGATAAGTACTTTAGGATATTAAAAGTTTAAAAATCAAAAGATTCTGTTTTTTACTGCAATAACCTTAAGATGAAGTTAACCTCAATCTGCCAATGGATGTGACTGCCCTAATAGTGACTGATATTCTCTATGATATTTTTAAGAATCAACATTATGCACCGACTGTGATAATAACCAAACCAAATAAAAAATATACAAACCAACAACTGTGATATAAATATTGATTATTTACCCAGATCGTAACCAGGAACTTCATTTTATACATCAAGAACTTCATCTACGAAGCTACGAAGACGTTCGGTAATATTTATTTCAATAACTTACCGAAGCCAGTTCTTTTGTTTAAAAAATGAACATCTATTTATGGATTCAATTATAGCCAAAAGACAATAAAGCCTTCGTGAATTATAAATGTGTTACGCATGCTCTATTACACGGTTGTTATGACCGTGAAGCTCGCGTAACGGAGGTCAGCGGTTAGTGGTCAGCACGAAGACAAACGGGTGCGGTATGGTATTATAAACCTTTATCTGTCATTTCTAACTTTTACAAATATTATTTGGTCAATACAATGCGAAACTTTTTTGTGTTGCATATATTTTAATACCGCTTAACAAGACCCCGATTTTTGTAATTCTATTCATACTTCGTGGGATTGAAAATGCCTCTTCAACTTTGAAACCATGTAAGGTGGACGTTGTTTCTAGTTTTAAAATTTATACTAAATCAACGCAAGCTTCAGGACATGAACCAAAAAACTTTTTTATACGAATACAAAGTCTAATTAAGCGTAATTGTTAGTTTTTAAATTCGGAAATTTAGAATGTAGTTATAAAATAGCATGCTTAGATCAGTTTGGGGAAAGTATGTCCGTTTAAATAACCTGTATTATTATTGAGAAACAATCTAGTGCACACTTACGCAATATTTCTAAGGATTGAATATCAAACTACTTATGTGAAGGTAAGTAGGGTAAACTTTTAGGGCTGACAGCACAAATGGCGAATATTTTTATATATTTATGCCTTAATATTAATCTCCGGCAAATATTTTAACAATGTTAATTTCAACTCAGAATTAAGTTAAATATTGATCAATACCAATATGCTTCAATGTTGTTTAACTTCTAACAGTTATAAATTTTATTTGCTTTCTTTTTGTAATGAAATGAATAGTTGCGGTAATAAAATATAGATTATCGGTCAAGGCTAAAAAATACCCCACCTTAAAACATTGTAGTAACGTGCGCCAACCCTATTAAAGTATTTGCAACACACTCGTACTTCAGGAAAATGACAAAGTGGACCACCCTTGAAGGCCATGTTAATAATAAATGTATGCGTTATAGAGTTTATCTAAACAAAGATTAGATACATAATATAGTTTCTATCTAGAAACTATATTATGTAGATATCCTTTGTAAATGTTCTTTAATAATATAATGAAAGTATTTGTTTTTATAGTATACATTTTTATTTACACAAATACAGTATTTTTTTTAAAAATAATTAAAAATAAATAAAATGAAAATCAAAACAAATTTAAAAAGTTTGGTCCCTGTGGCAGTGTACCTTTAACGCTGGCAGCATTTCCTCGCTGTATTGCGAGACTTATTCTTTGAGCCAGGAAAGTGCCAGCTCTGCGGTCACCGGTACTATCTACCAGGCGCCAACTTAAATCTTTAATAAGCGCTTGTGCACTTGAACCCCACGGCCCAAGAGTCTCTACTCCAAAGGGAACAAAATTGAAGTTGGAGGAAAGACTCTTATATTTGTGCCGTTTATTATTTTCTGCCTGCTCTGCGGCCGCGCCAGCTTTTTTGCTTGTCCGAAGGAGATGAGACGGGGCAAAGGTGTCTACACAGGTAGCATCCCATACTAAAGCCCGTCCCATTTTCCAAGGGATCAAAGACATTCCATCCGGCCGCTTGCCATCGTCTCTTGCGATGCCTGTTGAAAGTAAATTGACAAAATCTAATACGAATTTATGAATACATACTTGATTATATGACTTGCCTACTGCGACTTGCTTAAAAACTGCCTAATAGGATACGTATACTCGTATGCAAGTGAACTGATTATCGTTTAATATATTTAAATCTCTTGGTAATACGGTAAGACCAATCAATACAAAAAATAAATATTTATATACATATTTATTAAATTAATTAGGAAATTATTGAACTTGTTTATTATTTGAAATAAAGAAATACATTAATTTCCTTAATCAATATGTAGTTTTAACTTGGTATAACTACTTTGTAGAGGTATCACCAAGGATGCGTAACGGTAATCTGCAAAACACGGTGCGTACCAATATTACGCAAAGGCTGGCAACCTTGTGAAGGACGCGCGTGATGGGGAAAAATAGTTACCTATTATTATAATTAACACATCACAATCGTGAAATCGAAAATTTTTACCCGTTAGAAAATCATCTAGGTAAAGAAATATTTCGCCATTTGAAAGCTTTAATGCACAATTCTAACTTAAGTAACATAACTCAGTAAAGTAAGAGCGAGATAATATGTAACGTATGTATGTAAAGTTGTTTCGGTTTCGATATTTGTAAATATGTGAGGAACATGTATACTAACTTCTTTAGTATAGTAGTTTATTCTAAGAGTACATTGTCTTCACATACAATTATTTAACAAATGTAACAAAATATTGTAAACCTATTTTAAAAGAGTAAGTGTGGAGTTTCTTGCCCATTCTTCTCCACACGAAACTACCTTTTGGAAGGGGCAACTAGAATCTTCTTTGTATTTTTTTTGACGTTCAAAAGTGCCATTTTAGGTGGTCTAATTGAAATAAATTATTTGACTTTTGACTTTGTAAAATAATCTTATTTAAATTAAACATGTATGTAAAGTTAAATGCAATTAATAGATTTCTTTAATTTAGAATTCCAACCCTTTCTGATCTCGAAAGTTTAAGATTATGCTCAAAAAGATTTGGAATATAATTGCCTGTACCTAAAGATTTTAAGGAGCTCGGATATATTTTTGTTTCATCAGCTATATAACTATGGTTTTAGAACCGAAAGTCGCTAATACTGATGACAGAAACTGGGCTATTCTAGCGTGCTAGGTGATATTAAAGCAAGTTTTCGCGAGATATTAGCCGTTGGAAAAAAGTTGCACATTTGATTGTTGTTGCTTATTTCATATTAAACACAACAATGTATTTAATTTTTTTGTTTTTCTTATTTATATTACAATTTTCAAGCAAACACTGTATCAAAGAATTAACGGTAGTTGAATGATGTTTTAAAGAGTTTCTAAAATATCTCCGTTATTACCTATATTTTTAAATTGAACAAACAATTTCTAACGTGCGTTTTTTACAACCAATAAATTTTTGTACATCATAATAACGATAGCCAAAATGAATAGATAAAAAAAAATATTTCTAATTAGAACCTGTTTAAGTACATATAATGGGAGGCGCAAAAGTAATGGCAGTAAAGAAAATTTGTTTATTTTTTTTATATGACGATAGTTTTCATTCTGTTGTTGAATATTGTGTAGTGAACAAATGTAAAATACAATGAAAATAAAACATGGACCGTTTTACTCCCCAAGAACGTGGAATAATCGTGTCAATGTTCCTACGGAATAATTCATCAGTGATAAAAACACAACGTGAATTTCGTCGACGATTTCCTGCAAGATCACCCGATCTGACGACTCCCAGACTTCTTTCTTTGGGGTTTTTTGAAATCTCGGGTGTATGTGACCAAGCCACAGACTCTCGCAGCTCTAAAAGACATCATTTATCAAAAAATAAGGAACATATCGCAGGAAGTATTACGGCAAGTTATGCAAAATGTCATAAATAGGGCTCAAATCTTTAAATCCTAATGGTACGAAAATTAATGGCACAAATATACATTTAAAAAAACCTAAATCTAGTTTTCTAATTTAGAAAAAATGTAATAGCTGAACCAAATAGGGTCTTTACTTTTGCGCCACCCAGTACAATTAAAAGCTGTTATTTATAGTGAAATAACAGTTTCTGAGAAGAAACAGCTTTTAACAATCGACCTACATTTCTAAGTATCTGAGTGAACCCTGCAGGATTAAATTAATCAAATTTCAAAGAGACTCAAATTGAGCTAGGATATCACAATTACCAAACGTCCAGTACACAACAATAAGCAAAAGAGTTGACTTTGCCCTTAATCTAGGAACCTTTTTGAGAGTTATTGATTTATATTTGAATGATTTATGTCAATAAATGTATAAGGCTATTTTAAGGTACCTTGCAAGCTTACTTTAAATCACCACCATAATTATATAATTCTCGTTATAGTTCTTGGCTCTTGGATTCGGCATACAAGTAAATACGTTTATTTTACTGTTTAATTTTATGCACAGCTTTAACATAAGTTGGAATTCTGCTTTAAAAATTATACTTTCATTATCAATAAACCAAAAATTCGTCGAGAAAGTATTTCGATTTTTCCATACATTCTCTAATTAAGTGATTTTTCTTATATAAGAAACTCACATTCATAAACATCGAGACATTAAACGTATATAAAATATTCATATCACGTCTGAGAAGCAAGTTTCAAAAGACATATGTATGGAAAAGTAGAGCACTTACACTATTTAAACAATTTGCATGTAATATTATGTCAATGCCTTTTGAAGGTCGACGATAATTGGTTCCGATAGCCTAGAGCTTAAAGTATTCATAATTTAACACTAATGTTGTAGGTTACTTAGATTTAAAATTTTGTAATTTTTGGTTACTTCGTGTATATAATAAATCTGATACTCTTACAATATTATGAATCTGAGTTTGTTAGAATTAAATATATATACTTTTGTGTGCGTGATATAAAATCAAAATAATTTTCACTAATGGTTCGTGCGATTCTTAAAGTTATTTTTCAAACAATGTATTGTTCATTTTAAACACAAATATTCAAAGGAACAATTGTTGCTGATTTTTAAATTTTATTTATTTAAAAAAAAATGAACATCTTTTAACGCAATTTTTGTTAATTGCCATCCATTTAAATATTCGTATTCATACATTTTAAATCACTTAAAAGGCGTGTAAAAAGAAACTGAAAACAAGTGTAAATAATAGAAGGAAAAATGTGTGACAGTGATGTTTCATAGTTGGCCGAGTTGCACAAGTAGCTGCTTTGTTCAAGTGGCATTGTCCAGCGTCCCAGCAGAATGGTACGTGCGTACTTGAATATATTTAAATTTGGAGATGTCTCGGGATGAGGCAATTCTTGGACTTGAATCACTATATATGCTGTTAGGTTCCAACAAGGGGCACAGTTCACAGCTTCTTGCATCCCTGTACACATTACAACAATGTTCTTCAAGGTACGAACCATTGGATTTGAAGTGCTTCCAAGTGTCAGTGAAAGTGTTTAAACAGTGATAATCTTAGAATATACACAAATGTGAAATTTTTATTGAATTAAGCTAAAAATCATCGAACCGACATTGCCGTGATAATTTGATTTGCACATGTCGTCATCGTCCGTAATAGCTAATAATGTATAACATTTGTTCTCAGGTCGCGGTATTTTCATGCCTTTTGGCTCTGGCCTATGGAAGTGTGCCAGTTGCCTACACAGCCCCAGTTGTTGCTGCCAAGCTTGAAGAATTTGACTCCTTCCCCCAATACCGATTCGGATACAACGTAGCCGACTCACTTACTGGTGACTACAAGAGCCAACAGGAACAACGGGATGGAGACCTAGTCCAAGGCTCATACTCTGTCGTTGAACCTGATGGCACTCGTCGCGTAGTAGAATACGCTGCTGACTCAGTAAACGGTTTCAACGCCGTTGTTCGAAAGGAACCTTTAGTAGCTGCGGCCCCTGCCGTTGTAGCTGAGCCTATCCCTGCCCGCATCGCCGCTGCTCCTGTGGCTGTCGCCGAACCTATCGTTGCCGCCAAGGTTGCCGCTCCTGTTCAACCAGTTTTCGCCCGCTACGCTTACGCTCCAGCTGAATACTACAGCAACGCTGCCGTTGCCGCAGCTAGATACGCCGCTCAACCAGCCCCAGTATTAGCAAGATATGCTGCTGCCCCTGTAGCCGCTGCTCCAGTAGTTGCCAGATACGCTGCTGCACCCGTGGCTGCTGCTCCTATTGCACCTGTGGTTGCTCGATACGCTGCTGCTCCAGTAGCCGCTCCTGTATTGGCCAAATACACGGCACCTGCTGCTTATACCGCCTCTGTAACTTCTGCATACACAGCTCCTGTGGCAGCCGCGCAAGTGTTCTCAGCTCGTTATGCCTCACCTCTAGCTGCTTACAGTCTGCCAGCGTACACACAATATGCTGTACCCGCAGCATACACAGCGGCGGCGCCCGCTCGCCTCACTGCGCCCGCCCCAGTGGCAGCCGTAGCGCCTGCGCCCGCTAAGGTTGTTGAAAACGTCGCCGCCGGCTACAGATACCCTTAATTCACAAGAAACTGATCCAAATGAAAGACTTTGTATATAGATAAATAAATTTTGATACATGTTTATTTTGTGTTGAAATTGAATGCGTCCTTTTGAAACTATTTGATACTATTATTTATTAAAAGCTCGATTATTATTATACAAACGAAAAATACTCAGAAGTAGCCATTTATACTTAAAAACGCAGTACACGCCTACTTTTCCCCTTACTTTATTTATAATTCGTAATGTCATATTAAATATATTGTAGTTTCCTGAGAAAAGAAGTTGTTTGTTGGGTATTACCATCAAACTGCTAAAACATTTTCTAATTAAAATACCCTAGAAATAAATAAGACGAAGTAGCTATGGCTAGTTTTCTATATATTCGTTGATATAAAGGCATGTTTTGATATGTAAGAGACACAAAATATTCGAAAATTAAAATGCATTATAAAAAAAATATATAATTAAACGTGGATAAATTAATTTCTAAATTGTGTCTAAGAATTATAATAGTACGATAAGCACGCCGCGTATTCACGGTTTTAGAATAAATTTCGTTAAAACTTATTAATTGGACAAATAATTAATCTTTAAGTAGCAACGTGTTTATTTTCGCATGTGAAACTCGAACTCTTAGTCAAGCGGTCGCACACTGGTCAATTTATAGCCTTTATAAGACATATATTACTACTTACTACTGGTAAACATCGTATCACTATGTCTATGATAGTCCTGATATTGATGTTTAATGATAGGTAAATAACATATCCAAAATTGTCACAAAGCAATCTAATCATTAAGATCTCGATCTGTACTTTGGATTGGTCTTTAATCGTAGTTTAGATTGGTTTATAGAAACATGTCCAAACTGACAATCGATTTTCGTTTGTCTCTATCACCTGTTGAAGTCGTTATAATTGTTTACGTCAATCATCCAATTCTAGTGGTTGAATCTCGTATAAACATTAGGGAAGAGTTTTATCATTTTGTTCTTATTGTTTAACTCAAATAACGTCAATCTCCTACGTGAAGACCAGATTGGGCTGACCATACGTATTCGTTGTTCTTATGCTGACTTCCATTCAGACTTCAGAGGTGAACTGTGGATGCTCTCACCTATGGGTCTTTCGACCTCTGTCTGGAGCATACCGTAGTGCCTTTAAGTCGATGGCCGCCAGATGCCTTTGATGTCATACAAACAGCTAATTAGGATAACTTGAGTCAATTCTTTTAAGTTCTTATGGTCAAAAGTCTGCTTCCAGGTAGTAATCTGATTTGAAGGGCTCAATTCTATGCTGATGATGGTTACAAGCAATGTAACTCTATATCCCACACTCTGTAGTTCCCATTCATGGAAACGTCTGTTACCATGGTTTGAACATTCTTGTCAAAGAGGCTCCCGTCTTAATGTCGAGTTATGATAAAACATGGCCTCACGAAGTGGCACACTTAATCCCTGAGTTTGTTCATAATAAAAAACTTTTAGCGGCTTCCCGAGGGCCCTTAAACAAAATTTTGACATAACGGACCAAATTTGCAGAGTTCGTAGTTAGTTTGCCCGAAAATGCTTCCCGAACCCGAACCTTTGGCATTAGCGAAGGCAACCCAGGATAACTTTTGCTGGAAGGCTCACTTGCTATCTTTCTTGCGAGCTAGGACGAATCAATGGCTCGGCGATATAAGAAAGCAGAGCTCCTTTACACTCTAGTTCGTTCTACATAATCAATGATCGCTAACTATTGATAACATCCATTGCATGCAGATGACAGCACCATCGACACATAGTGGTATATATCCCGCCCAAGTCGATGACCCCCGTTTCTAATTGTTTCCTTATTGAAGATCAATTCTAATTAGACCCAGGTTTATTCGTTTTTACAGCCTACGAATTGAACCTATGGGCGAGTCTCTTCCGACTTGATCACCCTTAGTACCTGTCATACCTCAGTCTGCCTTGGGTTCAGAAATCGCAAGACGTCTTCAAACAAACACACTCATAAAATCAACGCTGTCGAGAAATGCTCACTCTTTTGGCGTCCCGTTCTGTACAAAATATAATATTAAATTTTCTTAAACTTAATCATAAAAATGTCTGTATGTTTATAAACGCTGAAATAAAATCACAGCCCTGCGATTCTGTAACCACTCGAACTCACACAGCGGTTTTCAGAACGACGGTCGCTCTCAAATCAGTCGATGCGAAAACCGCTGTGTGAGTTCGAAAAGTGAGTTACAGAATCGCAGGGCAGCAAAACTAGAACTTTACTTTATATACTATTTATTATACGGCCAACCTTGACCCGTAAAATAAGAAATATTATATACCTAAGGTTTTCCTTATTAATATAGGTGAAAACCGCAATACATTCCGGGTAGTGGTTTTTGACTTTAACGCGAACAGACGGAAAAATAACGCGGCGAAGGATATGTAGTACAAAAGTTACCCCTTACAACCGCACAAACTTTACATCTATATATAATAAGCTTTCACAGATAAAATTTATTAATTCATAGAAATTATAATATACCTCTATGCATCAGTTTTGTTAGACCAGTAGTTAAATGCTCCTCTGCACGTCCTCGACCGATAGATTGCGCGTTTGAACTCTGGCTGTGAACCAATGGATTTTCTTTATGTGATAGAATATCGTGAGAAAACTGGCATGTCCGATGTGTCTCAGGCACAGGAGACACAGCGTGTTTGCCGAATAGATGATAATAGAATTAGACACAGAAATCTGACGGTAATACATATTATGAGTCGTAGCCACAGTGGATTATTTTTCTTTTATTATTAAAACCATCGTTTGTCTGATTCAAAAAAAGTAAAAAATAATGATAGAATCCTTCAGCTTGGCGTCTTCAAATAACCTGTCATCTAGTATGTGTACAATGAGCATCAACTGCTCCAATTTAAAGCGATATAAAAATCGTAATCGATCGCGTAACTCGCTTTCTTCAATGGGCCACAAGTATTGTACTCACGTCCCATGTTACGTATCCTCTGATATATATAATGCGACTAGCCCCGGGGACCTCACAGTACATCTTCTGACTGACAACCAACCCTAAGTGAACAGCCATGAACACCAAGGTATGTATTATTTTATTGTTTAATCATATCATATTTTTTTAAAAATATATATATTATTTATAATGAAGTCCGTATTGGTATTAGAATAACAATTACTACGTTACGCCATTAAGCTATTTGTGAACTTAGCTAAACATAGAATCATAAAATAAGTGGGAATTTTTCGTGGGATTCTAAATTACTTACCGTTTAAGCCCCTATTAGAAGTTAATGCGCTTTATGTACTGATACCTAAAGCTAGAACTTATTCGACTCGCTAACTTGTAATCACGATATATCAGTCACGCGCTGGACATGATACCATCATGTCTTGTCACGCTCGATTGACCAACATTAGTGTTATTTGCAACACCAAAGCCTTTGAATTTTATTCTCTATAATCCATAGTATATAGAGCTATGTTGGCCTAGTAGTTTCAGCGTGCGACCCTCGTCCCTGAGGTCGTAGGTTCGATCCCCGGATGTGCACCAATGGACTTTTTTTATATGTGCGCATTAAACATTCGCTCGAACGGTGAAGGAAAACATCGTGAGGAAATCGAAATTTCTTAGACCCAAAAAGTCGACGGCGTGTGTCAGGCCCAGGAGGCTAATCACAAGCCTATTAGATTGAAAAAAATGACCATGAAACAGATTCAGAAATCTGAGGCCCAGACCTAAAGAGGTTGTAGCGCCACTGATATTTTATATTTTTTTATATTATCTATACTAGCTACCCTCTTATATTTATATCTGTGTGAAAGCGGCGGGGAACTAAGTTATAAAATAAATTAAACAAGCTTCATTCTATAAAATAGTAACTTAATTAGCCTTTTTTTTTCTCGCGTTTTGTTTGCGTGGAAACAAGAAATCATAGCAATAGTATTATTGAGTTCACATTATTTGTGGTTGAAAAATCCTGCCGGTTTTCTTAACCACCTTTTTCACAAAAATATACATATATGTATATGAAACAGAAAAAAAGCCTGTAGGTTATGGGATTTTACACACATCCTTTTAATTATTCATAATACACGATATTGCAAAATAGATCGTTTCTTTTTGAACAGGAACAATGTCGCAAGTAGGACATTTATTCAGTCCAAAAGCGTTGAATGCATATCAATTGGCCTGTGGTCACTTTGATTCAAATACTCTTATGTAATATTGTTATTCGTAGTATGTAATAGATCTTTTATAAATCTCGTAATTGCTGCCTGCATTCATATGCCATGAATATTTTTGAATTGCTTTAAACATTTGCAATAATCCATTAGGCTTCACCTGGCAGTAGCTTTAGCTTATGGCCTGCAGCCAAGTTAAATTTAGTTGGTGATCCAATAAGTATTTATATTATCATATATCTATATTATCATTAGATGGTAATTAATTATAATAGTCACAAAGTACTGAAATGCGTGTCTAAATTTAAATGAAAGTACCTTTCATTTTAGCAGTGCTATGATTCATATAGGTATATTGCGTGTTACTGACTTGAATTGTAAAAAGATATGCTTATTAGTTTGAACCCATTGTTTAAATCAAATACAAAAGTAGTTTAAGTAGGATAGAAACTAACCAATCTTGTCTTAACGGATACTCATTTATTGCAATGAAGCTGAATTCAAAATTTTATTATTAATTTCAGATTGTAGTATTCATCTGCGCGGTAGGCATTGCCTCCGCTAGCATTGGACCAGTACCAGTAGCAGCCCGAGTTGACCCATTACCTCAATACTCATTCGGCTATGACGTGCAGGACGCTCTGACTGGGGACTACAAAGGGCATCAGGAACACAGGAATGGTGACCTTGTAACCGGATCTTACTCAGTGGTAGACCCCGATGGTACAAGGAGGATAGTGGACTATGCCGCAGATTCCCTCAATGGTTTCAACGCTGTTGTCCGCCGTGAGCCTTTAGTTGCTGCAAAGTTCATAGCCCCAGCGCCTGTAGCACCGGTGGCACCGGCACCAGTGTTTGCTCCGGCACCAGCACCATTTGTCGCCCGAGCACCTGTGGCAGCTCCACTGTTTGCCCCCGCGCCAGCTCCCTACATAGCCCGTGCACCCGCACCTTACGTAGGCCCCGCTCCATACGTAGCTCCCGCCCCTGTGTACCCGGCACCCATCGCTAGGGCACCCCTCTATGCACCTGCACCCGCCCCTTTATATGCTCCCAGGCTAACTAGCCCCTACTACTGGTAGATGAATTATTACAATTTTTTTGTTGACTGCTTGTAAATAGCTGTTATTATTAAGGTTTTTATACAAATGTTATTTAATCTGTAATTAAATGAATTGAAATTTATTGAGAAATTATTTTAAACTCTACATAGCGAATTAAAAAGCTTAGTGAAAAATAGCTTGTTAAATATAATTTGAGACAATACGAGAAATTTTACAAACGCATAATTTACGCATTGTGAAAGTTGCCCATATCATCGTTTGTGCACAATTTTTTTCAACTGATCCAACTTTCAACAAATCTTGCCCATATATAATGCATTCGTATTTAAAAATACACAAAAAAGTGGGCAAAGATACGTTTCGTTATTTTGTTCCCTGTCAATCTGTTTCCGTCTCGTTCGTTAGTGGATTTGACTCAAACGAAACAATAGTTTCAAATCTTTTTGTATATAAGGCTGATCAATATACAGGATATTGATCAGCCTTATATAACAAATAATAAAAAAAAAGCCTAATATAACAAAAAAATATCGATATACGAGTAATAAACTCAGTAATTATTCGGGCCAACCCAGCGGTCTTTAAAACTATCATATCTGTGGGCACAGTAGCCCAAAACTAGCCAAGCCATCGGAGCGGCATTACATACCTTTTCTCCAAATGCGAAGTTTTAGAACTCTTTATTTACGTACATTATTGGTCAAATTTTATGCGCACACTAATGCTTATTGTAATATGAAACAATAAAGGTTTACGAAATAATAAGGGATAAAGTACTTGGAATCCGACTTCCAAGTAGGTACCTACTTTATGAAGAACGACTGTGATGAGAAATTTAAACTATATTGTCTCTTTTCAAAGCAAAAATCATAAAGGTATTTCAATACAATATACCGTGTTCTTTAGTGAAATTATAAATTAATCCAACTACAAAACATACATATCATTTAGAAATTTAAGTATTGGCCACTTAAATGGTTCTAATACTAATAACATTGGGTGCACGACGCACGTTACATTTGGGGACAATTAAGAGCTATCAAATGACTGGCCTTATTGATAACATGATCCACTGTGTATTGGGCGACCGCGACCTTGTCTTGACCGTTGTCTTAAAAGCGAAAGTACAAAAGCTTAGTGGGCGCGAATCGGCGATTACATGTGACGTCACAAAGCTGAATATGATCGTAGACTGGGAACGTATATAAAAGCCTTCACGAATTCAAATCAGCAGTACAGTTTTGTATCCCATCCAATTAAAACTAAAAATGGCTTTTAAGGTACATTAAACATTTTCATATTAATAAAATTAATAATTTAAAGATTTGAATATTATAAAGGCGAAATTTTAATTATTTCGTAGTTTAGAATCAATCTATGGAAAATGTTTCTCTTTATATTTTTTTCAAAAAATTTACTGAGTTGAAATACTTATCTTTTCAGTTTGTTGTATTGAGCTGTTTGGTGGCAGCAGTGAGCGCTGGTCTCCTGCCAGCTGCTCCTTTGGCTTACTCACACGCCGTTCATGCTCCAGTCGCCTACGCTGCTCCTGTTGCCAAAGTTGTATCTGCCGTCGACGAATACGACCCCCATCCCCAATACAGCTTCGCATACGACGTTCAAGATGGCCACTCTGGTGACTCCAAGAGCCAACATGAAACTCGTGATGGTGATGTTGTCCAAGGCTCCTACTCTGTTGTAGACCCTGATGGCCACAAACGCACCGTTGATTACACTGCTGACCCCCACAATGGTTTCAATGCCGTGGTTCGCAGAGAGCCCCTCGCAGTTCAGGCTGTCGCCAAGGTGGCTGCCCCAATCCAATACCACGCTAGTCCAGTCCAATACCACGCTAGTCCAGTCCAATACCACGCTAGTCCAGTCCAATACCACGCTAGTCCAGTCCAATACCACGCTAGTCCAGTCCAATACCACGCTGCTCCAGTTGCTTACGCTGCTGCCCCAGTCGTCCACGCTGCACCAGTAGCCTACTCTGCTCCTCTGTACCACCATTAAGATAAACAAAACGTGCCAAACTATACATAGTATATCAATAAAGTGTAAATTATTAAATCAATGTATTTAATTTAACAACCTATTTTATAAATGATGAAGAAGCATTCAAATATCAAATATCTGGAAACCAAGTGTGCCAGATTTGGGTGCAGGTGGGAGAGCTTGTTCAGGGCCTGGGATAACGGACAACCCTCTTTGACGTCGACGTCGGCGTTCAGCACGCGATTCCCCTGCTTCAGGCTTCCGAGGAAGAACAGAGAAGCGACGACCTGTCGGCACTGTTGACATGCGTTTAAACAGGACACTCGTATCTACTTTTTGAACGTCATCCATAACCCCTAAAATTTGTCTCTCACGTTGAATTACAGCTTTCCTCTCATCAGCTGACACTGTTTCAGAAGCCATTTCGGCGCACTTACTTAGGAAAGCTTGAACTCTTTCAGGATCTTGCAGTTTCTTTGAGTATTCATACGCCTCTTCCACTTGTATGCGCACTTCATTCGCGTTCCCTTGTTGCATATCTCCACTCATTAACACAAATAGCCCATTTAGCCACCAAGTGACATTGCTGATTTCTTGAGCTTCCCGCTGACATCGTTTTGCATAGAATTTGGCTAAAGCGTAATTCTTTTGCGTACAAAGTAAGCGTGCAAGCTCATACATCAACCAACATTTCATTGTTGAATTCTCGCACATTTCCAGAGTAGCTGTCACTTTATCTGTAGCCTGTTTAATATCTATGAATTTGTAAGGGTAGTTAGCCATGACGGAGTCGAAAGACTTTGGACGGCCTACTGGTAGTCCCATCAAGAAAGCAATTCGACGACGATTACCGCGCTCACTAAGAGTGTATGAAAGACGATGTTGAGCTAAGTAAGCTTCCCCAACAGCTCTATATAAGCGATCAATATAAATGTCTTTATCAGGAAGGGTACGAGGTGTCTTATTATCAAGAAATAATTGCATACGTTCAGCTTGCGCAATAACATCCATAACACGCATCTCACGCAAACTTTTTTCAATTTGTTTCAGAAGCCTTTCTGATGTACGAGCTCCAATATCCCTCTCCTTTATTAAAACTGCATCTTTGTACTTATTTTGGTGTTTAGATTCTGCCTTTTCTGATAGCCTTATAGTATAGTATGGTCGCTGAGCCCGTAGCATATCTTGTCTTTCCGTAAGGGAACGAAGAGCTTCTTTAACTACTAATTTTAACTCTTTACTTCCACCAGAGTTTGCCGATGTTAAACGAGGATCGCTTGTCAAATGTTGAAGGAAAAACTTGTCATAAGCCATTGGCCCCAGATATTTCATTGCTAGGACGCGTGATAAGGTTAAATGTTTTCTAGCTTGCATTTGTGTCAGCTTACGTTTTTTTTCAGGTTTAGGAATACGAGAAACGTGTAAAGGCTTTTGTGATTCTTCCCCAAGAGGGTGAGCCGCCTCCAACTTTTTTATAAGCGGCAAAAATTCAACCATAACATTTCCTGCATTGACTCCTATGCAATCCTGTATTGTTTCAACGCCTTGGTTTATTCCTTCTGTGAAATATGGTGGTTGTCGCCTGACCCGCGCTCCTCTATAATTCATGACTACTGATCTTTCGAAGTCTGACATTGTGTACATAGCACGTGCTTGCATGTTTCGAGCATTCATATTATGTGGCTCTAATTTCAAAGCTAGTTCTGCATCAGCGTAAGCCTGCACCGGTTGAACTGCGTCGGCGCACACCTGGCTTCTGCCGGTAAGCATGCGAACATCGTCAGGGGCGTTCTTAAAGGCTTCGTCATAAGATCCTTTTGCCTTTTCAAACTGTTCTAAACGGCGTAAGTAAGCGCCTCTCTCACGGTAAACGGTCAAAGCCCCATACAACTGCTTCTCTTCCATTGTAAATTATATTTTTTTAGCAAAATATATTATTTATTTATATATAGCTAAAATATAGTAAATAACGACAAACATTGAAATTTCGTTTGGATTGGTATGACGCAAAATATGCTGTCACGATATTTATTTTTTGAAGCACAGAGTTAGATATATGTACTTAAATAAAAATATTAATGAAATATGCTTACGGTTTTGTAATTAAGCTAAAATATGAGAGATATAGAAAAAATATCATATGACTATATTCTAAAAATTGTTGCAGCAAATGCCTTTATTTTTTTTGGATACGTAAATAATAGCTTGTTTAAATAAATGTCTATCCTAAAAGAAAATGCAGCCTACATTGTATTTAAATTTATTTGTTTAGTAAATACTTTAAAATTTCCCTATTATTATTATTATTATGTAGGCAATAATATATATATATATATATAATGCTTAATCTATAGAAATAAAAATGATTTTTTAACAGAAAGTAAAAATTTATTAGCCAAATCAAGATCAGTCCGTACAGATAACCGCTATTCAAGCAACAATAGGTGCAGCTGTCAGCCTTGCTACAGGTGCCACGAACGGTGAGGGATAAGCAGTAAGTCTAGCTGAGTATGCTAGTGGAGCGTTGTAAGCTGCGAACCTGGCTGCTGGCGCTGTGTAAGCGGAGTATGCTACGGGTGCAGTGTATCTGGCAACTGGTGCAGCAACTAAAGGAGCAGCGGCGACAGGAGCAGCAGCAACTGGAGCAGCAAATCGTGCGGACAATACTGGTTCAGCTACTACTGCTGGCCCAGCGGCCACTAAAGGTTCCCTTCGTACTACCGCATTAAATCCATTCACTGAGTCAGCGGAGTAATCAACAGTACGTCGTGTACCATCAGGGTCCACCAGGGAGTAGGATCCTTGGACTAAATCGCCGTCACGTTGCTCCTGCTGACTCTTGTAATCGCCAGTTAAAGAATCCGCTACGTTGTATCCAAATCTGTACTGTGGGAGAGCGTCGAATTCCTCCAGCCGTGCCGCCACCGGTGCCGCTACTAGTGGGGCCGCTGCGCCCACAGCAACAGCCACGGGTGCACTTGCACGGGCAAAAGCCACGATGCAGGAGAAAACGACGAACTGGAATATATTTAAATGTTAAACTAGATCAACCGTTTCGCCTTGAATATGAGTTACAATTATGTTGTACTTGAAATAGTGACACGGATTTGCGAGGGCGACTCTAAAGTGTCATTACGCAATGGTTGTGCGGGGAAATTGTTAACTAGTTTATGGCTAAGCCTAGGGTACGATTTGTCAAGGACATGTTGCTCCTTTGAATCTAAATTAAGTAATTGTTTTATTTGATTGATCGAACACTTTAAATTCAAATAGTCTTGTTGATTTATTGTAGTGATTCCAATTAATAGCAAGATGAAGTATAATAAAAAGTATAATTATTATGATTTGAAAAAAAAACCATCAAATAAAAAACAAAAAGTGCAAATGGAAAATATTAACTGTGTAAATAGATTTTCCATAGCGTTTCCGTACCTCATATAATTGTACACTAGAGCTTCGGACTTAAAAAATAATTTAAAAATAATGTTTACCTTAAAGGCCATTGTTGAGGGGATGAGTTGGTTAAGAAGCCAAGAGTGAGTATGCTCTTGTCAGGATGAGCGAGGTATATATAGGGGCAAATGGTTGTGACACTGGGCCAAGTTCGTGTTTAGTATTGTATGGACGCATCACTATGGATGTGCACGCAATTGAAAATGAGCTGCAATTTGTCAATGGCGGAAAAATTTAACGTTTTTGACTTTCGGCCAACATTATGAAACTGTATTGCGATGCAGGCTGTCGTCTGAGGACAAAGAGATTTCAATATACGTAGTATAGGGAATAGAGCAGGCATTATACAAAATAAATAAAAACTATTGATTATGTCTTAGTGGAAATAATTCCTTAACACCTTGCATATATAGCAAATAACGGTAGAAATTATTTAGTACTAGATGACCCGGTGAACTTCGTATCACCTACATAATAAATATTTGTGTCAAAACTTTTAAAACAGACCAAAGAGATCGGACCGCATACTACAGCAGCTATCAAACACAAATTTCTGAATAAACATGACAATCAAGTGACATCCATTTCCCAGCTACGAACAGTTTTTATAGGAAAATGCAATTGCCATGAATTAGTAGTACACTTTTTATTTATATTTCCTACCAATCAACCCTTCCCTGAACTTTCAAAATGTTTAAAAAAATCATAATTAACCAAATCGGTCCAGGCTTAGCAAGATAAACGAACATAAATTCATTTTTTTATATAGATAGATGCAAATTTTTCCATTGCCCGCTTTATACAGAAAATGTTATATCGTATCACTTAATATTATCTTGAATACACTCAATAAACAACTATAAATAGTATGTCTAACGCAAGAACTCATCAGTACCAATCTAGTGGATATTATGAGAAAGATACAGGATGTAGATATTTTCGAATTTTAAAGAAGAATTAGTAAAAAAAGTCAATTTTCATATAAAAACCAAAATAAATCATAACTCTGCAGGGGTTGACCTTAGAGACCTCCCGTAGATCAATTTTTTGCCGCTGATGACCTCATCTCCTATTTGCGTTTGATCCACGACTTTTTGGCCACCCTGTATACTTACTTATATATCTTTCAGTGTTATTAAAGCACGTGTTGAAAAGAAAATATCATATTTGTTACCATGGTTACGATGTTAATATGATTGAAAAGAAAGGTTACCATGGCAACACAGACCATGATTTATTAGTTTAATAGTATTTAATAAAAATAGTTTAATAGATGGAATACGATCTTTATAAGATTATTCGAAAAAATGCAATTATTTATCAAATATGTGATAGAGTGGTGTATTACACAAAAGCTGCTGAAATTAATGATACCAGGGCCAAATATATGTGGTCTTTATCATTGATAATTTTTAGGTGTTCATTCCGATAGTCATTGTTTCACTGGGAATAGCCTAATTATCACAATGCCATGGAGGTCGTCGCGTATTACGACATTTTAACCGACAATAGTATAATGTTCTTTTTTAATATATAGGTAAAATGTTAATCTTTATATATAAAAAACTTCTACGTGTGTTTGTAATTTAACTCCTCCCAAACGGCTGCACCGATTTTGATGTAATTTCTGTGTGTTTCAGTGGACGCGAGTAAGGCTTTTACAATTAGATGATTTATACGTATTAAGGCATGTGTACAGTACAACGTCGGTGGGGTCAAAAAAAAATTCCGAAAAAAGTCTCTCGTTAAGTTACCAGACTTTACAGTCTTGCATTATTTATTTAAGTACAAAAGAGTGTGTTTAAGTACAGAAGTTCACATATGCCTCTTGCATCAGTTTTCTGTGCCCAACTGTACAAATGAAAATGCATTTTTTTAAAATCAAGTAATGTAATAATATGTATTATTAAAATTTATACATACATATTTATTAAAGACTTAGCAAGAAATAAACAAAATATTCTATTCGAAATTGCCAGCTTTGGCTTTTATACAGCCCTGCGATTCTGTAACTCACTTTTCGAACTCACTCAGCGGTTTTCGCATCGGCGGTCACTCCGCTCACAACCGCTGTGTGAGTTCGAAAAGTGAGTTACAGAATCGCAAGGCAGGCCTTTAATCTATGGATTTACGCACTGTTTTCAAGGGAAATTTCGCCACTGTTTGCTTTAAAGATTTTTTAAGAGACTCAATGTCGCCGTGTTGTGTAGAGCAGACCATGTTCTCTAAAACTGACCATAATATAAAGTCTAAAGGGTTGAGGTCTGGGCTAGATGTGGACCAGTCTTCAGCCCTTATAAAGTCCTGAACATTAGTTTCAAGCCAGGCTTGGGAAGTTCGTGCCTTGTGACCACTGACCAGGTGCAGAATCCTACTGTAAAGTCCACGGTATATTTTTAAAAAGTGTATTGCTGAGAGGTTTCAATCGTGAACATTGACACGCGACCGCCCCGAGCTTTTGTAGTCGTCGACAGACGAAGTGTTGTTGTATATGTTGATAGCACGACATACGGCTGATACAAAGCTTTTGAAGTGTCTGGAATATGACCGACCGCTACGGCTCCATACCCACTGTGTGCAAGGCAATCACTACAATCCTATTTTCTTTAACTCCCCATTCCATATTGTAGTTTGATAATGAACACGAAAAAAATATGTGAAATGGCGCAAAATCGAAAGAAGTTTTTTTAAGAAAATAATATTTTTATTTATGGCTAGACTAGTTATATGTATTTAGACAAATAATTATTTGATTTATTAAACCGACTTCAGAGAAGGGTAGGTTAGAATCAAGTCGACCTGTAATATTTTTTTTGTTCAAATTTTTCGATGACTTTAAAAGTAGGTTAAGCAATAAATGATTAATTAAAAGTACTGATTCCGCGATCATGGCGGTTAATTCCTATCAAGGTTGGTGATTTTGGTCAATATTTGACATCCATCCAGCAAACATAGTAAAAATACATCTGGACTAAATAAGCTGATCAAAAGACCCTGATTCAAACTTAAATTATAAAATAAAAGGGGGACCTGTAGAAGCATAGTGTTTGAGATATTTTTCCTTTACTTAAATCCTTATGATTTACTACTAGATGAATACTATAAAAACGTAAGTAATTTTTAACTCATTTATTTTATTTAAATTGTAAAATAAATTAATACTTATGGGTCGTACTTCTGCTTGACTAGTTAAATTAGTGGTGGTAGATAGGAGCTGAGTAGGCAAGTGGGGCGGCGTGAACGACTGGAGCAGCGTGTACATATTGCGTGCCATGGACTACTGGGGCACCGTGGACCACTGGGGCAGCTGCGTACGCTAGTGGGTCAACCTTAGCGACTGGAGCAACAGCTTTCACACCAAGGGGTTCCTTGTGAACAACAGCGTTGAATCCGTTGTGAGGGTCAGCTGTGTATTCAACGGTGCGCTTGGTGCCATCGGGGTCAACAACGGAGTAAGATCCTTGGACAACATCACCATCACGAGTCTCGTGTTGGCTCTTGGAGTCACCGGTCAAACCGTCTTGAACATCGTAGGCAAAGCTGTATTGTGGGTGCGCGTCGTATTCTTCAACGACTTTAGATACTGGGGCGGCGTGGAGAAGTTGCGCTGGAGCGGCAGCATAGGCCACTGGGGCTGGGTGGGCTGTGTAAGCCACAGGAGCGATCACTCCAGCCTGGACGGTGGCAAGGGCACAGACAAGAACTGCCAACTGAAAAAAAGGGTTATTAGCGGGATCTTAATATGTTAAAAGATAACGAAGAAGATAATGGTGAATTATTATACCTTGAATGCCATTGTGTTAAGTGACTAGTGACTTCAGAGACGAGACCTCAGTAGGAATGTGCTGTAATACACACAGGTTTCGGTTTTTATAACGACTTTGAATGCCGCGGGCATTGCATTATACGATTACAGAGGCATACACGATATAAACCGGTTAATTATTAAAAGCATATTGTTGATATGATATGATTAAGTTGCCGAATCGCATTCAATTTGTTCGGGTTACACAAAACCAGAGCAAGTATGATTAATCTCCGTCAAAAAGATCACTTGCATTTAAAGATGCCGGCTTTTTTAGGCGACATCCTTGACTTAAAAATTTAATATTTTTGAACTTTCGTAGGTGGCACGAGAATAATAATTTGCGGTTACGGCCGCTAACTTTTAACGCTTTCAATAGAAATATTTTACGTCACAAGTAGACATTATTTTCCAAATCAACCCACTGTTTGATATTCAATTTGATCACCTACTAATCCCCTGTCACCGAATATCATGACATTTAGAAATAACATTAACTTCAAAATACGTAGGTATACTTTTTGAACGTGTATAAAGGTGCGCTTACACGGGCAACTAAAATTGCTCAATTCCAGTCAATACTGTCCTAGACGAGCATTTCAGTATTCGCTCGCTATGGACGATATTGTTCTTGCTGCGGCGGCTTGTAGCGCTTTTTTTATTATTGTCAAAACCAAAAAAGAACGAAAAGGAATAGGCGTATCTGGGTGCGATCATTTTTTGCAAAGAGGCCGCAATTTTCATTGTGTAAAGAATTAGATGACATATTATTCAAGAACTTTACTAGAATGTCACGAACAGACTTCGCTCTCCCCGCGGAAGCAAGACGGCAAGCCGCAAAACAAACAAGTGCGAATGAGACATATACAAAAATTGCTAGGAATTTCCAAGTCCATTGGATATTCGTCAATTCGTATCTGCGACATTGAGCGATACGAAATATCTGGAGCAATTAGAAGCAATATCGCCGAAATACTTTACTGAAATTGCTCCATTAATTGCTCCACATCGGTCCATTCGTGTCGGCGAGAAATTATTGCCCTCGTGTAAGCGCACCTTTAGAATAATAACTAAATTTATAGGCTGGTTACGATAAAATAGGCGCAATGTCAATCTATTAATCAAATTTGAAGTTGTAAAGAATTTTGTTTTCATCTTAAAGGTTTGTATTTTCGATTAAATTATTGATGAAAGGTATTATTGCAATTATTAATAATTTCAATATGTTTTGGCAATTTACGATATTTCGCGTTGTTTCGGTAACATGGGTAATTTTTCCTAGAGTTTCGCCAACAGTCCAGGCAGAATTCAGGTGATTTAAAATGCGATTTTTAAAAGCGCTATTACCAATCCGTCGCCCCGGTGTACGGGTATATGGCCAACTACATGATACACTGGACCAGCTAACAGGCATAGAGAAGAAAGAAATACTGGCACATCTCGCTGGAGACTGTGACCCTTTTCGCATGATGGCGATAAGAAAAGGTAACATGCTGTTTCGCAATAAAATGACTCAGATGCCATTTTTAAATTTGTAGTTTAGTTTTTAAGTAAAGCAACATTGGTTTATTTTGTAAATGTTTAGCCAATCCCTATTATGGAGCAATCCCGGCTGAACAATTTCAAGCATAAAGCACAGACTGAATAGGAAATACTTACGAGTTCATTGAATTATTACATATCATCAGAGAGCAGTGTCAGCCTAGTGGCTTGAGCACGTCCCTGAGGTCGTGCGTTCGAATCACGGCTGTGCACTTTTCTTTCCACGTGCGCATTTGACACTCGCCCGTACCGTGAGCGAAAACATCGTGTAGAAACCTACATGCCTGAGACTAAAAAAATCAACGGTGTGTGTTAGGCACAGGTTGATTTCCTAATTTTTTTTAAAGTTATTACTGTTAATCAAGAAACAGCTCTAGCGCCACTGGATATTTTAATTACATATATAAAGAGTAGTAAAAAAAATTACTGCTGTGCAACTTAGCAGAAAAAATCCATTTAATTAAGAACTGATTTAAGTATAATAGGTCAGTGAAAAACACTCATAAGCTTTCCCTTGGATCTGTCGTCAAACATATTTCAATATTTTAAACTAAAGTCCGGTTCGGTACGTAATAACTTTTGTTTAAAAATCGATTTAGAATATGTTTTTTTACTTACTCTTAAAGTTCTCTCAAAATTAGACTGAAAATTATACTTATACTTAAGAGTCATTATGCTTACTACTATAAAAAAAACAATTATGTCGTTTCGATTAGCTCAATTTTGTAGCTACCAAATAGTCTTTTTTACTTTATAACTAGCTCGACATGAATATCTAATATATAAAATTCTCGTGTCGCGGTGTTTGTAGTTAAACTCCTCCGAAACGTCTCGACGGATTCTCATGAAATTTTGTGTGCTTATTGGGTATGTCTGACAACATCTATTTTTCATCCCCCTAAATGTTAGGGTAGACCACCCCTAAATTATTTTTTTTTAATTTTAGATAAATTTTTTTATGATACAGCATTAAAAAATACATACAACCCCTAATTTTCACCCCTTGTCACCCTTTTTTTATTATAAATTATAACATGGCAAAACGACGTTTGCCGGTCAGCTAGTCTAATATATAAAATTCTCGTGTCGCGGTGTTTGTAGTTAAACTCCTCGAAACGTCTCGACGGATTCTCATGAAATTTTGTGGCTTATTGGGTATGTCTGACAACATTATTTTTCATCCCCTAAATGTTAAGGGTAGACCACCCCTAAATTATTATTTTTTTAATTCTTAGATAAATTTTTTTATGATACAGCATTAAAAAATACATACAACCCCTAATTTTCACCCCTCTACGATCAACCCCTATTTTTTATTATAAATTATATACATGGCAAAACGACGTTTGCGGATAGCTAGCTAATATATAAAATTTGGTCGCTTTGTAGTTAAACTCCTCCGAAACGTGACGGATTCTCATGAAATTTTTGTGTTATTGGGTATGTCGACAACATATTTTTCATCCCCTAAAGTAAGGGTAGACCACCCCTAATTTATTTTTTAATTCTTAGATAAATTTTTTTATGATAAGCATTAAAAAATACATACAACCCCTAATTTTCACCCCTCTACGATCAACCCCTATTTTTTATTATAAATTATATACATGGCAAAACGCGTTTGCCGGTAGTAGTCTAATATATAAAATTCTCGTGTCGCGGTGTTTGTAGTTAAACTCCTCCGAAACGTCTGAGGTTCTCTGAAATTTTGTGTGCTTATTGGGTATGTTGACAACATTATTTTTCATCCCCTAAATGTTAAGGGTAGACCACCCCTAAATTATTATTTTTTTAATTAGAAAATTTTTTTATGATAAGCATTAAAAATACATACAACCCCTAATTTTCACCCCTCTACGATCAACCCCTATTTTTTATTATAAATTATATACATGGCAAAACGCGGGTAGCTAGTCATATATAAAATTCTCGGTCGCGGTGTTTGTAGTTAAACTTCTCGACGGTTGACCGATTGCAATTTTGTGTGTTATTGAGTATGTCTGAGAATGGACAACATCTATTTTTCGTCCCCCTAAATGTTAAGGATAGACCACCCCTAAATTATTTTTTTTAAGTTTTAGATAAATTACTTATTTTTTTTTAAAAATACATACAACCCCTAATTTTCACCCCTCTACGATCAACCCCTATTTTTTATTATAAATGATATACATGGCAAAACGACGTTTGCCCGGTCAGCTAGTATTGTTTATATTTCTTAAATGCGTTAGTAAATCTAATAGCTGGTATAACCCATAATTATATTACTACTTGTCGGTTATAAGAACGCCATCTGATGACTGGTTTTGCTAACAACTTGTAGAAGTTGATTGCTTAAATGACTGTAACCGCTGTGTCAAGTTCATTGACATTTAAAATTACCGCCCTCTATGTTCAAATAAAAGCCGCTTTATTTCGTGGTTATTATTGGAGCTTACTCAATAGTTTTTGACGTGCTTATAAAATGATGAAATCATTTCAGGGATACTGAAACGGGTTAGAGTTAGGCGAAGTAATGTAAAAAATTAAAAAATAAGTATTACAAAAAAAAAAGTTTTTATATGTTAGAGTTTCATAATTCCTACAAGAGTCTTACTAAATATAAACTTAAAATGTTTAATTTAAATCGCCTTATCAAAAAGTATTAAATCTTTATTGAAATTAATAACAAATAAATTTACCGCTTGATTTTTTTAGGACCTGGCACCTGGGAATGTCCAAATTTAATTCCAAGTGCTCACTCGCAGCGTTTATTGGCCTGTCTGTGTCACCCGGACGACATGCATCTTGAGTACATGTGGCTCCACCAGGGTTGCCCAAAGAGATGTGGTTGTGGTTACTGGTTTCAACTGTGTCCTGTTGCTAGTTTCGTCTAACATAGTAATATAGTATATGTAGTTAGTACAAAATTTTCTTGAATAAAATACAATGCTTGCAATTGATATTATTTAATATAATAATTTTTGGGATCATAGTCTAGCTATAATCCTCTTTTAACTACACCAATAATCAGAAAACCATTTATGTCAAAACCTAAAAATTGCCAATCCATGCCGGCTTTTATATTTAATCATATCGAGGTGGCAATAAATGACCTTAAATCTTAAGTGAATGTTTAATTATATTTAATAAAAGTTATATTATTATTACTCCAAAAAATATTAAAAACTATTAATATAGTTTATAATTGTTTTTTTATCGCACTGTACACACATTTTATAATTCCTAATGATGCATATAATTTGGCAAAAACAATTCCCCCTGGCTAAAAGTAGGTCTATCTATTTGAGTATTATTTCCCGGTGTGAAAAGGACAGGCTCGTCTTGTATCGAATTTGTTTTCGTCGCTGGTGGCTGGTAAAATTCTGGACGTGGCACTCGATATGCAGAATTAAACTGTCTATATGACTTATGCGAATTGTATGGTGAATGTACTAGTACTGTTCTTATAATAGCCTTGAGACCGTTTTTGGAGTCAACCGTCCGATGGCTCCCATCTGGGTCTATTAAAGAGTAGGAGCCGCGTATGAAAGCTCCCTGTCTTGTTTCCTTATGAAATTTGGCATCTCCCGTTGTTGGACCTGCAATATCGTACCAATAATTATAATCTGTACTTGGTGGTGCATCAGTCACAATAATAGCGGCCGCACGTAACACACACAAACACAAGGCTATCTGAAATAAAAAAAAACACTTATTAATTCGATTAAAAATTGATATAATTGTTATTATAATAAATTAGCACCGTTACCACGCACGCTGTAAAGCACGCGAAACGTCGGATAAATTTAAAATTATGTTAAATAATTGTAAATTTATAATAATACATAACTTTAATCCGGTAAAAAGTTTTTTCTTTAAATGTGTAAAGGTTATGTCAATCAAAGACAATACTATAAATTAGCTAATAAAAAAAAAAATACCCTTAACATGTTGTAACTGTTCGCGGTAAAATAGTATGCACTTGGCGACATTTGTCGTATTTATAGAAGTGCATTCACTTGAAGGTTCCGTATTGCCAGGCCCTCGAATGGTCGTAAAACAAAAGAAACATGATACAATTTATTAAATAATATTGAACTGGAATTTGACCAGTATGATGATTTAGTGGATAGCGGTAGTTTTGGAAACAATAATATTAATAGGAGGATATAAAAATAATATCAATCGTCATCGTCATTGAATATATGTTAAGTGCATAATGATGAGAGATTTATATTTAATTACGTTGACGCTATTTCCATAAACGTCACAATAAAGTTAGGGAAAGTTAAAAATTTTAAAATTAATTTATATTTTTCTATTCATTTAATGCATGTTTATGATCAGTTTCAATGAAATTATGTAAATTTTGGTTACAATAGTTTATTTTTGATTGATTTATTTAATACCTTTGATAAGAGTGTCGTAGCGAGTGTGAATATAAAGTGAAATATTTGAGCATAATAAAACACATTTTTTAAATAATTAAGTCATTACAATTCACGAGAGTTCGTAGTAGTAAGTAGTAAGTAATAATGGTAATAATAATATACCCTTGAAGTTCTGGTATAGGTTGTAAAAGATTTTGGCCGATGTCTTAGGTAGTAAAATAAGTTTTGCAGTTTGAGTTTAAAAAAAAAAAAATAATACTCACATATTATATAGAACACAGGTTTATCACAACCCATTGACCTCCATTCAGTCCGGTTTGCGTGGTACTTAAATTATTACTTTTATTTTATCCAGTTAAATGAAAAAATATTTGTACATCTAGAAACACCTGACCATAGATTTAGATAAATGTATTTATAAAAAACATTCCCAATTTTCTAACAAAACAAATTAAGACCAACTGTACCTACTATTTTTGTTCATCTTTTTTAAGTAAAATACTTTTAATAAAAAAGATATATACTGACCCACTGAATAATTGCAAAAAAATAGCAATACTGCTAATAAATGTAACATAAGTTAAAGTACAAACATATACTTAATCTATGCATAACTATAATATCATTCAAAAACTAACTTGATTTTTTATTAATTTTCCTACCGCCTAATAATTGGAAATAGATATTTGATTATATTTTTATTAAATTATTTTAACTAAGCCATATGTGATCCGTGAAGTAGATTATGCCTTATTTTGGGGCTAAACATAATAAACCAATTACATATTAATAATATGTGTCGCAATAAATAAAGGTTACGTATTTGTTATTTAAGCTTAATAGTATAGTAGCTATAGCAGTTGTCTGCACTGTCCAACAGTAAACGTATTTTAATCATTTTATCCTCACATATCTTTTAGTCGTAGAGAAGCAGGGATTTATAGGCGCACGCTTTTTATATTAGTATAGTGCGTTGACGTCTTTTATATAACAACTTTTAACAACCGTTTGTTATATTATTACATAATGTTTGTTACAAATGTTAACAATCGTTCATTTGTTTTATTTTAACAATGATGTGATTAAGCAAAGTGTGATATGGCCAAATGATCTTAAAATGACTCCTGAGTAGTAATATTCTTAATATTAAAAGTCCAAAGATCGGTATCGTAAATTTTCCAAAATTGTTCTTACATAAAACGTTATCACTTCTTTTAGTGTGAATAAAATAAAGACAGTTTTATTGATTCCTCTTATTTATTACCTTAGCATCTATAAATAAACAATAAATAACATAAATAAATTTTAAATAATCATATCAGGTCGCTGTGGTTTAAATACGAAGCTTAATAACTTCTTTTGAAAACTAGTAAGACTCTAGTGGTAAGCGGCGACTGGAGCGACTGCTTTAACGACGCCACCTACTGGTTCTTTGTGGACAACCGCGTTGAAACCGTTTTGGGGATCAGCTGTGTACTCAACAACTCGACGAGTACCATCGGGTTCTACTAGGGAGTACGCGCCTTGAACAACGTCGCCAGACCGGGTTTCGTGTTGGCTTTTGGAATCACCTGAAAATCATTAAACATATTATATAAAACGTATATTAATGAGACCAAAATTATCCCTGATATTTCCAGGTTGTTTTGCATGAAATTTGAAACTTTTTGAAACGAGTTTATGCACGCATATTTATGCGTTCAAGTGCAATGGGCTTTTTGTGTACAAGTAAGCAACAAGTGCTTTTAAAAACCTATTTAGGCATGCAGTTCTCTGCCATAATACCGTTTATTAGAACCGACTACACGCATTGTTTTTTAAAAGCAAATTTAACAGAACAAACGCTAAGTGTCTGATCTATGCTCCATTAGTAGTTGTAGGGTTTCATACAACTGAATATCTTTCTGGTAAGTGAAAGTTCTGTCACTAATTATTAAAAAAAAAATATTAAAAAATGATTCATGTATCAAATCATTGATAGTATACTAACCGGTCAAGGCATCTTGAATATCGTAAGCATAAGAATACTGAGGGTTTGGGTCGTAATCATCTACCGCAGCCGCTGCATAAGCAGGTCTAGCTATAGCTAGAGCCGGTCGGGCAACGGCTAAAGCGGGCCTGGCAATGGCAAATGGCGCTATTGGAGCGCCCACGTGACCTAAGCCTGGGTAAGCATATGGTCCAGGTGCAAGCAAACCAGCTGACACGCTGCATATCATGACTGCGGCGAAGATGATCTGAGGATAAAAATATAATATTGGAAATAGTTGCTAACTAAGGAGTTTTTCATTTCATCAATTCAAGATTAACCATAAATAAAGGTTTAATTATTTTTATTTCTGTCGTATGTTACTACTGGTTGTATGCTTTCATTAAAATTATTTAATTCATTTGAATTATTTTATTTGCTGTTCCAGAGAAGAAATAGTTGTTAGTTATTTTACTTAGTTTTCGATAATTCGATATTTAATGTTAGTCTTACATTATTAATGCATTTGTTACACTTTGATTACTGGAACTTCTAACGAAACTCATTTGGAAGTATATTTGTGAAAATGTATATTCTATAGAAGACTGTTGGATTAGTGGATTAGATTCAAATACCGGCTGTGCATCGATGTACTTTCTATGTGTGCATTTAACACTCGCTCTTACATTGAACAAAGTCTATGGCGTGTGTCAGGCACAAATGACTGATCACCTACTTGCCTATTAGAAAAAACAAATCATCACGAAACAAATACAGTAATATGAAGCTCAGACCTTAAAATGGTACATTATTCTTAGAACAAATATACTTTTAAAGCGAGCATCAGTAGTTCCACTTAATATTAAATAATATAACAATGCAATACATTTTATATTTAATACTAGCTGATCTGACAAACGTCGTTTTGCCAAGTATATCATTTATAATAAGAAATAGGGGTTGATCGTAGAGGGGTGAAAAATTAAAAAAAAAATTTATCTAAAAATTAAAAAAAATTATAATTTAGGGGTGGACTGGGTAGTCAGTCTTAACATTTAGGGGGATGAAAAATAGATGCTGTCTGATTCTCAGACATACCCAATATACACATAAAATTTCATGAGAATCGGTCAAGCCGTTTCGGAGGAGTTTAACTACAAACACCGCGACACGAGAATTTTATATATTTAATAGAGACAAATAAATTACCTTCATTTTGATGTTGTTCAGTGGACTTGTAAACCTATGAATGACCAGGGGTTGCCTCAGCGTGTTTATATACCACACTTCGTCCTAGCAATCTAGGTGTCGCCCAGAAATATAATACCTATAAGATACTTTCCTTACGACCGTGCCCTTTATCACATGAATTATTAATGTATCACTACATCAAAACGTGGACTAGGTTTTTGTTATTTGGAAATCTAATATATAATAAATATTTTCTATTGATTAATTATACGTTTACTAAGATATGAGGTAATTTTTATGGAATTTAAGATGATTTTTATCACTTAATGTGTGATGCGCCATATTTTGATTCGTAGATTGCGCCTTCTATTATTAAACAGCAAAATGTTTTAACAGATTTGAAGTTAAGTTTGAATTATGTGTTTTTTTAATTATAAATAAATAACACTATAACAATAAATATATCATAGATAAATATGTATGTAATACATAAGATTGCTGACGAGAACACCCAATTTTTATTTATTTGTAGGTTTACTTGCATTAAAAAAATATTTTACAATACATAGAAGTTTGTCATAGAAAATGCCCAATTTTGAAGTAAGTACATATTATTTAAAGTAGTCTACCATCTCTAATTAATAATAATCAGTAGCGCTACAACCTCTTTAGGTCTGGCCTCAGATTTCTGAATCTGTTTCATGATCATTTTTTTCAATCTAATCTAAACGCCGTCGACTTTTTGGGTCTAAGACATGTCTTTTTCCTCACAAAGTTTTACTTCAGTGTTCGAGCGAATGTTAAATGCGCACATAGAAAGAAATTACATTGGTGCACTGCCGGGGATCGAACCTACGACCTGAGGGATGAGAGTCGCACGCTGAAGCCACTAGGCCAACACTGGTATTATCTAATTACCTGTCCACATAATAAATAAAAAAGTTTAAAGAATTTATTTTTTACTTTCTTGCCTAATGATACCTAAAGATTCCGATTGATGAGCTGATCAGATTTTATAATATTAAACACTATTGAACGCTAAATAATAGTCTCATATCACTGGTTGTCATAGCATTGAAAGCTTTTTAGGTCACAGCTGCATAAAGCCAATAATATATTGTAATACACACATTCACGATTATAATGGAATGTCCACATATGGGCTGTATCACTTAACTGCCGCGTGCTTTAAATACACAAATCTACATTAAATTACATTGAAGAAACATATCTAAGTTGATACAATATTTAATGAAATTTATAAGGTTAATTATTGATAATATATCCTCCAATGAATAACTTTTCGATCTACATTCTATACGAGACTGGCATGATGAGTCGTAAATGCCCATTTTTTAGGACTTTCACTACAGTACAGACAAAGCTTCCAGCGATAAGCCTATAGTAATTTAAATAAAATGTATGTGTTGTGTTTCCGTCGGTCGGGTAATCCTTTCGGGTTTGGCGATATTTAATCTTGTAAGTTGAATACAGGATAATATAACCCCATTTATCTTCTATGATGAGTAAGTTTAATTAATAGATTATCTACGACATACAACTTTCACTGTCAATGTCACTTCAGGAAGTCAATTGTCACTTAAATGACAACACAAAACTTGTTACCTTTTCAGTGTATTTTGTAAAAAATCCAACAAACAAAGTGCTTTGTTATGTGTTATATACAGAAATTATTTTTTAAGCGTTAAATTAGTAACTAAGAAAAATGGCAGATTTTGATGCAATATATCAGGATGAAACAGATCCCGAAGAGAATATAGAGGAGACGCATGTGACATTAGTGCCTGACCCCATCGTTGTTCGCGGAGCTGGGAACATGACAGTGTAAGGTTTCATTTTATCAGCTGTTTACCACTTATGCTTATAAGAAGTGTAGGCATTGTGGGCTTTTTCTTACATTGTATTAAAAACATTGTAACTAAAACTAATAACTCATTAGGCAGACCTATTTAGACTATAATACCGTTTTACGGCATTGAGATTCATGAACGAGGACATTGACCAACGCCAATTTATATTGATCAAATTTGTACAGGATAGTTTATTTTTAACTTGTTACAGTAAATGGACGTATACACAAACTTTTATAGCTTGTTTTCGCAAAATACTTATCATAACATACTCTCTCTTTTGCCCATATCTTTTATGTTGAGTCCTTTTCAAAGGCTTAATTTGGTAATTATCAGTAAAAATACTTGCCTGTAATAGATTTTCGTTCTGCATTATTTGAGAACAAAGGTCATTTTAAGCCAGAGTTTCATGAAAACAAACTTTTACAATTGTAATTCATATCTTTTTAGTAATAATGATGGGAAAATTGTAGTGTTCTGTTAGTACTACATTAAACATGATGAAAACAAGCTGTTTATTATCATTACTGTCCACTTTTACAAATAGTAAGAATATTAAGTTTGATAAAATATATATAGATATATGGTCTTAGTTTCTAGATAAATGGAGAGATATTCCAAAGGTTGGTATTTACTTTAGAAAAGAGTTGCAAGTTATATGCCTCCTGCATTGTCTATCCAGTTAGAAAATGAAAACCGAATTTATTTTTCTACACACACATATGAATGCTAGGTGCATATTTATGAAGTAGGGAAAACTATTGTCAGTTTATTAGAAAACATGCATAACCATCAATGCAATCCTACATTTCTATTGTTATATAATAATTAGAAATACCTTTTTTTGCTGAAACATATTAACCTTCCTAGACTAACTTGAATAGATAGACAATTTGTATTATTTGCCGTTTGTATTAAGTGTCTCTTGTTGTTTCAATAAAATCTAATTCAATATGTAATTTTTCAGTTTTGGTCTAAGCAACCGATTTAATGGTGAATTTCCATCGGGGCTGCAGTCTCGTGTTGCTCCTGAAGAATACCAAGCAACAGTTGCTCGTATTAACAGTGTACTTAAAAAAACACTACCTGTTAATGTCAAGTGGTTATTCTGTGGTTGCATGTGCTGTTGTTGTACACTTGGATGCTCTCTATGGCCTGTGATTTGTCTTAGTAAAAGGGTAAGTACATACAGTTTACTGTCACTTTAAAGAAATATCCCAAAACTATGGGAAGAACATAACTATAACATAAATCATACTTTTAATCGTCCATAAATTAGACTATACCTACAACCACACAACTACAATTATGTTTACTAAATGTCTATTTATTTTTAATTACAGATTAATCATTTATTGATTACAAGGTATAATTTGAAAGGATTTTTTATTTGTTCTATAAATTAAATTGGTTACCCTTTCAGACACAACACTCATTGAACAAATTGTTGGAATGGGAAAATAGCAGACTTTATAATAAATTGGGTCTTCGCTGGCGACTCACTAAACAACACTGTGATTCCTCATCCATGATGGAGTATGTTTTACTTATAGAGTTTATACCTAAAATACCAATATACAGACCTGATTAACGCGGCAGTGATCTTACTTGTAAATATAAATAAGGGAGCGTTCAAGTATTACTTAACGAATTTTGGCGGGGATTTAATTACGCAATATTGTTAATAGTATTTTCAACATTCCAGTACTTTACACCACATGATGGTAACTTTTAGGTATAAAGAGTCACTAGGTGGTCACGAAATGTTTTACTATACTTGGATAACGAAAAACGTTACGGCGCGTTACATGAGGGGGGGGGGGGTCAATAATCTACAAAAATTGCGTGACGTAATACTTGAACACTCCCTAACACAAAAATCCATAATTTTTGATGCAATTTCTTGTAAATATAATTGTTAATGGCATGTATGTTTTACCAATTTCCTAAAATATCTTGTTATTAGAGAAAATGCACCTTAACAGAGATAGTAATAACCTCTGGTGAGTTTGTGTACAGTTTACTACTGTTTAGGATTATCATTCTAGACAGTAAATTATAAAATATGGTATTTCTTACTTATGAAGGAGAATAGCATAATGTTTACAAGATGCTTAAAGTTCTGTTGGAACAGTGAAGCTAGGATTAAAATGTCAGGAAATTGATAAAACATAAGCTGATGTGCTTTAAATGTATAGAGGTCATTAAAGCTTTGATTATGTTAATGCAATGTTATCTTAATGTGTAATGTTAAAGTAAGTACCACGGATGAGGCTAGCTTTCTAATACATGGTAGATAATTGATGTCTTGAAACATTACTTCAGATATACCTATCTGATAGTTTATGTACAGCTATCAACACTGCTCCAAAATTACCAATATTGCAACTAGATAGTCATAACAACATAAGCTTATTAATGTATTACATCTTATTGTGTGTACAGTGTTATTTTCATAACTAATATTTTGCTATGCAAAAACATGGCAATCTCATGCTACTATGTTACTCAGGGATGTAGCATTTCAATGGTAAAATATTTTTTAATTAGTTGGTTTTTGAGTTTATTTATTAATCATACAAAAATCTCTTTAAATTAAGTTATTACAAATAATTTTAGATTTTCGTTAACAATAAGTTATATGACAGTATAAAAAATAAGTTTTATTGTAATCTTTATTAAATATGACTTTAAAAGCTTTATAACTTAATAGTATGTAATTTATTAAAAAATCCATAATTTAAAATATTGATTTTTATGTTTCGATCACGTGACACAAAGCCGTTATTAGTTCGTTGTGTAATTTAAGAATGATAATTAACATGTAAAAACTTTACGTTTGGTTACCGGTTTCACAAGCACGTACGTGCACATGTACTGGTGCGACGCAATCTTGCCTAGAGAAGCGTTTTGGCGGGTTCTGTTTCTGGCGAGAGACTGTTTCATTTAATTTTTTTTAAGCGAAGCTAAAGTTAAAATTTGTATTAATCTCATCAAAAATAGCCTATTGTAAGACTGCCTGAATATTAAAAAAACATAGTTTAATATATGCATCTAATATGATCTCAAGTTATGAAAACCATGCTTACACAAAACGAAACAAGCTTATCTAGTTGTCTTATTGATGAATAATTAAATTTATTGTACACTGCTTTACTTAACTTTGATTTTACGCCTCTAATAATCCGAATTTCACGAACAATCTCGAAAACGATTATTATTATTTTATACGTACCTGAATGTCAGCGAGCGACGGAGTAAACTTTGGTATTTCAAAATTGAAAATATATTTTTAAGAATGTTAACAGGACTGTGTTATTAGACGAGTAATTATTGTTTATAGCAGGGGATCGTTAAGCGGAATTAATTGGGGGACCTTTATCATAGAACAAATCTTTTACCATTCTTCAATACTAACTTCTTGAAGGCAGGTGACCACCTCAGATAACCTTTTTAAGTTGCTTTCGCAAATAGTCTCATTTATATGGTTAAAAAGCAGAGGTAAGATGGTCCCGCTCTTTTGAATGAATAGATTTAGCCCTTCTCTTTTTAACGTGTTGTAAATCATAATATCCTCGTTTCAATAGAAATTGGCTTTAATAGAGGATTATTGGAAATAACGTCTTGCCACTTTTAATATTATAGACATAGCAACACTTGAAAAGTTGACAGGGTGTGTTGATTTAAGAAGTAATTAAGAATGTAAATATTTTAAGTACCTACAGAATAATATAGATTATTTTTGTTCAAATAATAAATCTCACAATGTGACATATTCGTTTTATTAGTTTGCCTCTCCTATATAAAAAATAAACTATGCAAGATTTATAACAGTAACTAATAAAAAACAGTTTTGTATGGTATTATTTTAATTATAAATAATTATATTACAATATACACAATGAGAAAATACTAAGGCACTAATTTTATGGTCCCACCAAAATAAATGACAAAAACAAATATTAGTAATTATGCGTTATATTGCAACTCGATTTACATAAGACACATTGTATAAGAAATTAAAAATAATTTAATTAAATGAATTAATAGAAGTTAATTAAATTAACCTAATTGATTAATGACACAAAATATTTACATAAAAGACTAGCTATAAAAATTTAAAAACATACATATATTGTTAACTGACTCTTACGACAAAATCGCCATGCGATTATTACCATTAATAATTACATATTATAATTTCATCTTCTGACTATAACCCTATTTTTGATAAAAGTATATGGATACTGTAACATAATTTTAAATGTGTTATGCTTACATATTAGATTCATACACAACCATTCTACTACATCGCGCAAGTTAAAAACATAAGACATATTAATAATAACTATAAATGGGATCATAGATACATAGATAGATACAAGTGTTCGTTTAATTCACACGTATTAGTGCCCATTTTAATATAAAAACAAAAATCAAAAAATAGAGTAAATAAATATAACTAGATTTCATTGGAATTTAAATAATTTAACTTTTTCAAACCAACAAATGTTAGAGTATTTATGTTCTCAACTTGCGAATACATTATTAATATTCACATTCAGTCATAAGAGTGCATTTTGTAGGTTAGTTCGTGCCGAGTAAAGTAGGTCATTTGATAAAAAGTTCTTAAATTACTATGGCAACAAGTTTGATAACAATAGTTACTGCATTCCGATCAATATATTAACATTTACACTGAATAAGGTCTATTTTGGTTTAGAATTGCACTACTTCAATTCATAGATTCGGAATCCAAATCATTGTACAATTTATCGAGATATAGACATCAGTCTTCGTTTTAAAATCACATAAATATCAAAGAACACGGCCTATCCAATACAATTATACGTATAGTTGGCTCATCACGGTGCCATGAGGCTGACAGGCAATTCACGCTACAAGAATTTTTCGTTCAAAATACCTTTAGTCGGGAAAATTAAAGACTTAAGTTTTCTATAATCAAAGCTTGATTACGCTATCAAAATTAAGAAACAGGTATTATTCTGGTCGGGCGACGATTGTTATGCAATATCTTTCATAGATTGTGGCTGTGTTATAAATTAGATTATTTTCATAAGACTAAGGATGCAGCACCAATTTGAATATATCGACAAATCACTAACTAATTTGCACATAGTTGACTGGGAACTGGCCTTTAATCCCGTTGCACTCACCGAAATACCATTCATCACTAATTTTCGACAGAACTGTTATATTATCGCCTGTATTAAACTGTAAATCGCCATTTTGGACTGGCGCGAAATCGTATAACGCTACAGCGGTACCCATTATACTGCTATCGTTTAAAGGCACTTTGATTTCTACATAATTTGATGGGAAGAGACCGTCAGCTCCTGTTTCTAGTTTACCATGCAGCCATTCTTCATTCACGCGCCGGACTAGTATTATTTTCGTTCCAGCCTGAAACGAAACAATAATATTTAAGTGTTGAGATAAAACTTTAGTTTGATGCCAACCGCCTGGCAATTTTGATTATTATTTTCCTTATAAGCGTGTCTACAAAGAGGTAATAGAATAATTAATATTTAAACGTCTTTACTCTTTACGTTTACCTGGCTTAGCGGTTTACGTATTTTCGTTACGTTTTAGCGCGAACATGTCATTCTTATTTATTTATTCCTAGAGGAAGGCCAAGACCATACTTTATACTAAATTTTCATTAGCTACAGATATAACCAGTGATTACAATATTTTTTTATACCAACTTCCAAAAAATACTTAAACAGGAATTAAACATTTATTCATACGTTGAAAAACAACTTCTAATATTTCCTATGTACGCGTCTGGTTTTTATTTTTTAATACATACTAACGAGTATAGCGGAAAAAATATTCAATGAAATTAACACGTCGATAATTGTAAAGAGTAATAACCTTGCGTCGCCTCTTATCGCAATAATCACATTTTGTTTATAATACTTGGAAATTATGCAACGAATAGGTAATTATGGACAAATTACTCCTTGCCGACTCGATTAATTTATATGAATCAGAATTGTCAGTAGACCTAAATAATCATCTACAATATTTTGACGGAAATTAATGCAAACCAAGTACATATGTCGATTTCAAAGCAAGTCTGTTGTCTCTGCTTTTAAAAAAGCGCGAATTTAAAATACACGTTTATACATATTTTTTTAATTTAAATACACAACTCTTAGGAGCTATTCAAGTCATGAATAAAATAACTTTGTGGAAATATATTCCGTAAATTATTTCAACCTTGTCCTGAAATAAAATTCTTGGAACAATTATAGTTATTCATTGAGATAAAACACGTAAATAAAATACAAATATTTTAGAATAATTTGTTGTGAGAATGGTTCAACAATTATAATAATACAATTAAAATAAATCAGTGGCGCTACAACCTCTTTAGGTCTTGACCTCAGGTTTCTGAATCTGTTTCTTGATCATTTTTAAATCTAATAGGCAAGTAGGTCAGCCTCCAGTGCCTGACACACGCCGTCGACTTTTTTGGGTCTAATACATGTCGGTTTCCTCACGATGTTTTCCTTCACCGTTCGAGCAAATGTTAAATGCGCACATAGAAAGAAAGTCTATTGGTGCACACCCGGGGATCGAACCTACGACCTCAGGTATGAGAGTCGCACGCTAACGCTACTAGGCCAACACTGCTGTTACACAACAATTATAATAGGAAACATAAAATTAATTCCTCAAAAATAAACTGAACTGCGTGAAGATTTTCATTAAAGCACAGGGTCCGTTTCACTGGTTGCCTTTGTAATAGGTAGGCCTTCCATTTCACATAGTAAAAATGATTAAACTCGTTTTGAAAAAAATTTACTTTACTGCAAAGTCTATTCGTAGTACAATATTTTTTTAAATAATGAATACTCATTATGTTCAATTCATCTTCCAATACAAAACCCAGAAATGATGCTTGGTTCCAAGCTTGTTTAGGAAAACAAGATTAATCTGGATAATTCTAGATAGTTTAAAAATATTGATTATTCATCAAATTAAAACTTGGGTTAATCAATAAATATAAGGTGACAACAAAACCGCGAACGTCATCACCAGATGTGCTCTGACGTAAATGGTTAGATCAACAGCAGAAAAACATATTTTCAACAAGTTTTTCGATATAAATTCTGCAATTAACGTTTCAAAATTGATAATTTATTTAAAATTTGCCGACGTTTGAGGCATTAAGGATAAAACGTGATTCTGAACGAGCTTCAATATCTATCGCTGTCATAAGAGTAGGTTCATTCGTCTTTATGTTAACTAATTTCTGACGCCAAGACTGATTTAGATACCCAGGTGTTTCTTTGATAAGGGCATATATTTTTGCGTTTATGATAAAAGTCCATATTTATCATGTTACGTTTTTATTTTATACGTATTAACTTGGTATTTTAGAACACGTTAATTTATTGTAAAATTAAAGTGCTATCTAATATATAAAATTCTCGTGTCGCGGTGTTTGTGGTTAAACTCTTCCGAAACGGCTCGACCGATTCTCATGAAATTTTGTGTGCATATTGGGTATGTCTGAGAATCGGACGATATCTATTTTTCATCCCCCTAAATGTTAAGGGTAGTCCACCCCTAAAAATTTTTTTTTATATTTTTAGATATTTTTTTCTGTTTTTATCTTTTTTTGATACAGCATTAAAAAATACATACAACCCCTAACTTTCACCCCTCTACGATCAACCCATATTTTTTTTATTATAAATGATATACATGGCAAAACGACGTTTGCCGGATCAGCTAGTAACATATATAAATCCATGAACTTAGCAGTATTAGCAATTGCAACCCCCGCGGAAAAGGGAGTCTCTACTCAAAACAATTATTGTTTTAAAATTAAATACAAAAGACAGATTGACTACACGCCTTAAAACAATGATGAGTAAAATACTAGATGACCTAGAAATGGTGTTCCGTGCTCCATTTGGGAGTTACAGAAGTTCAAACATACATTATCTATTATACTGTTACCTACAAATAAAATGTATTCCCTTCTTAAACCTCTAACAATACCGGAGTCACAGTACATTACTAATAATAAATTCAATCAATATTGCCATGAACTTAGTGACCCTCTTGAGACGGCAAAATGACAACGACCCACGATTGACTACTATTCATAGCATTGGCTAAAAGCCACAAAAACTTGTAAACACGCATTTTTGAAATATATATTTCCAGATATAATATTGAAAAATCTAAATTATTGGTTCCTAAACCGAATCAAATTCAATTAAATTTGATCTAGGAGGAGCACGACAGCAATTTAGAAAGATACCTTTATGTGATATATTGCTATTAAAAAGGCATGTATTTGTTGATTGGTTGTTCTTGTTAAAGAAAAGAGATTTGACTCAAAAAAGAGTTCTCAAGACAGGACAAAAAGGTCTTAGACCTATGACTTATAGTAAAAATAGTAATTAATCTTAAATATAAAAGTTTTTCTTCTCTACTGTTTAATTACACACGTAATTAAAGAATGCTTTAATTGCGTATCAGCTTAGGGCGTATACTTGTAATATCGACATATCAATTTCATAACATTACAAAACATTGTTATTACTGCACAATATGACGCCTCCCGGTAGTGCAATGAATGCTAACTGCAGTCCAGACATTAAATTGTTCACATTACACCGGTCATCTTAGGTCAAATTTTCAACCTAAATATGATTAAGATAAAATTCCGGGAATAAACAATTGTTTTAAAACTGGAACGAACGAGTTTTACACAATTAAAAGATGAATAGTTTTAGATATATACATGATACTTGTATTAATTATTACAGTTATTCAAGAGCCACTGGTTCGAAACGGTGAAATATTTATGAAATTGATTGTTTCTAGTCGGAATGCAAAGGAGTCAAATTGCCAAGTTGCCTATGAAGAATTTTGTTCCGTGATACAAAAATATATGCCCAGGGTAAATTTTAAGATCAATTTTAATAAGCAAATTTAATTTTCCTAATCACTTACAGTTTATAGTAGTTATTCGTTGAGTTATTGTTTATATTAATCAAATACGCCGACACGATAGAAGCATAGATGGAAAATATAATTTCCATATATGTCGTACGTAATTATAATAGATTTACAGAAACTTTTGAACAAATCAATCAATCAATCAAATCAAAATACGTTTATTCAATTTAGATGCTTCTTAGAGCATGCTTATGAATGTCAACATGAACAAAACAAGAATACAGGCATACACGAGACGCTTTATGCATATCTGTGTTTTGATTTATAATATATTTAATAGGCATCTTCCAATTTAGTACTTCGTAAACGAAAAGTTATTATCGTAAATCGTTACGTAAACAAGCTCCCTTATGGTATATTCACTCGATTTAGCAGTATTATCAAGAGGCACACATGATAATTTCTGTTACTTCCAAGAAAAAATTAAACTGATACGGGACTATATCGCATGGGCGTAACTATAAATTAATGATTACATATACAAATAAATTTTAAATATTTAGTTAAAACATACCGAAAAATATAAGTCCTCCGAGTGACCTGTGAAATAATCGAATAATGCTACTGCATACGGCTCGCTGTTCTGATCAGTGTCGGGCAGATCATCAGGCCAGACCACGGGCAGGTCATCGTCGATGACTGGAGGCGGTGGTGGCGGGATTGTCGGCATTGGAGGAGTTTTCTCTCGCTCTGGTGAATCGCGGTCCCAGAGCAATTTCTCGTCCTGAAATGAATAGTGATTATAGTCGTGTCAACCTTGTTTTTGGACTTTGAATTGCTAATTGGTGGCCCTTCATTGTCCTATCGTCTCAGCTAAGGTAAAGAGACAGGCTGAGATGGTGAATACCGTAATAGATACTCTTTGGTATTGTTATCTAAAGCGATTTATTTAAACATTAAAATAAATTAGCAAGGGTGCAAATTTTGAAGTAAAACTCTTGAATCACTCCAAAAACTGTCCTTTTATCTTTTAAAATTGAGAAAATACATATATAATTATTAATTTAACAAAGGCGACAAGATAACCACTATCCGGTCTTCCTGAGGAAGTCGATAAAAAATCACAATAACATTAGTCTGCATAATTGGGAAAACATACAAACAATATAATAAATATTTTTCGTATATAGAGTCATCAATATTTATTGTTTTTATTATCCTAAAAATATCATTTTATTGAGATCAGTTTAAATAAGGTTTTAAACAATAAATAATATTTATATATATATAATAGACAACAAACATAGAAATGACTGTAGAAGTTACAATTTTTTTTTTCATAAATTAAAGTGGTTTAATTTGGCAATTGGCTACAAAATGAATTGTTTGATTATATTATCTACAATATTATACTTACAACCTACAAGTACACCAAATTCTTTGACCTCAATACAAGTGGTAATTTATTAATGCTAATTTAGATATTTTAAATTTTGCTATATATAATTCATGAATACTGTTTTTTGTTGGATAGTTTTTTACCATTACTGAGCAAGTAACGAGATAGCAGTTTTTCTTATACATATACTCTTAATATGGATGACCTGCGGTTAAGTGTAGTAATCCAACAAATATTTTATAACAAATGATATGAGTTAAGACATCAAGAATCTTAAAAAATTACAGCTGAAGAAACCTAAATACATTTTAATAAAGTAATAAGATCACACACAAAATATGGCAATTAAGCTATTAAATCTATGAATATCCTACTTATATTTCCCTTTAAACATTATTTATTAATGAGTTAATTAATTCCCCGTACAATGTGTGCATGGCAGCAACATGTAAACCATTCTCGCTGACTGAGACACTCCCTTAAGTACATATATTACGTGAAATTTTTGAGATGCAGTCATCTATATATTAATAACAAAGCATAAAATAAATTTGTGTTGAGTGATAAAGCATGAAAAGATTTCAGATAACATCCTTTCAATTAATTATTAGTTGTATATATTCTTATCTTCTATGAACAAAAAACAAAACTTACATTATCTTCGAAGCCATTGGTGACCCTTTGTATTGGCGTTGTTGTATTAATATTCATAGTTGCCATTTGGAAACTGCTACCAAAGGAGCTTTTTAATAATGCCGAGTTATCTGGTGGTTTTGGTCGAGCTGGTTTTGCTCGGATTATCGTTGGTCCTTTGGAAGGAGCAGTAATCTGATTGCATATTTCAAATAAATCTTTGTTTACAAGTGTTTTTTTCATAATTGGTGGTTTATTTACTGGTTGTGGTGAAAAAGGATCTATTGTTGAAAAATCATCCAGTGTGTCTTCTTTGCTTATTTGCTTTCTCGTTGTAAGGAAGAGATCAAAATCATCCTCAAAACCACTTTCTGCCTGAGAAGCATTACCACCACTTATTGCATTTCTTATTGCTTGTAGAGGTAGTTGCATCAGATCCAAAGCTATCAACACTGATTCCATCACTGCTAGATCTTGTTGTAAAAGTTGGAGAACTTGGGGGAGATGATAAATCAATGAGTGTAGCTGTTTGAGTATTTGTACGCTCACATTTAGAAAACATTTTATTATTATCCACTTCACTGAAGTCTGTAAAGTTTGTTGTTGAAATAGATGATGGATTCACAGTTGAATGATTAACAATATTTTTGTTTTTGCGATTTAATAATGATGTAAGAACAGTAGGTCTACGCATAAAGTGTATTGGTTTGGCTGGTACTTCTGGTTGCTTATTAATTTTTGGTGGAGGTGGCCGAGGAGGTGGTTTCTTCTTCTGGGAGTACATTGGTGATGGTTCAAAAACTTCAGAGCCGAAGGGATCATCATTCAAATTTGTAACTGGGGAGTATCTATGGACAATAGCACCTGGAGGCACAGGCGCTGGCCTTGTTGGACCTTTCATTCCTGTTAATAATGTAAAATATTATTAAAGACATTTACATATATTTTTCAAGACAAGGAAAAAATATTGTATACACATATATTATGTTAACACCATTTTACATATCTACCTTGGCTATTAAATATAGTATGATTGTATAACTTCACTATGCTCGGATCAAAACAAGCTTCTAATTCAAATAATAGTTAATAACTGAAATCAGAATATGCAATACACAAAAGGGATATCATCAAACATGATAACACTTTGATATAATACAGATCCACCCATCAATGACTAAATAATTGGGCTTCACACAGTATCGCATAGGTGCCAGGTACAGCTGTGTACGGCCTTGGAAGAGTTCGTTAGATCAACGTTTTTTTCTTTAATAGAAATTTAGTATTGAATTTTTCTAAAATGTGCTTTTATATAATACCAGAAATAATTTGCGTACCTTTGTTGAATAAATCCATCAAAAAGATCAGACGTCAGCTCAATTTTGCAACGCAATACAAATAGATATACTGCAAAACAACAAACTTCCGTTCACAATAATTCTTGGTAACTTCAGTGTTTACTCATTACAATCCTTTGACTTAATGATTATAGAACCATCTACAAACCCACCGATTTTTATAGTTTTAAAACATTTAATACCAAAAATGGATAATTTAAGATGTTGAGAAACTATTGTGAATCGAAATTGAAAATACCTAGTAATTAGTATGTTAGGTACATACTATTTTCTTGAAGTTGATTAATCTCTTAAATTTTTTTCAACTTTTGAACGATCTATACTTCTATTTTCAAACTTGACGATTTTTGTCTGCTGTCATTCATTGGTAATATTGTCAGTCTGACTTAATCCAATGTCACTATTTCTGAATCTTAATTCAGAGTATAAAACAAAACTTTTTGTTCTCCTGTCTGTATTCAGCCTGTGTCAATATATAGTATATTATGTATAATAGCCTTATTCTAGGGAACCTTAAGTTGGCGGGGGGAAATTAATTTTTTGCACTTTTTTTTGGCTCTATCAACTGTTCGTTAACTGTTCTTCATTGTTCTATCAAAAATTTTTTTTGTTCGTTCTTATTTTTTTTTTTTTAATTATAAAAAAATTTACCCTCAATTTGGCACGAACTATAGATATTTTGATATTTTTTTGTTTTTTCTAATAGTTTAGAACTATTCAATAACTGTTCGTTCAAAATAAACAATTGTTCGGCTTTCATTATCCTGTAATTTAATAATAATTAACTTTTTTTTATAAATCTTAATTAAATGTTATTGCACATGCGCAGTATCAATGCGCATAGTTCTCATAAATTATGCGCGGCCTATTTGAATTCGATTCAAAGAGACAACACAACAATAACAGCAACAACAACAAAATCATCATCATCATCATATATCTATTAGTACCAGGAGGGTAAGTTACTAATTAGAAACCTTGAACAAAATTCTTAGAAATCGTTTGATAGCTAGATAATAATTAAAACGCAAAATACCAATAAAGGTATATTTTCTCAAATTTGAATACTTAATGTAAAAAAGCCAGCCACATTATCTGCCTCCAACAGCTTGACAGACCTAGCGAGCCTGTTCGCTAGGTCTGTCAAATTGACTTGCTGTCATAATAATAATTAATAATTAAAAATATTGACTGAGAATGAAAAAGAAATTGGTTCTAGAATATATTGTATCAATATATAAATATATATAGGTCTACCAGGATCTGATGGCAAAAAGGGAAAAAAGAAATTGACGCTAGCAATACCGGGGAAATTGGAGTAAAACGTTTTGATACTTTATTTCCCTTATATCGGCTGATTGTGTGTGATACATGCAAATATAAAAATTTATCCAATGATCAAGGATAATATTTGAAAATTTTACTGTGGGGTTTGAAATTTAGATGAAAACTCCAATTACTCCGTTCATGAGTTTATTCATTAATTATAGGCTATTAGAACTGAACTAGAAATGGTTCCAAATTCTGCACATCCATAAAAAAGTCTTTATATGAAGGAGAAGACGCAGTATTTAATATAAACCTATCCTCCTGCATCTCAATTAACTGATCTTGTTCTATGAACTGATTTTCAATTTTTATTACATGTTCACAAGATTTTCGCCATTCATCGATCCCTACTTGAGAGTAAGCTTCTTAAATCATTTCTCTGTTAAAAGTTTTATATCACTTGCAGGTCTATTGACGTTTTTACCCGCAAGTTTTTGTTTCATTAGTCCCCAGATTAATTCTATGGGGTTTAACGTACAATGTTATGGTGGGAGCCTCAAAACTTCGTGGCCGTGTGATTTAAAAATCTCATCTATCTGATATTTAGTTTTTTTTTCAATTCGAAATCAAATCTATCCAAGTTTTTTTTTTGCCACCTTTCCTGTTTTTACCGGGCGTACTAAATACGCCCTTATTAGATCAGCCTTCGGCAACAATTCATCTTAAGGTAGTATTAGAAACCCCTGAAATAAACCAAAGTTTATATAAGTACATAATATAATACACACGAAAATCCAATAAACCAAAGTATCAAGACGTGTCATTCCTACTAACCACTCAATGTGCAAGTAACATGGGCTCAATATCGATGATTGTGTATGTTCTGCACCTTGTTGATCAAGTATTCTTTGATAAACATTGAAAACAATATTTCTTGCTTGCGATCGAAGAGGTTTTTTCGACATTTTCACTACTTTTTAAAGTAAATTTGAAGCCAAACCAAAAACAATTCCTCGAAATTTCAGATGACAGATGAAATTTTTTTTTTGTTGCCACATGCAAATCGCTAAGTTTTAAACTTTTTTTTGCCATCAGATTCTGGTAGACCTATAGTTTGCATGGGACTAATCCTTTTCTATTTTTCTCAATCAATATATTTAATCAGGAATGTTAAAAGAATGGATAAGTACAAGAAATACGACTTTAGATGTTAAGAAAGAGTTCATTTTGTTTGTATAAAATAACAAAATATAAATGAAAGTAAAAACCGGGTGATGATGATGATTTTGTTGTTGTTGCTGTTATTGTTGTGTTGTCTCTTTGAATCGAATTCAAATAGGCCGCGCATAATTTATGAGAACTATGCGCATTAATACTGCGCATGCGCAATAACATTTAATTAAGATTTCTAAAACAAGTTAATTATTATTAAATTACAGGATAATGAAAGCCGAACAGTTGTTTATTTTGAACGAACAGTTATTGAATAGTTCTAAACTATTAGAAAAAACAAAAATATCAAAATATCTATAGTTCGTGCCAAATTGAGGGTCAATTTTTTTATAATTAAAAAAAAAAAAATAAGAACGAACAAAAATTTTTTTTGATAGAACAATGAAGAACAGTTAACGAACAGTTGATAGAGCCAAAAAAAAGTGCAAAAAATTAATTTCCCCCCGCCAACTTAAGGTTCCCCTTATTCTACATATACGAAGTCAATAATTTAAATTGTAATACATCGTAGACGGAATATGGTATACTCTATCTACGTAATACATAGGCGGTAAAGTTCCAATTTTCACAACTGTCAACTTATTTCAGTAGTCTGTCACAACCACATAAAACCCTACGAATTACGATCAAAACAAACATGTGATAATTAAATCCTAAATCACCACACGGAAACTTCTTGTTACAAGAACCGGCCTATTTAAATTTCAAGCTTGTGATAAAGAATATGGATTGTTCTTAATTTTTTCAAAAGTCCTATTAAAACCACAGTAAAATGTTCCGATCAAGATTGTACAGTCTTCTCAAAACTTCTTTTAAATTTAACAGTAGAAAATTGTCGTATAAAATACTCAAAGTAGCCCCCATCACATTTTCAGCCTTGACAACTGTATCTTGTGATGATCAAAAACAGGAGATCACAGATATTAGTAATACAGATAGTTTAGAGCATGAGTTTTTGATAAGACAAGCTACTACAGTGAACGTAAATGCAGCAACTCAACTTCTAACAGTTACTTTAGTTGCAATTCAAGACACTAGCGAAAGGTAAAAACTTTGTATCTGCTATTGTATGAAAGGCAATCTAAATTAAATACAAGCACTATAACTCAATAAGGTTAATAAATGATAGGTGTGTTTAATATATATTTTTTTTAAGTAGCTTAAGCAGTTCAAAATTATAATTTTAACACATTGTAAAGGAACCTATCATCTTTTTCATTTTCTTCTTTTTTAATGAAGTTGTCTGTCAAAAGTTGTTTAAATATATCATATATAGGTCCAAAAACTCTTAAATTAAATCAATAAATTGGTACAATTGGTCTTTAGATAGTGTAATACTAATACTTAGTGCTAGTGTGTACTTATATTTAGTGCTAAATTTTACTGTAAGAATTTTTAATTTTTACCTTATAAGCTTATTATGGTATATTATATTTTATTGGCAGATTAAGAGATGCATTATCAAAAGAAATATGTCTTGTAAAGCAAGCCTTAGAGTGGGGCGAGGAAGGAACACCAGCCCAACATTGGGATCAGCTTGTGGCCATTCGTGGGGCATTGTGTGATCTTAATCATAATCTTAGAACATTATTTAGTAAGATATTTTAATACAAATGTTACACATTTTTTTTCTGCTTATTTGGTTTAGGCAGTAATGTATAATACTTACAATCTAGGGGCTCTGGGTTCAGTTCACAGTTGAAAAATAATTGTTTTGATTTGTTAATCACAAGAGGCTGTCCATGACAAAAAAATCCAATTCAGGAATAGGTTTGCCTTCTGATCAAACTCTCAAGGTTGCAGTTCTCTACATTGTAATTATAATTATTATTGAGTGTATGTTAAAACAGTAATAGGACGATTTTAAGAAAATTATTTTAATTTCTTAACTGAGTAGTTAAATGTATACATCTAATTTTAGGTTATATGGACTATGCTGAAAAATTAGCAACTCTAGCTGCAGAAATCTCATATTTATCTGGAAACACTGCTGCCTCGGACGCAATATGTGAACGGATTGATCATGCTAATAGGTAAAGACTAATAAAACCAAACTCCTTACTTAAAATTAAAGTAATCAAGATCTCAAATCTTAGGAAAAAATTTTACCGGCAAATAAATTGGCCATTTTTGTATGCAAGTCTGGTCAAGGCGTTCAGATAGTTCCAGTTTGTACTTTAAATTTAATTAATAAAACACAAGTATTAAATACAAAATGTTTATTAAAGCATAATACAGTTTAATATATAGATGAACACTCTGCAAGAAATGCAATAAAATATGATATTCTATTGATCCTACAAGTGTTGTATAAATGTGACAAAATCATTATAAATAATGATATTAAAACATTCATACTGTAATAACAAAACAACTTAAAATATTTTAATTTGCAAGTCAACAATCAGATACATATACAAATGTATACTTCAAACATAATTCCTAAAAGAAATGTTAAAAAATTATGTATGAAAATCCATTAGACTAAAATACATTTATTAAATAAACACAACCTATTTTCGTCAAATTATTGATTTGCAAGTTATAACAAAATAATTATTTGTTAAATATGTTGCACCTGTAATATATAACATACTAGCTTTAGCCGCAGATGCACTTGCTTAGTGGGTACAAAAAATCTGATAAAAAATGTAGTATATGTTACTTCCAGTAGTGACATAGACTACATTTCTAACTATACAAAGTACTTGATTTTTTATTTATCATTTATGTGAAAAGGAAACAAACACACTTTCGCATTTATAATTTTTAGTATGGATTCAATTAAATATTTCCAATGATGTTTAGGTCTTGCAACAACCAGAAGAAACTGACACATGACCTGCAACAAGAGTGTTTGGAGTTACAACAGCTAGCAATAATAAATGCTCCTCATTTAGAAGAACAATTAAAACCAAATGATAAAAAACGAAAATAAATATTTAATCTAGTAATAATTTTTTTTTAAACAAATTTATGTAAATAGATAAAATATGTTAGTACAACATGTAGTTTCTTTATGTCCTTTTAAGTAAAGCCAAAAATTCAATAAGGTATAAACTACACAAGAAATATGTCAAAACACCTAATATTATATATGTCACCGTTAGATTGTAATCTATCTCGCGAGATTATGAACTGTCGAAATATTGTGAATCAGCGCGAGAGGTGCGATCCGTTTCACAATTTGACGGTTTCACTTCGATAGATTACAATCTACCGAATAATAATACGTTAAATTGTAAGCAGTGCGTTGCGGTTCACAATCTTTCGACAGTTCATAATCTCGCGAGATAGATTACAATCTAACGGTGTTTACAATTTTACGATGACATATACTTGGCACACTATTAACAATTTAAAAAAAAATCTGTGGCGCTACAACCTCTTTATGTATTGGCCTCAGATTTCTGAATCTGTTTCATGATTATTTTTAAATCTAATAGGCAAGTAGGTGATCAGCCTCCAGTGCCTGATACACGCCGTTGACTTTTTGGTTCGAGCAAATGTTAAATGCGCACATAGAAAGAAAGTCCATTGGTGCACAGCCGGGGATCGAACCTACAACCTAAGGCATGAGAGTCGCAAGCTAAAGACATTAGGCCAACACGGCTCTTAAAAATTATATATGGATCGAATATCGCCGTTAAGTTTCCATTGCTTAATGAAAATGTTCCAGAATTAAATTTTAAATATTTTTTCTCAACAATTATAGGATACAATTTAATTTGTAATTAAATTACTCAATTGACTGCTGTATATACTGCTGCAATTGACAATTGAATGATAGGCAACCGCTTTCTGGTCTGTGCTCATAACATTGGTCATGTTGATATTTAAATGAATACCCCATTATTCATAAAAATCACAGCGTAAACAATTTTAAGAGCACTTTAGGAAAAGAGAGCAATTAGACCGATTTGGTTTTAAAAAAATAATTATTGTAAAAAATACTATTTAGCTTGTTTGGAAAATATTTAAAATAGAAAATATAATTTTTTTACCAGAACATGTGATCCCTATACCTTATCAGCATTTAGAAGGATGCATCCTTGCTGAGATGTGTCTCAATATCCACTCGACAGATAGGACAGTGTTTGTTTGTTCCAAGCCATTGGTCCACACATTCCATGTGAAATAGATGCATGCAAGGAAGCCGTCTGGAAACCAAATTTATATTAGTATGTAATAGAAATCTTACATGTATTGGTTAGAAATAATGACGTTTAAGACAATGGCATGCGAGAATCAAGAGGGGACCGATGATTAATTTGCGATATTTGTTTTAAAATAAGTGTTGTTTGATGATTTGCTATTTTAAAAGAGTACCGAGAGTTTTTTACGCCGGCTTTTTCTCTCGGCCTACACTATCTTCTTTGCCGATGAGTAGGGATGCGTACAAACTCAAATTTAATGAAGTGGAATAAGTGATACATGTATCTTATGTTCCATAATAAACATTTTTTTTTATATTAGGTCCTTACATGTGAAATTGGCGTATTTCGTACTGGCCACTTTAATCACGATGTTCCCTTCTTTGGTAAGGAATTCCAAATTCAAATTTGTACAGCTATTTACTCATGTATTTGTGCTTCGATGACCGTCATTCATTTGGTTTTTTCTTCTGTTTTTTTCTGTTTGCGTCACTCATTTTACAAAATGGAAAACTTAAAGTATCGCATTATTTACGAGTACGAGTTCCGCCGTGGCACTAGTGCTGCGGAAACGACTCGAAGGGTGAATGATGTGTATGGCGGTCATGTTGCAAAAGAAAACACAGTTCGTTTTTGGTTCCAACGTTTTCGTTCTGGAAATTTCGACCTGCAGAACAAGCCCCGTGGACGGCCTGAGACCCAAGTTGATAATGAAGTATTGAAGGCTATTGTGGAAGCGGATCCATCGCAAAACACGTCCGAGTTAGCTGCAGGCTGCGGTGTTAGTGATAAAACTGTTTTAATTCACTTGAAGCAAATTGGGAAGATTAAAAAGCTTGAAAGATGGGTACCTCACGAATTGACTGAAGCAAACCGGCAAACGCGCGTCGACTGCTGCCTTACATTACTGAACCGGCACAATAATGAAGGTATTTTAAACCGAATCATTACCTGTGATGAAAAATGGATTCTTTAGGATAATCGGAAGCGCTCAGCGCAATGGTTGGATCCTGGCCAGCCAGCCAAATCCTGCCCCAAGCGAAAATTAACCTCAAAAAAGTTACTTGTAAGCGTTTGGTGGACTAGTGCCGGTATTGTTCATTGCAGTTTTCTCGAATCTGGCCAGACTATTACGGCTGATGTCTATTGTCAGAAATTGCAAACCATGATGGAAAAGCTAGCGGCTAAACAACCTAGACTGGTCAATCGCTCCACGCCACTGCTACTTCACGACAACGCTAGACCACACACTGCACAACAGACGGCTTCCAAATTAGAAGAGCTTCAATTGGAATGTCTAAGACATCCTCCGTACTCCCCGACCTTGCTCCAACAGATTACCATTTCTTTCGAAATTTGGACAACTTCTTGCAAGGGAAAATTTAATTTTAATTTAACTCTGATGGGGCAGTCCAAATCGCCTTCACAGATTTTATTGATTCCCGTCCGACTGGTTTTTTTAGTAAATGGATCAATGAACTACCTATGAGATGGCAAAAGTGCACAGAAAACAATGGTTCATACTTTGATTAATTAAATATATTATATTCAAAAATATTCGACTTTTTGTTCCTCCCATACAAAACGCCAATTTCATATGTAAGGACCTAATATTATGTGGGGAGTCCAATATTTTGTGTAATTAATGTGCAAAAATGTGTACCTCAAACAGGCTATTCCCCTCATTTTAAACTCGTACATGTATCCTGTTATATTTTAAAATGTAATACAATTGTAACCCTGGTAACAAGGTTTCTTTAACATCTTTAGTCTTGGTAAGGCCGGTACTGACCTGCAATCCGATTCGACCTCAAACACAGACAGACAAATAGTGCACTTTTCGTCTTGATGGTGTGGCGCCGGACGGGCGTAAGCGTGCCTGTACGTGTTCCTCTCTATGACGGCCCTCGAAGCCCCACGGAACTCCCGCCTGGCTTCCTGCACCTGAAGTATGGCCGCCGCAGCCGCAAGGCCCTCTTGACTACCCTGCTGTATTGTTTACTACTTGATTAATTTCGTTTTAAGCAACTCTATAGCATACGCTACACAAAAACCCATCAATTCATAAAAAAATAATTTCATTCTGATTAAACTGTTTTAACAAAAGCGCTGATTTTATTTTTTCATTACAGAATAAATACCATTACAGCATAAGTGCCATATTTAGTTTTTATAAGGGGGTAAGTCTCAAACCGTTAGGCCCTTTCTCCGGTCCGGCGCGGCGTCGGAAACCGGAATCAGTCATGAGAAAAATATCGGAAGGCCAGATTGTGCTTGATCCGATTATTGTCGGATAAAGTGGAGACAGACGTTACGCAGTGCTTTATTAAAATTCCTCGGATTTACGATTCACAATGAGTCCTACCTTTAATCGTCGACAACTTTTAGCTATAATGTTATATGTTCGAAGACAAAGAGGCATCACTGTCTATTACTTCGGACCGATAAAACACCGCGTTCCGATCTAGCAAATTATCGGATCGTTAAAAACCGGATGCCGGAGTAGTGGAGCAGTACGTAAGTACTGTTGTGAGTTTCTAAATCGGATCGGTAATTAACGTTTGCCGGACCGGAGCAGTGGAGAAAGGGCCTAACGCTATGATTTTGTCGCAATATAAAAAAAACATTTAATGTTTAACAGACAATTTCTCATTCATTTTACAACTCTACTTAATAAACACTAAAATTTGTATTAATCTTCAGCGGTCCCCAATTGACTGTTGACTAACTGGCGCGGGTTGACTGCGTTTACTACAATTTAGTTTTTACAAAAGACAGGTTTCTACGTTTATCGAACCTAAATAATTCAATTATAATAAATGTCATACTCTAAAACCAAAATAACCCCCATAAACGGTTATAAGGCTGCTGCCTCGAATTTTGCGGGTAGCGGCGCGGGAGCGGGCGATTGCACCTCTCGTTACCCGCCCCGCGCCGCCGCCGCTGCCCGCAAAATTCGAGGCAGCAGCCTTAGTATCAAACTGGTATTTCATGTTTTATCTTTTTCACTTGTGTCACAAAACATTTAATTAATTCAAACCTATTCGGCCTTAAATATGAAAAAAAATGTTTTTTTTTAAATAACGGTATAGGTCGGTTATCGAAAGCTGGCGCGTTCACAGTACTCACACTAATGCAATGTCACTTACAGTATGTTTAAAAATATGACTTTTTTGCCAAGCTATATATTTTAGTCTACTCTGGTTTTAGTAAGGTGGGTGGGTTGTAAAATAAATAAAAATGTGTCAAATTCATATAAATATTATGTGCATACGAGGGTGTATCCAAAAGTTCTAAGCCCGACCAAGAACGTAAAAGAGTAGTTTGTGTAAATAATTTTTCATTTTTCGACATAAGCTCCATCTAGCTCAACACACTTCACTAACAATTCTTTCAATACTCCTCTAAGAAACCCCAGTCGCATCTGACGTCAAATTAAAAATATCATTTTTTCATTAAACTGCTTAAAATAATTAAAAACATTGTGCACCATTTCACGAGATTGTCATGGTAATGTTTGAAAAAAGGATCAACATGTACAGTAAAGATCAACATAAACAGTAGCAAAAGCAAAACAATAACTGTCACTTTTATACTCATAAGCTTGACCGAGCGCGAGAGAGACGGACAGTCTTTTCATGATGTATTTGTGATTGTATTTCAGTTTGACATCACGCCTCGCGCTTATTCACAGACCCTACACAAGCACAAAGTGTGAATGTGTTGAAGCCGCCAGCTTTAAATAACATACCAATAATAACCACGGTAACAAATTCTGTACTCA